TGATGTTCCTGTTTTTGCCGTTGATGTTGATTCGTGGAAAGCTACTGCATCTTCACAAACCAAAATGAAGTCGATTCCTACTAACAAACACAAGAAACACTGTCTAACTTAAACATTACTATTGCACACGATAGTAAAAGTGCTGGGAAATAATAAGTGGCTTTAGATTAAAGTAGTTTTCAACATTAAATTAACAGGTAATCAAGACATTAAAGCGAGCCCGGCAACCTGTCATCACAAATGTGAGCATGACCTGGAAACTAGACAAAGGCTGGACTGTGCAGCAGATCCCCTCGTCTCTTCCTCCACTTTTCAGTGGAGACAGGCTTGTGGTTTATGGCGTTTTGAAGGCGTCTGGAAACAAAAAAAATGGCAGCGGAGTGAATGAAGTGAGACTTACAGGTAACGCAGAAAATGACGATGAAGTAGATCATATCATTCAGTTTGTATCCCCTGCCACTGAAGACAGCTGGGATACAGAAGCAAGAACCGAAGAGGGAATCCTTCTTCATCAACTAGCAGCCAAGAATTCCATCCAAGAAAAACAAGATGATGTCAGTGAATCAGGCGACAGTGGGCCAAGGTCTGAGAAAGCTAAGAGTTATGTTATCAGCATCAGCAAGTCGGCCAATGTTGTATCAAAGTTGACGTCGTTTGTGGCTGTCGACAAAGACAGCCGTGAGCCTGTATCTGGACCGCTTAAAAAACAAGTGGTCAACCTTGCCTCAATGCTAGATGTAGATGGTATGAAACTCGCCCTAAGCGGGCCACAAAACTTTTGTTTAGCGGCTAATGTTACGGGAGACGGAAAGGCTTTTGGAAGACCTCCCCCTCCTCCTTCTGGAGCGGTGTCTGCTCAGTCAAAAGGATTCTTCTCTTCGCTGTTTGGGGGTTCACTGAAGAAAGGAAAAGGAGAAAAAGCAGCACATTCCCATGCAGCTCTAAAATCAGTATGTCTAGCGGCACCTGAAGCTAAGGTGGAAGGTGAGAGTGGAAGCTACAAGGCCTTTTATCCTCCAACAGATATGCAGATAGGTTCCTATAGTGCTCCTCCAGTTTCCGCTCACAGCCAGAAAAAGAAAGGTTCTCAATCTGCCTTGTCAGTTATTTCATTACAGAAAGCGTCAGGGTCTTGGGACCTTACAGATCAGCTGGTGTCCTTGTGCGATGCGAGTAGAAGTGATTTGATCAAAGGATGCCTAAAGGAGATTGCAGCTGACACAGCCGAAGGAGCGCGGTTGTGGGCCACCGCCCTGGCTCTGGTGCTGCTAATGGGAAAATACTCGGGTCAGAAAGATGAATGGGAAATGATCGCTGAAAAAGGCAGAAAATGGCTCAAAAAGAACCTCCCGGGGAGTTTAACTCTGGATCAAGTGCTAGAGAGTGCAGCAACCGCAGTGGGAGTTTGGGTCAATACTGGACTTTGACTAGATAAATATTTAACACTATTTTAAATCTTTTTTTCACAATTACCTCATTGACATAAATTTGATGTAAAACGCAGAACCTTAATCACTTCATTACTTTAGCAGCTAAACGTAGACTGCCCGTTAGTCCAGATTTGCCGTGGTGCTGACTCAAATCCCATCAGATTGGGATAAAAAAAAAGATAAACTATGTTTGATCTGGCCGGACAGTGACGGAATTTTTCTTGTTAGTAGGCTGATCCGGCTGATCAATTTTGGATTAGTGGCAAGATTCCCAATTCAATTTTTATTTTAGTATAAAGACTTACGTATAGCAATGTTTAGTGCTAACTCGATGATTGAGATGACTTTTTTACCAACTTGTTTGAGAATTACCTAAAGAAACAAAGAGAAAAATCGGTCCATGCTTGTTTCCTGCTCGTTTCGTCGTTAAGCAGTGCTTATTTTTAAATAGCTTAAGGCTATTTCATGGCCTGTGCGAGGGAGCCAGTTTGTGGTAACTTGCACAGAAGCGACATAACGAAAGGGACTAAGATTACCAAGGGGCCAAGAAACCCACTGGTTTTCTCTCAGTCGTTCAGTCTTTAGTCTCGCACCTTTGACAATGAATAATTCAGCAGGCGTTATAATGTAGTGAGAATACTTTGTCGAGTTTTTTGGGAATTGTAGGAATGTTTGCTCACATGTGTTTAAGAGTTCTGCAAATATACGGCAGTTGGAGTGTAATGCATATGCTAACGAATTTAGGAAGGTTTTCACAATTTGACTTAAATTAAATTAATTGAGTAGCACTGTTATACTCGTTGTAAATGCAACGTCCCTCTAAATAAATAGAAAGTTAACCGAATAATGACGACAGAGATTACAATAACGGTGAAGATAACGACAATGATACTGTTAATGATAACGCTAACGATAACGACATCAATACCGGTAGCGATAACGATAACGACATCAATACCGTTAGCGGTAACGAGAATGATGACGACATCAATACCGATAGCGATAACGAGATCAATACCGTTAGCGATAATGATGACATCAACACCGATAGCGATAACGGTAGCGACAGCAATAACGATAACGAAATCAATACCGATAGCGACAACGATAACGACATCAATACCGATAGCGATGACGATAACGACATCTATAGTTGAGTCAAGATTGTTTCATAGCTTAGTAGTTTTATTGCTAAAATTTCCATTATTAACTGTGTCAACAAATGTAATGTTTACTTGCAGACACAGGCAAAAATGTTTAAAGAAATATTTATGAGAGAAGGCTTATACTCTGCCTGATGGAAACGATAAAATGTTATTAAATATTCGAAAAAAACAAACAGCATTGAACGTATACATATAGTATTTTCTTTTATCGAGAAGCTATTAATTTAAGCGTTCTAATGCTTTATATCTCTGTCACATTTTTCTTGGACACCAAATTAATTCGTCTTTTGCTTGACTTCTACGAGAAAAGGAGAGAAATGTAAGAGAAAAGCGATGAAATGTACAGGTAAGTGTATATATCTTGTCAAGATTACCATGCGCGGTAACCAAGACAGAAACTTCTCATTTTAACCGGGAATAGGTAGACTTGAGGTAGATAAGTATTTACGTTGAAATGCTATGACATGAGCCATTACCGGTGTGTGAGTTAGATACTTTCATTTTTAGGTAGAAAAAACTGTATGACTACATTTTAACGTATTATTTTTATTGAAAATAAGAATTTTAATCATAGAATTTTCAAATACTTAGGATACAGAATTAAAGAAACAAGTTTACCACCCTCGTTATTTCAAGAAAACACTTATGGTGCTAAATTCACCCAGGCACAGGAGAGACTTAAATTATTGAATCCTACAAAGAAAAGAACAAGGCACAGATGAAACAGTCATAATGGAATGATGGCTTTTACGACTGACGATTACCGCTCATGGTTAATTTCTTTCCGTCACAGTTAACTTTTTTCTGACCAACGGTTAAAATTTGTCAATTTTCACCCCAAATGGCTGAAATTTTGACGTTTTAAGGCTAACGGTTAACCCCATCGAAACCCTCATATTTAGTAAATAAACGGAGCTCAACAAAAAAAACTCAATGCCGCTTGAGTAACGACACTGTAGGCGTTAAATTTACAGTTTCAGCTGAGAAAAACGTATTATTTAGGAATGGTCTCAGTTGCATGAACGACATGCTTAATATGCAATCCAAATGCATACAGTACTCATGTTTGATCTTCATGGAATGGCGGTTGCAAAAAATGTCTTCTACTAGTGTAATAAGAGCTATTTATAGAATGTATTCAATTTATTATAATAAGCAGTGGAGATAGGTGAAGATGAATACCCATGAAAAGCGAGGATAGTTGAGACACCGCTTCGCGAATCGATTTATGTGAACTTCTTTAAACGGTTGCGGATAATGAATTTTCGTAAATACTAAAACAGTTACAGGTGTTGAAGACGCGCGCTCATTTGCTACTCAAACTCCGAAAAATCCTTTGTTGAAATATAGAGAAGTAGGTTAATGTTCACTCTTATCCGCTGGATAGCGATTTATGCTTGGATATAGTGTTCGATAGTGTTATCAACCCTTTATACAACTGAAGTAGCGCTTTTGTGTCTACACTTCTCTCGGCTTTCTTCATACTTTCATGAAATATAGTCCTTGGTACAGATATGAGAAAATGTGATGAACTTAGAATGACAGCTTAGCTGTCACCGATCGTTTTATATCTGCGAGGGGAAATTATTTGAGCGTTAGAAATATTGAGCGAAGTGTTTTTACCACGAGAATCTCATCGATATTTTGAGCACTGTATTTTGAAATTAATTTCCATTTTGCGCCGAAAATAAAGACAAATATTTACTCTGATGTCTATCGACGTGATGTCTGATGTCGTCCTATTGAAGGCAAAGTCTTACTTATGATATCAATTATGTGAACGTGGTGCGACAGCTACCAACCCACACGTTACACATTCTTAAGATATTACCAAGTCATCATAAAAAGTGGTAATAATTTTTGGGTGAAAACTTTGCTCTATCATTTTGTCACGTCCAATTTTTACACGTGCGAAACTTGATCACTCCGAAACAGCTGAAACAATTTTCAATTCGTCATTTTTTTAAAATAAAATCTACGCGAAGGACTTGTGTCATGATACTTTTTCGAAAGTTCATCTCTGAACATGGGGCGAAATAACTTTTGCTGAACTCATGCATTTATCAGTGACTCGAAATCACCAGGTAAGCAAGTGTTACACAACAGTAACACTATGTAACGCAATACGTTATCTAAGTGACGCGGATGTTCTGGGTGGCGAATTTTAATTTTTATCTCAACAAAATATCAATAACAAAGAACAATTACTTATATCATTAGCTAAGTTCGTCTAGGGAAAGAAAGTGTAAACATTTTTTTCTATGAAGAATGCAAATACGGTAAAAAGCCTGACAAACCTAATTTTCACTTACATGACGTCAGGAAAGTGACGTTGAAACCAAAAATATCACAGCTGGAGAATGAAAAGCTTAAGAAGGATCGAACAAGGAAATTGAGCTTTTGATTTTTCAGCGAACAGTTCGAGTATGGCTGGAAGATTTGGCCTTGTGCAAAAAGAGAATGGTTCGAGAGTTCCTTTGGAGAGCATCAAGATTAAAGTCGACGTGCAGGGTTTTACAGCACACGTGTTGGCAACGATGAAATACTCGAACAAGGAGAGCAATCCCATTGAGGCAATTTTTATTTTTCCTCTGGATGAACAGGCAGCTGTGTGTGGATTCCAAGCTACAATTGATGGTCGAACCATCGTGGCAGAGGTACAAGAGAAGCAAGAAGCTCAAGATACCTATGACGATGCCATTAGCAGCGGTCACAGCGCGTTTCTGCTGGAAGAGAGCGACGAAAGCTCGGACATTTTTCAGATTAGCGTTGGAAACTTACCGCCGGAGAAGGAGGCTGTCGTCGAGCTGCGGTTCGTGACAGAGCTTTTCGTCGAAGCCGAAGGTCGAGTCATGTTCGTGCTGCCAACAGTGTTAAATCCCAGGTATACTCCTCAAGACACTGCCCCCAGTCTGAGCGCACAAGTTCCACGAGTAGCCGCCATTTCATCGCCATACGGGTTCGAGTTTGAGATGAAAGTGAAAGCTATTTCCTCCATCAGCGAGGTTACTTCTTCGTCTAACACTTTGAAGGTCGAGATAAACGAGAGCGATGCAACGCAAGCCAGTATAACGCTCGCAGAAGCGCACACGTTTGACAAAGACGTAGAGGTACACATTTTGACGAGCGAGCCTTTTAAACCGCAAGCAATCGTAGAGAGAGGAGTGAAAACAGAAGGAACGGAAGACGAAGAAGGATTCATGGCAAGTCCTATAGTCATGCTGAATTTTTTCCCAGAATTCAAAACCTCAGAGTCGTCGGAAAAGGGCGAATTTGTGTTTGTGGTTGATCGCAGTGGAAGCATGAGGGGAAGTAGTAATGACAGCGCTCGGGAAACACTCCTTCTATTCCTTAAGAGTCTGCCGTACGGTTGTTATTTTAATGTTGTCGGTTTTGGAAGCAGCTACAAGACACTGTTCGATAAAAGTGTACTGTACAATGACGAGAATTTAAAGAAAGCCACCGATCTTGCTGGGAGCATGGAAGCCGATCTCGGAGGAACCGAAATCCTTTCCGCTTTGCAGTGGGTGTTTTCTCAGCCCCTGGTTAAAGGTCACCCAAGACAGCTGTTTCTCCTGACCGATGGTGGGGTTGGAAATACTCAGCAGGTTATAAGTTTGGTCCAAAAGCACTCTAACAGCGCCAGGTATGCATTTTTGTTCTTTTTTATTTGAAATGTTCTTGTGTTTGCTTCTTTGGAAATGTTTTATCTCCATATTTCACAATATTAATTTGTAGTAATTTTTTAGTGCATTAAAATAAGCAGCAGAGTGGGGAGGGGGGGGGGAGGTGGGATGGGATACAGGGAGACTACAGCCCCCTCAAGTGCAAAAAAGAGCAGTTCTGCCCCCCCCTCTCCCACACAAATTTAAGTGCCAATGATATTACCAGAGCAGCATAACATTAGTTTGACAAACATTCAGTCTTGTTGTCTTTTCAAATCATTTCATCAGGATCATGTTTGGCAAAATTATATGTGGTTGGACTTTTTTATTTGAATGAAAAGCTCTGGCTTGTGTGCAAGAAGCAAAAACAATCAGGGGAGGAAAAATAATAGGCAGAGTATACACTTGGTTTAGTACACAGGATGCACCCTGCTCCCCCCCCCCCCCCATACCTCAGCGCACTTTGCAATGTGTTTTAATCATAAATTGTGACTTTTAGGCCAACAGTATAATCTGTACCTTACCTGGAAAACATAGGAATTAGTACATGTAGGTCTGTTAGGGATTTTATGTAGTATTCAGGCATTTAAGATCTTTTTTCCCATCATGAGTCCTAACCGTTTAACTCCCAAGATCTCATTATTGATTCTCCTTAGTGTCTCCCATACAATTCATATGATGTTAGTTTGGAGAATTTGAAATTGGATCAACAAATAATCCCCTAATTGATGTTTTTCTTTATTCTCATTATTTGTCTGCTTGATATTGTACTGATACTGTAAGGAGAAATTCTTTCTAGGTCACTAGTGGGACTTAAAGGGTTAATTACATCATCCTGCATGAATTCTTGGTATTTGGTGTAAAGACTTTTGTTATTACAGGTGTATTGATATCTCATAGTGAAAAAAAATTGGTTTTATCAGTACCTCTCCATATCAATGATTTTTCCCAGCTAGAGGGTCGTAGGGATAATCTGCTACACTCCTGCAGAATGACCTTCTGGTTCCTGTCAGAGGGCATAGTCTCTCACTTTTTGGCAATCAGTTGTAAAGAAATAAACTGTGGGAGTGTTGAAAATTTTAATGAAAATTTGTGGGGAATACCGGAAAATAAACACATTTTGGACTTGTAATATAAGGCTTACCCTTTTCCCCACAAATTTTCCTCTTGACTTGATTCTGAAGAAGAGTATTTTCTCATGATTCAATTGTGTTCAATTATTGTAGGTGTTTTACATTTGGCATTGGGGCTGGTGCATCAACTGCACTCGTCAAAGGAGTTGCCAGAGTGGGGAAGGGGACTGCAGAGTTTGTCACAGCCAGGGAAGACCGGTTGCAGGCCAAGGTATGAAATTGTTTTATTTGAAATCTGTTTTGTCATAGTCAAACCTCCATGATCAGTAGATAATTTCAAAGACAACTTGAGTGAGAACCAGAACTATTGAACTGTCTTTTGAACCTTACACCTCCTGGGTTAGAGAATTTGATATTTTATTTACAGACACTTATAATCACCAATATGATTAAGTTCATTATGCTCATCATTTGTGTAAATTAACAAAGCATTAGATACTGAAGATAGAAGACACATGCTGACTACTTCTGTACTGAGCAAAGGGAAGGAGAAGTGTCTTTTTGTGGGAGGCTATACAGCTGTAGTTAAAAGTTTGTATCTTTTTGGCATGTCACTAGACTTCTATGTAAGCTTACTGAAGGCTTACAGTGTATGTTGGCACTGTTTTTTTCTTGAAGTGATTGTTGCAGTAGTTGTCTTTCTGAAAGCTATGTACTTTAAAGGTTACTTAGACATGACAATCTCGTGAAAATATTTGACACATACTCTGTTTGGTCTCTTTGACAAGGACTTTCAATAGCCATTCTCCATTAAAACCTTGGAGGAGTTTTGTGTCATCACTTTCTAGTTTCTTTTTGCTGTTCTCTGCACTGTAGAATGCCTTATTTTGTGACAGTACTCTGTTGTTACTGTTCTCTGCTCTCTAGAATGCCTTATTGGGTGACTACTCTGTTGTTACTGTTCTCTGCACTCTAGAATGCCCTATTGCATGACAGGACTCTGTTGTTGCTGTTCTCTGCACTCTAGAATGCCTTATTGTATGACAAGACTCTGTTGTTGCTGTTCTCTGCACTCTAGAATGCCTTATGGCATGACAGGATTATTTGAGTACAAGTGATACTGCATGATCTACTTGTCTTAATGCCAAGTTTTACATCTTTCAAAACAACATATTTTTAAATATCCCCAGTTGCGAATTATATCAAATGAAAACTTTTATATTTTGTAACATTAATACTAAAAATGTGGTATAAGTTTTATATTTTGTTGCAAAGTGTAAGGGTGTGTTGTGTCATCTAGACTCGGTCAAGTTACTCCTTTCATTGCTATTGCTCAACTGAATTTTATTAAAGAATCAACAAGCTATATTCACAAAACAATACTAGGAATCAGTAATACTACTTTTACATAGGAATGTACTTTTACAATCATGTACCGATCGTGTCTTACAGGATATAGCGTGACTATTGTAACGCTTAGGTAACGCAATACACTACAGGGTGCATTAAATTAATATTTATATGTTTATTGTTAAGTGTTTTACAGGATTGTTTAAAATAGAAAAGGGCATGACATGCATTACTTGGTAGTCTTGTGTAACGTTTTATATAAGCCTTCTCACCCTAACATCAGTATGTGTACTCTCCATACTGTTCTCTGTATATTTCGTAAGGTACTAGCAAGAGGAATTTGTTTAAGAATCAAGAGGCTCTTTAGTTCGTGATCATTTCCTGTCTTCTCTTGATCTTCATGTTTGATTCCATTGTGCTATTGTAAGGAGAAACTAGATGCCAGTCACTCTAATGGGTTGAAGGGTCAAGCATAATTGATGAATCCATTTCCTTCAATCATATCAGTCAAAGAATTGGCAGAAAGGATTTTGTTACACAAAAGTAGGAAAATCTGGTGCTCTGTTCAAGGAGAATTGTACATGTATTTTTGTACTTTGGTGTAATTTTGTCCTTTTTTTCACACTCTTCACAAATTTAGATATGAATTTTCCTTTTTCTGCTGTACATTTGCTTGTTTTTAAGAATTGTAATCTAAATATTCACTGACTCACCTCAAGGCTGGCCAAAGTTTGTTATCTTGCAAAGAATGGTGTTGGATACACAGTAATTATGAAAATGACTTACTGGTCCAAGGAAGATCACCACAACTGACATTGCTGGTGTAGATTTGAGTTCAGACATGCAGTAGTTTAATCGTTACCAAACTTCACAGCTAGGAACTTACTCAAAGACCCTCTTAAAGCTGTTGAATTTATCATGATTATGCACTTAACCACCTAAAATGAAGTGACACAGTAATGCAAAGGTATGAACCACATTTTAAATGAACAACTGTACAGATTTGATAAAGTTATTACTCCACTTAACTCTAATCATATTATGTCATCTCAATTTATTGTGATATTTTATGTTACTGGAATATGTTCACTGCTCTTGTCTGAAAGTAATATGGTAATTAGTATACTGTATGTAAATGTGTTTCTTGGTAATTGTAAATCCCAAATTTTGTCATTTTTATTACTATTTAATTTTTCAATTTTACAAGCTTGAAAAAGAAGAAATGTTGTGCTATATGTGTCATCAAGAAAACTTTGTTATGGGCTTCCATGCAGTGTTAGTAATAGGATGCCAAAATACAGTAAAACCAAATTTTTGTAATTTAATTTCGTTCAGCAAAGAATGACTCTGGTATATTTAACTTAAATATTAAAATTATCGGTATACACGGTGTATGTGAAACTGTTTTTAACAGGAGTTCAAACGAAATAAAGTAGACGACGTGCATAAAAATGTATATTTCGGTTGCATTCTCTTTGCAATTCAACGCACCAGGAGAGCTCCTGGGTGAAATTTGAGAAAGATTGTGAGCAGATATGATTCGATCAAAGGGTGTCCAGGAGAGATTGCAGTTGTAGCAGCTGAAGGAAAGCTGTTGTGGGCCACCACCCTGGCTCTGGTGCTGCTGATGAGAAAATACTCGGATCAGAAAGATGAATGAGAAATGGGAAGAATCTTCCTTCAACTGTCACTGTCGCTATAATACTGGAGACTGCAGCAGCTACAGTTGGAGTTGAAATTAACTCTGGTCTTTGAATGGCTCAGACACGCCTTGAGAAGGATCGGCTTTAAGAGCCACCGTGACACATTCGTGCTGCGAATAAGATTGTTAGTGCGCGTAAATCCCTCGGGAGAAATGAAAAAAAGTTGACATTTTGGGAGGCGGAAGTGCATTCGAGTACCTCCCATCTTCCTTCTGGAGAGATGTCCGCTCATTCAAAAGGATTCTTCTCTTCGCTGTTTGGGGGCTCAGTGAAGAAAGGAAAAGGAGATAAAGCAGCATGTTCTTATCCAGCTCTAAAATCAGTAGGTCTAGCGGCACCTGAAACTGTTGTCGATGGGGAAGGTGACAGTGAAAGTGATGACAAGTCATTTGGGGTCATCCAATCAAACTGCTACATGGCCTTTAATGTTTATGCAGAAAGGCTTCTGAAGCTCCTGAAGCTCCTGTTCCTGAAGTTTCCGCCAACAACCAGAAAAAGAAAGGTGCTCGGTCTGCCTTGTCAGTTATTTCATTTAAGAAAGCGTCAGGACCTCGGGACCTCACAGATCAGCTGGTGTCCTTGTGCGATGCAAGTAGAAGTGATTTGATCAAAGGATGTCCAAAAGAGATTGCAGCTGACACACCTGAAGGAGAGCTGATGTGGGCCACCGCCCTAGCTCTGGTACTGCTGATTGGAAATTACTCGCATTAGATAGATGAACGGGAAATGATCGCTGAAAAAGGCACAAAATGTCTGGTAAAGAATCTTCTGGGAAGTTTAACACTGGATCAAGTGGTAGAGAGTGCAGCAGCTGTAGTGGAAGTTCCGGTTCTTTCTGGACTGTGACTTGCTGGCCAAATATTTCCATTATTTCAATATGTCACAATTACCTCAGTGTCGTTTGCACAAATTTGAAGTAAAACGTTGCTCAATTAACTACTGAAGACGCTAACCTTAAGCCGGCCGGTAGACCGAGTGTGCTTGGTGCTGATTCATATTTTGCATCAGGAAAAGGAAAAAACTAGACTCTATTTGATCTAACCGGACAATTAGGGTTAATGATTAAATTTTTCTTGTTCGTAGACCTGTCCGACCGACCTGTTTGGAATTAGTGGTAAGATTCTCAATTAAATTAGTTTTCAGTATGAGGCGTACAAGTGCTCTTTCCTAACCCGAGAATTCAGATGACTTTTTTACCAAATTGTTTTGAAAAGATCTAAAGCAAAACGACAAACATTGGTATAACGCTTGTTCGTTGCTTGTTTTGTCGTGTAGCAAGTTCCTTCCTCAACTAGCTCGAGGCTATCTATGGCCTGTACCAGGTAACCAGTTTATGGTAATTTGCAAAAAAGCGAAGCAGGCTACAGAGAAGAAAGAAGGGCACTAGGATTACTGAGGGGTGATGATCTTTGCAAATTTTATCTCACCCGCTCAATCTTTCATCTCGACCAGCTAAAAGTTTCACATAGGCTCTGAGATGTTGTTGCTGCTGTTGTTGTTGTTTTTTTTTCACACCTCAGGAAGCTTTTGCGAGTGCTTTTAACATCAGTGATTATTTACAGACGCCGTTGGACAACTTCAACCACTGAGATGGAAATCTAACACATTTGAAAGTGAAATATTTAGGAGGCATAATAATTTATTCGAATTAATTGCGAAGGCTTTGCTGTGTCTTTGTAAATTGTAGGATTCTTCCCCGTAAGTGTTAAAAAAGCTCAGCAAATATACAGCGGTTGATGTGTAAAGTAATTCTAACGTGTTACATAGTCTAACGTAGTTAAGCGAACAATTTTCTCAATTTAATGAGAAAACTTAATTAGAGATGTTATAAACGCATGTAACGTTCCTATAAATAAATTGAAAGTGAAGAAGCACATTTTGGAAACGAGAAAAGTGTGCGAAACTTACATTTGTTCAGGCTTTGACTCAGGTTTCTTCCTTAGTGCTAATTAAAACCTGCACCTACGATTTCTTTACTAGATTCGTAAACTATGAGTCTAATTCGAGTGTCATTGTTTTGCGAAGGACGTTGATTTTCAGCCGACCACACAGTAAGAAGTTCACTGTTTCTTTTTTTTTAATTTCTCCTCAAGGCCTCGTTGGCTAAGTTTGTTTCTTCAAAATTTCCAGATTGGTGTGGATGGGGTTCGTGATATTCTTTTTTTTGCCGTTGATTTATTCGTTAAGACCTTTTTGGTGTTGAATCGTGGAGAGCTACTGCATATTCACCTAGATTAATTAGTACTATTGCACACGACAATAAAAACGCTGGGAAATGATAGGTGCTTTAAGACTGAGGCAGTTTTCAACTTTAAATTAACAGGTAATCAAGACACTAAAGCGAGCCCGGCAACCTGTCATCACAGATGTGAGCATAACCTGGAAACTAGAAAAAGACTGGACTGTGCAGCAGATCCCCTCGTCTCTTCCTCCGCTTTTCAGTGGAGACAGGCTTGTTGTTTATGGCGTTTTGAAGGCGTCTGAAAACAAAAAAAGCGGTAGCGGAGTGAATGAAGTGAAACTCGAAGGTAACGCAGAAAATGATGACCAAGTGGATCATATCATTCAGTTTGCATCCCCCGCCACAGAAGACAGCTGGGATACAGATGCAAGAACCGAAGGAAGAATCCTTCTTCATCGGCTAGCAGCCAAGAATTCTATTCAAGAAAAACAAGGTGACGTCAATGAATTGGGCGACAGTGGGCCAAGGGTTGAGAAAGCTAAGAGCTATGTTATCAGCATCAGCAAGTCGGCCAATGTTGTATCAAAGTTAACGTCGTTTGTGGCTGTTGACAAAGACAGCCGTGAGCCTGTATCTGGACCGCTTCGAAAACGAGTGGCCAACTTTGCCTCAATGATTACGTCTGCGGCTGGTAGGAAACAAGCCCTCTGTAAAAGCGCGGCAACAAGACGAGTGAGACCGAAAAGTATAAGGAAAAGGAAAAGCTGCCTTGATGCTCCTCTCGTTTCCACTCATAACCAGAAGAAGAAAGGTCATCTGTCTGCCTTGTCAGTTATTTCATTACAGGAAGCGTCAGGGTCGTGGGACCTCACAGATCAGCTGGCGTCCTTGTGCGATGTAAGTAGAAGTGATTTGATCAAAGGATGTTCAAAAGAGATTGCAGCTGACACAGCTGAAGGAAAGCTGATATGGGCCACCGCCCTGGCTCTGGTGCTGCTGATGGGGAAGTACTCGGATCAGAAAGATGAATGGGAAATGATCGCTGAGAAAGGCAAAAAATATCTGAAAAAGAATCTCCCGGGGAGTTTAACACTGGATCAAGTGCTAGAGAGTGCAGCAACCGCAGTGGGAGTTCAGGTCAATACTGGACTGTGACCAGATAAATAATTACCACTATTTTACACCTTTTTCACAATTACCTTAGTGACATGAATTTGATGTAAAATGCAAAACCTAACTCGCGTCATTACTTTAGTAGCTAAACGTAGGCTACCCGTTAATCCAGGTTTGTCGTGGTGCTGACTCAAATCCCATCAGAATAGAATGAAAGAAAAAATAGACTATGTTTGATCTGGCCGGATAGGGACGGAATTTTTCTTGTTAGTAGGCCGATCCGGCCGATCAATTTTGGATCAGAGGCAAGATTCCCAGTAAGTTTATCATTAGTATGATGATTTACGTATACCAATGTTTAGTGCGAACTTGGTGATTCTGATGATTTTTTTACCAACTTGTTTTCAAATTATCTAAAGAAACAAAAAGAAAAATCGGTACCATGCTTGTTTCCTGCTCGTTTCGTCGTTAAGTAGTGCTTATTTTCAACCAGCTTAAGGCTATTTCATGGCCTGTGCGAGGGAGCCAGTCTGTGGTAACTTGCACAGAAGCGACATAACGAAAGGGACTAAGATTATCAAGGGGCCAAGAAACCCACTGGTTTTCTCTCAGTCGTTCAGTCTTTAGTCTCGCACCTTTGACAAAGAATAATTCAGCAGGCGTTATAATGTAGTGAGAATACTTTGTCGTGTTTTTGTGAATTGTGGGAATTTTTACTCTCGAGTGTCAAAAGAGTTCCGCAAATATACCGCAGTTGGCGTGTAAAGTTACTTTAACGTAATGCATAGGCAAACGAATTAAGGACGAAAATTTTCACAATTTTAAATCAAATTAATTGAGTAGCTCTGTCATACATGTTATACTTGTAGTGTCCCTCTAAATAAATAGGAAGTTAACTGGCGTTAAGTCTTGAAATAAAGATTGAAAAGTGAATAATGTGCGAAACTTGTATGCGTTCAATTATTGAAAGATTTTACCCTTTCACTCAAACGAGTGACTGAATTCTAATTTCTCCTTTCAGTATCTCTCTTGAATTGACTGTGATGGTCATGAGAATATTGGAAATGATCACTAATTCTTTTCATAGAAAATGTAAAGAGAACAGTATGGAGAATATGAATTTTAATGTTAGAATGTAAAGGGTTAATTACCATTCCTAATCGTTACCTCTGAAGCGAGAAAGTGATGACCGGCTGGAGCCTGGGAACAGTCACCAATAATTTTTGATATTTCCTCTAATGGTGGATTAAGAAAAGAGCATTTGATAGGCTCTTTTATACGCGATAATTGAAATCTTACGAAATAGCATTTAATTTCTCCCTACAATATCAACCCTGAATCGCACATTAAGGTCATGAGAATAAAGGAATTGATCACCAACTAAAGAAGCTCTTAACTGTTAAACAAATTTTCCCGATTAGCATCTTAGCAAATACTTAAATAACAGTACGGGAATATGCATACTGATATCAGGGTTTAAAGTTAAGATTGACTCTTTTATTACGCAGCTTTCATTTTTTCATTTTTGTTTTGTTTTTTGTTTTGGTTTGTTTTTTAAGCCAGCCAATGACCAAATAGAGAGTGAAAACTAATCTCGCACTCATATCCTACCGTGAAACCACTCGGGCGTGGGAGTCTGGGCACGAGACTAAGTGAGGACAGTAAAGCAATACACTCGTCTGATAGGTCCCAGTCCTTCAACCTACATGCGTAAGAAAGCACCGGCTAAATGACTAATGGTTTAAACTCAACTTTTTTTTTTTTAACAGATTCCCAATCAGTTGAACGTCATCGATCAACAATCCAGTAGAGCTCAGCACACGATATCTATTTGCCCTACGCGAATCTATTTTTTTAGTTCTACCTGCTGAATAGTTTTCATCTTTTGTATCATGTATGTGTCAGTGGCTTCACTGTAAAATGTTAGGCAAACTGAACACTATCGTACTTTGAACTTTTAGGTTATCAAGACTTTAAAGCGAGCCCTTCAGCCTGTCATCGCAGATGTGGGCGTGGCCTGGGAGCTAGAAAGCGGCTACACTGTGCACCAGATCCCCTCATCTCTCCCACCGCTATTCAGTGGAGATAGGCTCGTGGTGTATGGTGTTCTAAAGGTGTCTGAGAACGCAAATGATAGCAACAGTATAAACGTAGTCAGGCTTCAAGGAGCTATAGAAAACGGTGGTCAACTGGATCATAAGATTGCGTTCACAACCTCGGCAGTAGATGACAGCTTGAATACTGATAACAATGAAGCTGACGTAAATGTAAATCATCTTCATCTTTTAGCCGCCAAAACTACCATCCAGGAAAAACAAGACGAGTTTAACGAGTCCAGGGACTACGGGCAAGTGTCTGAGGAAGCAAAGAGCTACATAATCAGCATTAGCAAGTTGGCCAATGTTGTGTCACAGCTCACCTCCATTGTAGCCGTTGACAAAGACAGTCGCGAACCTGTTTCTGGACCACTACATTACCATGAGTTACACGAGGTTTCACAGTATTGCGGCTTGGATTCCGCAATGGTTGAATATTCAAAACGATCTTATAGGGGCAAAACAAAAGGGGGTTTTGGTTGTTTTAGCTTTAGGAGCAAAAATAGTCCAAATAAAGCTAGTAAGGGAAAGTCCAAGGTAAAGTCAAAAGGATTTTTGTCAGCGCTATTTGGAAGTTTACGAAAGAAATCGAAGGGAACAGTAGCATCAGCGGAACCTTCATCAAAAGGTGCAACATCAGCTGAACCATCATTAAAAGGCGCAGCATCACTGGAACCATCATCAAAAGGCGCAGCATCAACTGAACCTGTGGTCTCTGATGTTGAAGAACGATCCGAAGACGATGACAATTTATCTCTCGGCAGGGAATCGCGTCGCCCGAATTCTAAAGATCCTTCAACAAGTATGTGGAAGAGCTCCCCATCCCCTCAAAAGAGTCCTCAATCTGCCTTGACCATTATCGGATTACAGAAAGCGTCAGGGCCTTGGGACCTCACAGAGCAGCTGGTGTCCCTGTGTGGTATGAGTAGAGATGATTTGATCAAAGGGTGTCCAGAAGAGATTGCAGCTGACACAGCTGAAGGAAAGCTGTTGTGGGCTACCGCCCTGGCTCTGGTGCTGCTGATGGGAAAATACTCGAATCAAAAAGATGAGTGGGAAATGATCGCTGAAAAAGGCAAAAAATGGCTGAAGAAGAATCTTCCATCAACTGACACATTCACTAAAGTGCTAAACATTGCAGCAGCTGTGGTTGGGGTTCAAGATATTCCTGAACTGTGATAAGGAATTGGAGAGCTATGTTTCTTGCATATCGAAAGTGGTTCAAAGTTGATGGAGAGAATTCTGGATAAAATTATTGTGAATGACTGACAGTGTCTCCGGTGCTACTTGAATGAAAATTAGTCTGAATTTAGGAGATCATTCAACATACACAAAAGCTGTAGCACGGTTATTGAATTTCGTGTCAGCATCAGTTTGCAAGAAGGTATTAAGCAGGCGTAAAATACATCACAAGAAGCCCTTTGTGGCCCGTTCAACCAAAACATTTCGGTGTCCCTGCTACAATCATCTTGCGCGGGGTGATTATCGTGGGAATTGATGCGATCTTCGACCAATCAGAAGGCGAGAATCTTTATAATCAGGTCAGAACGCTACGCTAGAAGCAAGAGTATTATTTGTTAAACATTTCGTTGGCTTACAGAATCGGAGGAAAAAAAGAATAACTGAAAAGAAAGCTATTATGTAGTGAACAATTTATTAAAATTTTTATGAAAGGTTGTAAAAAATAAAAAAGAAAAAAAGAAAAGAAAAGAAAGCCAGAAAAGAAAACCAAAAAAAAAAACCAAAAAAAAAAAAAAAAAAAAAAAAAAAAAATGAAACATGCGTGTAAGAAGCCAATATAGAAATAGTTTCTCTTTTACTGGTGACATGAACTCTCCGTGGTTAGTAAAAAATATTTGGTGTGATGCTGTTGTTTTGTTTATATAAGTAGTGTTGCGAAATAATTTCCTAATGTGACAAGGAGTCTTCCTATGAATAATACTCTCAGAAAATACTTATGGGTTTCACTCTAATATCAAAAATTTTGTAGCCTTGGTAACCGGGCTATTTCACCTTCTCATGTATAAAGAGCTGTTGAGGAAAGAGCTTAAAACAGAGTCAGTCTGATTGAACGGGTTTAATAGGAGATACTTTAAAAAGTTTACTGTTTCTCCGCGCCTGACGCACCAAAGAGGCAACGAGGTGGGAGAAAGCTAGAGTCGTTTGGTCGCTCGCTCGGCAGAGAGAGGCACCGTGTGATCCAGTAGAACCGGTTTAGTGTCCTAAGAACACAATACAATAAACATTGTCGAGTATCGAACCCGATCACGTGGTTTGGAGTTGGTCGTCACTTTCAAATTTATCATATATAAAAAAGAACTCAGAGTTTAGCAGAGTGGAATGAGGTTTGGTGCAAATTTGTTGTACTGTGCTTTGGAGGAGGTTTCATTACCGGGGATTTTTCCTAATTTCGGCTACCTGTTTTGCAGGTAAACCTGCTGAAAATACCAGCTTGTTAGTTTAAAACGTCTTGTGTTGAAACAGTTATCAAACCGTACCATACGAATTAACGTCGCGGGACTCTAAATCGCTTGTATGTTATGCCTTTGCTTTTCTTTCACAGGAAAGCGTGTTAGTAAAACACCTTCTTTGCAAAAATATAAATTCACTGATAGAAATCAAAGACAATTGAACAGAATGGTTCAGTTCAACAACAAACAAAAAAACTGCTAATGAGTGACAAATGGTGAAAAATTTGCATTCTAAAAAGTACTTTCGCGAAAGTTAGCAAGCTTAATGTTTGATCTACAAGTTCTCTCTCTGGCCTAAATGTTCGTGGTCCTACCACTCCCTCTCCCCCATTCCTCCCTCGCCTTACCCTTCTACCGGAACAAAGGAACAGAAATGACTGAAACGATGATTTGAAACAAATGATCCGTAAAACACAATCGCCACATGCCCGAGTTCTCCGAAGTTCTCGTTTCACTTCAATCAATAATTAATAATTTGTTTCCCTTCGTTTCGCTGGTTTCTCATCGAAGAAAGTGGCTTCACGCGAAGACGCAATGTTTACGTCGGTTTGTGGCGTGTAGAGTTTGATATTTAATCAAATTAGCCATTAGTAATTGTGGGAAAAAGTTAATATAAAAATAGTAAAAGTTAATAACTTATATCTTAACTCCTTGCCCATGAGTATGGTTAACCGCATGTCTCGAAGTGGAACAATGAAATATCAATGAGAAAACACCGATGAGTCAAACAAGAAATGGCTACTTACATAATGAAGAGAAGGCACAGTCTAGCTTGTTCAGCGAGGTCGTTCAGCGATATTCCGGCGATGAAAAAGTCATCTGCTGACTAGCTCCGCTGACTAAATTCATTTGGTCAATTCACGCGGACGACCAGAGACTGGAGCCATTCCTGTATTTCACCGCTGACAGGAATAGCTCCGACTCAAACGTTTATTAATTTTTTTTCAATAATTTTTAAATAATTTTTTAAACAGTTTTTGAAAAAAAAAATTTTAAACTAAACTAGTGAGCAGCGCTGTAACAGTAGTAGAACAGTAGTTTTAAAACTTCTTTATTCTCTGACGTTTCGTCTAACTGTCGTAAGCTTCTTCAGGGAGTTTACAAGTTAACACTAAACGCCCATATTTATAAGCCATTGTTAGCGGCTATTGCGGGGGCCAATGACCATAAGGGCTTGGCTGGACCTACGAGCAGGAATAGGCAAAGTTGTGAAAAATTTGAAAATTTCTTCTGAAAATTTGTTAGGCAAGGTGAAAAATATTTTTGGGAGCCACGGTTTTAGCTAAAAATTTTCAAATTTGAAAAATTGAAGCGGTTTTTTACAGATGATGCCTGGCAGTTGGCAAATTAGGTTAGGATGACTCGTGTACTTTACAGAAAAAGTGATTTATGTTCTACTCATTCTTTCCTAAATTTAAGTGGTATAAATACCTTGTCTAAAACGGTAGTGTGATACAATAGCAAACAAGATATACTCGTTCCAATACAACGTCATGTGATGAACAGCTTTCATTAATTTTAGAACAAGTTTTTAAAAAATCATTTTACTCTTTCTTGTTATAGCCGAAAACTGTTCAAAGATTGGTTGTACCATCACTGCAACCAGTCAAGGTACTACGACATGATTCAGTGCGAGAGCTACTGCCACTGGTTTGACTAGTAAGGCATTTTTTTGGTTTGTTTTGTCTTCTTCCTTTTTTAGGTCTAGTGGAGTTGTTAGAAATTACCAAGCAAACTTGTAATCCGCGACTTTCTTCCTTTACGTGTTGTGCAAAAAGAGATGAAGAGCCCGATGAATGGATTTGTCCTTCATGTGAACAATAACCTAGAAAATCAATTTTCCACGAAAGAAAACTCCCACGATTGTGGCCAAGCCATATTTCTCCAGCAGAGCATACTGTAAATAAAAAACATCGGTCGCAACGTCACACAACATTGCGTGATTTTCCAAACGTGAGATGCAGTTGCTGCATTATTTTAAAACTTAGAAACTACATGGCCCTGTAGTGATAGAAGAGGGCTTCATTTGCAAGCACTGTAGACTTCAACATAAGAAAAACCTAATAAATCGCTCTTTCAGTTTTTATCTCAGTGTATAAATTATTTAACCAGAACGAAAAAAAAATTAATCTACGCATGAGTTGGAGCCATTCCTGTCTGCGGTGAAATACACGAAAGGCTCCAGTCTCTGGTCGTCCGCCTAAACTGACTAAATGAGTTTTGTCAGCGGAGCTTGTCATCGGATGACTTTTTCATCGCCGGAATATCGCTGAACGACCTCGCTGAACAAGCTAGACTGTGCCTTCTCTTCATTATGTAAGTAGCCATTTCTTGTGTGACTCATCGGTGTTTTCACATTGATATTTCATTGTTCCGCTTCGAGACACGCGGTTAACCATACTCACGAGCAAGGAGTTAAGATATAAGTTATTAACTTTTACTATTTTTATCATCCAATCACAGGTCGGAGCCATTCCTGTATTTAGTCGCTAGTTCTAAAACAGGTGAAACCATTTTCAATTCGTCATTTTTTAAAAATAAAACCTACACGAAGGAGTTGTTTTTATTCTTTATTTTTACGAAAGTTCATCTCTGAACATAGAGCGAAATAACTTTTGCTGAACTCATGCATATATCAGTGACTCGAAATCACCATGAGAGCAAGTTTTACACAACAGTGACACTATGTAACGCAATACGTTACTTAAGATAACGTGTGTTTTGGGTGGCGAATTTTTATTTTACAAAATATCAATACCAAAGAACAATCACTTATATTACTAGCTAAGTTCGTCTAGGGAAAGAATATGTAAATATATTTTTTTATGACGAATGCAAATACGGTAAAAAGTCTGACAAACCTTTTTTCCCTTTCATGACGTCATGAAAGTGACGATGAAACCAAAAATATCACTGCTGGAAAATAAAAGGTTTAAAGAGGATCGAACAAGGAAAATGAGAAATATTTGCACTGGAGCTTTCAAGTGCAAAGCGTTGTATTTTTTTACGAAGAAATTTTCTATTTGTCAGCGAACAGTTCGAGTATGGCTGTAAGATTTGGCCTTGTGCAAAAAGAGAATGGTTCGAGAGTTCCTTTGGAGAGCATCAAGATTAAAGTCGACGTGCAGGGTTTTACAGCACACGTGTTGGCAACGATGAAATACTCGAACAAGGAGAGCAATCCCATTGAGGCAATTTTTATTTTTCCTCTGGATGAACAGGCAGCTGTGTGTGGATTCCAAGCCACAATCGACGGTCGAACCATCGTGGCAGAGGTTCAAGAGAAGCAAGAAGCTCAAGATACCTATGACGATGCCATTAGCAGCGGTCACAGCGCGTTTCTGCTGGAAGAGAGCGACGAAAGCTCGGACATTTTTCAGATTAGCGTTGGAAACTTACCGCCGGAGAAGGAGGCTGTCGTCGAGCTGCGGTTCGTGACAGAGCTTGCCGTCGAAGCCGAAGGTCGAGTCGTGTTTGTACTGCCAACGGTGTTAAATCCCAGGTACACTCCTCAAGACAGTGCCCCTAGTCTTAGCGCACAAGTTCCACGAGTAGCCGCCGTTTCATCGCCATACGGGTTCGAGTTTGAGATGAAAGTGAAAGCTATTTCCTCCATCAGTGAGATTTCTTCTTCGTCTAACACTTTGAAGGTCGAGATAAACGAGAGCGATGCAACGCAAGCCAATATAACGCTCGCGGAAGCGCACAAGTTTGACAAAGACGTGGAGATACACATTTTGACGAGAGAACCTTTCAAACCGCAAGCAATCGTAGAGAGAGGAGTGAAAACAGAAGGAACGGAAGACGAGGAAGGATTCATGGCAAGTCCTGTCGTCATGCTGAATTTTTTCCCAGAATTCAAAACCTCAGAGTCGTCGGAAAAGGGCGAATTTGTGTTTGTGGTTGATCGCAGTGGAAGCATGAGTGGAAGTAAGAATGACAGCGCTCGGGAAACACTCCTTCTATCCCTTAAGAGTCTGCCGGACGGTTGTTATTTTAATGTTGTTGGTTTTGGAAGCAGCTACAAGACACTGTTCGATAAAAGTGTGCTGTACAATGACGAGAATTTAAAGAAAGCCACCGATCTTACTGGGAGCATGGAAGCCGATCTCGGAGGAACCGAAATCCTTTCCCCTTTGCAGTGGGTGTTTTCTCAGCCCCTGGTTAAAGGTCACCCAAGACAGCTGTTTCTCCTGACCGATGGTGAAGTTGGAAATACTCAGCAAGTTATAAGTTTGGTCCAAAAGCACTCCAACAGCGCCAGGTATGCATTTTTGTTCTTTTTTATTTGAAATGTTCTTGTGTTTGCTTCTTTGGAAATGTGTTATCTCCATATTTCACAATATTAATTTGTAGTGATTCTATGTAGAATTTTGATTGTTTCTAATTTTTCAGTGCATTAACATAAGCAGCAGAGTGGGGGGGAGGGGGGGGAGGTGGGATGGGATACAGGAGACTACAGCCCCCTCAAGTGCAGAAAAGAGCAGTTCTGCCCCCCTCCCCCACACATTTAAGTGCCAATGATATTACCAGAGCAGCATAACATTAGTTTGAGAAACATTCAGTCTTGTTGTCTTTTCAAATCATTTCATCAGGATCATGCTTGGCAAAATTATATATGGTTGGACTTTTTTATTTGAATGAAAAGCTCTGGCTTGTGTTCAAGAAGCAAAAACAATCAGGGGAGGAAAAATAATAGGCAGAGTATACACTTGGTTTAGTACACAGGATGCACCCTGCACCCCTCCCCCCCTCCCCACATACCTCAGCGCACTTTGCAATGTGTTTTAATCTTTAATTGCGACTTTTAGGCCAACAGTATAATCTGTACCTTACCTGGAAAACATAGGAATTAGTACATGTAGGTCTGTTAGGGATTTTATGTAGTATTAGGCATTTAAGATCTTTTTTCCCATCCTGAGTCCTAACCCTTTAACTCCCAAGATCTCATTATTGATTCTCCTTAGTGTCTCCCACATAATTCATATGATGTTAGTTTGGAGAATTTGAAATTGGATCAACAAATAATCCACTAATTGATGTTTTTCTTTATTCTCATTATTTGTCTGCTTGATATTGTACTGATAGTGTAATGAGAAATTCTTTCTAGGTCACTAGTGGGACTTAAAGGGTTAATTACATCATCCTGCATGAATTCTTGGTATTTGGTGTAAAGACTTTTGTTATTACAGGTGTATTGATATCTCATAGTGAAAAAAAATTGGTTTTATCAGTACCTCTCTATATCAATGATTTTTCCCAGCTAGAGGGTCGTAGGGATAATCTGCTACACTCCTGCAGAATGACCTTCTGGTTCCTGTCAGAGGGCATAGTCTCTCACTTTTTTGGCAATCAGTTGTAAAGAAATAAACTGTGGGAGTGTTGAAAATTTTGGGGGGAATAACAGAAATAGTGGGGAATAACGGAAAATAAGCACATTTTGGACTTGTAATATAAGGCCTACCCTTTTCCCAACAAATTTTCCTCTTGACTTAATTCTGAAGAAGAGTATTTTCTCATGATTCAATTGTGTTCAATTTTTGTAGGTGTTTTACATTTGGCATTGGGGCTGGTGCATCAACTGCACTCGTCAAAGGAGTTGCCAGAGTGGGAAAGGGGACTGCAGAGTTTGTCACAGCCAGGGAAGACCGGTTGCAGGCCAAGGTATGAAATTATTTTATTTGAAATCTGTTTTGTCATAGTCAAACCTCCATGATCAGTAGATAATTTTAAAGACAACTTGGGTGAGAGCCAGAACCATTGAACTGTCTTTTGAACCTTGCACCTCCTGGGTTAGAGAATTTGACATTTTATTTACAGACACTTATAATCACCAACATGATTAAGTTCATTATGCTCATCATTTGTGTAAATTAACAAAGCATTAGATACTGAAGATAGAAGACACATGCTGACTACTTCTGTACTGAGCAAAGGGAAGGAGAAGTGTCTTTTCATGGGAGGCTATACAGCTGTAGTTAAAAGTTTGTATCTTTTTGGCATGTCAGTAGACTTCTATGTAAGCTTACTGAAGGCTTACAGTGTATGTTGGCACTGTTTTTTTCTTGAAGTGATTGTTGCAGTAGTTGTCTTTCTGAAAGCTATGTACTTTAAAGGTTACTTACACATGACAATCTCGTGAAAATATTTGACACATACTCTGTTTGGTCTCCTTGACAAGGACTTTCAATAGCCATTCTCCAATAAAAATGACAAAATTTGGGATTTACAATGGAATCAAACATGAAGGTCAAGAGAAGACAGGAAATGATCACAAACTAAAGAGGCTCTTGATTCTTAAACAAATTCCTCTTGCTAGTACCTTACAAAATATACAGAGAACAGTATGGAGAGTACACATACTGATATTAGGGTGAGAAGGCTTAAATAAAACATAGTACAAGACTACCAAGTAATGCATGTCATGCCCTTTTCTATTTCAACCAATCCTGTTAAACACTTAACAATAAACATATAAATATTAATTTAATGCACCCTTAAACTTTGCAACAAAATATAAAACTTATGCCACATTTTTAGTATTAATGTTACAACATATAAAAGTTTTTATTTGATATAATTCACAACTGGGGATATTTAAAAATATGTTGTTTTGAAAGATGTAAAACTTGGCATTAAGACAAGTAGATCATGCAGTATCACTTGTACTCCAATAGTCCTGTCATGCCATAAGGCATTCTAGAGTGCAGAGAACAGCAACAACAGAGTCCTGTCATACAATAAGGCATTCTAGAGTGCAGAGAACAGCAACAACAGAGTCCTGTCATGCAATAGGGCATTCTAGAGTGTAGAGAACAGTAACAACAGAGTACTGTCACCCAATAAGGCATTCTAGAGTGCAGAGAACAGTAACAACAGTCTTGTCACAAAATAAGGCATTCTACAGTGCAGAGAACAGCAACAACAGCAAAAAGAAACTAGATAGTGATGACACAAAACTCCTCCAAGGTTTTAATACTATTTGATTTTTTAATTTTACAAGCTTGAAAAAGAAGAAATGTTGTGCTATATGTGTCATCAAGAAAGCTCTGTTATGGGCTTCCATGCACTGTTAGTAACAGGATGCCAAAATACAGTAAAACCAAATTTTTGTAATTTAATTTCGTTCAGCAAAGAATGACTCTGGTATATTTAACTTAAATATTAAAATTATCGGTATACACGGTGTATGTGAAACTGTTTTTGACAGGAGTTCAAACGAAATAAAGTAGACGACGTGCATAAAAATGTATATTTAGGTTGCATTCTCTTTGCAATTCAACGCACCAGGAGAGCTCCTGGGTGAAATTTGAGAAAGATTTCCCTTTCCGATGAATCACTCAAACTTGGCCAAGGGTTTCAAGAAGAAAAAACTGGCGTAATCACCATCAGCAAATCAACAAATGTAGTATCAAAGTTCACTTTGTTTTATGGTAGTTGATAAAGAAAGCCGTCAGCCTGTGCCAGGTCCGATGAACTCCATTATTCACAGCAGGACTTGGGATGTTCCGTCGCAACTCCAGCACGACGCATACGTTCAAAGCTGCACCTCGCAGGCTCCGCAGGCGTCTCACAAGTACGAAAACAACTCCAGAACCTGAGTGCTCGGTAAAAAAGAAGAAGAAATGTTTCGGGTTATTTTAACTCTGAAGGTAAAAAGAGCAAAAACACAGCAGTTACGAGAAATCCCAAATCAAGTCAAAAGGATTCGTCTCCTCGCTGTTTGGAAGGTCACGAAAGAAAACAAAGGTAGCAGCACTGACTGAAACATCACTAGAAATCCCAGCTACGGCCGAATCTTTAACTTTTGATGTTATCTCACCACCGAAAGGTTCTCAATCTGCCTTGTCAGTTATCTCATTACAGAAAGCGTCAGGGTCGTGGAACACCTTACAGACCAGCTGGTGTTCCTGTGCGGTGTCAGCAGAGATGATTTGATCAAAGGGTGTCCAGGAGAGATTGCAGCTGTAGCAGCTGAAGGAAAGCTGTTGTGGGCCACCATCCTGGCTCTGGTGCTGCTGATGGAAAAATACTTGGATCAGAATGATGAATGGGAAATGATCGATGAAAAAGGCAAAACATGGCTGAAGAAGAATCTTCCTTCGACTGTCACTATCGCAAAAATACTGGCGACTGCAGCAACTACAGTTGGAGTTGAAATTAACTCTGATCTTTGAATGGCTCAGAGACGCCTTGAGAAGGATCGGCTTTAAGAGCCAACGTGATACATCAAAAGCACGGCTGCGAAGAAGATTATTAGAGCGCGTAAATACCTTGGGAGAAATGAAAAAAGTTGACATTTTCACAGCTAGAACGCATTTTCCTTAGAGGAAAAAGATACACACAGTGTAACTTGCTTTTTCCGAACACCAGCCAGCGTTGAACGAAGTCTAGCAGGCTTACATATATATTAAGGGTTTATTTACGAAGGACCGAAGTCTTGATGTGTCTAGCGCCGTCACGTTCAAGAAATCGTTTTTTGCAACATATGTATTGTGCCACAAGTTATTACATAACTCAGTTCATTCCTCATTTCTCTTGTTGATCGTTGTAATAAAGTTAACGGAAATTTTTAATTTATTGTTTTGTAATCTTTTTTTTCCTTGTTATAAACCATCTTCTAGTTTCAACAGTGTAGCTTCAAGACTGCACTTTTTCTTTAGAATTAAAATCTGCACCCACGATTATTCGACTAGATTTGAAAACTGTAAGTAAACCTCTAGCATCATTGTTTTGCGAACGACATTCATTTCCTGCCGTCCTAGGAGTCGGTGGCATTTTTTATCAATTTCTCTCCAGGGCCCGTTGTCTAAGTTTCTGTATTGAAATTCTTCCAGATTGGTGTGAATAGGGCTTTTGATGTTCCTGTTTTTGCCGTTGATGTTGAATCGTGGAAAGCTACTGCATCTTCACAAACCAAAATGAAGTCGATTCCTACTAACAAACACAAGAAACACTGTCTAACTTAAACATTACTATTGCACACGATAGTAAAAGTGCTGGGAAATAATAAGTGGCTTTAGATTAAAGTAGTTTTCAACATTAAATCAACAGGTAATCAAGACATTAAAGCGAGCCCGGCAACCTGTCATCACAAATGTGAGCATGACCTGGAAACTAGACAAAGGCTGGACTGTGCAGCAGATCCCCTCGTCTCTTCCTCCGCTTTTCAGTGGAGACAGGCTTGTGGTTTATGGCGTTTTGAAGGCGTCTGGAAACAAAAAAAATGGCAGCGGAGTGAATGAAGTGAGACTTACAGGTAACGCAGAAAATAACGATGAAGTAGATCATATCATTCAGTTTGCATCCCCTGCCACTGAAGACAGCTGGGATACAGAAGCAAGAACCGAAGAGGGAATCCTTCTTCATCAACTAGCAGCCAAAAATTCCATCCAAGAAAAACAAAATGATGTCAGGGAATCAGGCGACAGTGGGCCAAGGTCTGAGAAAGCTAAGAGTTATGTTATCAGCATCAGCAAGTCGGCCAATGTTGTATCAAAGTTGACGTCGTTTGTGGCTGTTGACAAAGACAGCCGTGAGCCTGTATCTGGACCGCTTAAAAAACAAGTGGTCAACCTTGACTCAATGGTAGGTGGTGTGAAACTCGCCCTAAGCAGGCCACAAAACTTTTGTTTAGCGGCTAATGTTACGGGAGGCGGAAAGGCTTTTGGAAGACCTCCCCCTCCTCCTTCTGGAGCGGTGTCTGCTCAGTCAAAAGGATTCTTCTCTTCGCTGTTTGGGGGTTCACTGAAGAAAGGAAAGGGAGAAAAAGCAGCACATTCCCATGCAGCTCTAAAATCAGTATGTCTAGCGGCACCTGAAGCTAAGGTGGAAGGTGAGAGTGGAAGCTACAAGGCCTTTTATCCTCCAACAGATATGCAGATAGGTTCCTATAGTGCTCCTCCAGTTTCCCCTCACAGCCAGAAAAAGAAAGGTTCTCAATCTGCCTTGTCAGTTATTTCATTACAGAAAGCGTCAGGGTCTTGGGACCTTACAGATCAGCTGGTGTCCTTGTGCGATGCAAGTAGAAGTGATTTGATCAAAGGATGCCTAAAGGAGATTGCAGCTGACACAGCCGAAGGAGCGCGGTTGTGGGCCACCGCCCTGGCTCTGGTGCTGCTGATGGGAAAATACTCGGATCAGAAAGATGAATGGGAAATGATCGCTGAAAAAGGCAGAAAATGGCTCAAAAAGAACCTCCCGGGGAGTTTAACTCTGGATCAAGTGCTAGAGAGTGCAGCAACCGCAGTGGGAGTTTGGGTCAATACTGGACTGTGACCAGATAAATATTTAACACTATTTTAAATCTTTTTCTCACAATTACCTCATTGACATAAATTTGATGTAAAACGCAGAACCGTGGTGCTTAGGGTTGCTGACTCAAATCCCATCAGATTGGGATAAAAAAAAAGATAAACTATGTTTGACCTGGCTGGACAATGACGGAATTTTTCTTGTTAGTAGGCCGATCCGGCTGATCAATTTTGGATTAGTGGCAAGATTCCCAATTCAATTTTTATTTTAGTATAAAGACTTACGTATAGCAATGTTTAGTGCTAACTCGATGATTGAGATGACTTTTTTACCAACTTGTTTGAGAATTACCTAAAGAAACAAAGAGAAAAATCGGTCCATGCTTGTTTCCTGCTCGTTTCGTCGTTAAGCAGTGCTTATTTTTAAATAGCTTAAGGCTATTTCATGGCCTGTGCGAGGGAGCCAGTTTGTGGTAACTTGCACAGAAGCGACATAACGAAAGGGACTAAGATTACCAAGGGGCCAAGAAACCCACTGGTTTTCTCTCAGTCGTTCATTCTTTCGTCTCGCACCTTTGACAATGAATAATTAAGCAAGCGTTATAATGTAGTGAGAATACTTTGTCGAATTTTTGGGAATTGTAGGAATTTTTGCTCTCATGTGTTTAAGAGTTCTGCAAACATACGGCAGTTGGAGTGTTATGCTTAGGCTAACGAATTTAGGAAGGTTTTCACAATTTGACTTAAATTAAATTAATTGAGTAGCACTGTTATTCACGTTGTAAATGCAACGTCCCTCTAAATAAATAGAAAGTTAACCGAATAATGACGACAGCGATTACAATAACGGTGAAGATAACGACAATGGTACTGTTAATGATAACGCTATCGATAACGACATCAATACCGATAGCGATAACGATAACGACATCAATACCGATAGCGATAACGATAACGACATCAATACCGTTAGCGGTAACGATAATGATGACGACATCAATACCGATAGCGATTACGAGATCAATACCGTTAGCGATAATGACGACATCAATACCGATAGCGATAACGGTAGCGATAGCAATAACGATAAAGAAATCAATACCGATAGCGACAACGATAACGACATCAATACCGATAGCGATGACGATAACGACATCTATAGTTGAGTCAAGATTGTTTCATAGCTTAGTAGTTTTATTGCTAAAATTTCCATTATTAACTGTGTCAACAAATGTAATGTTTACTTGCAGACACAGGCAAAAAATGTATAAAGAAACATTTATGAGAGAAGGCTTATACTCTGCCTGATGGAAACGATAGATTTCGCTAAGTTTGGTGTTTCATTTTCGTTTCTTATTCGCTGAAATAAAATGTTATTAAATATTCGAAAAAAACAAACAGCATTGAACGTATACATATAGTATTTTCTTTTATCGAGAAGCTATTAATTTAAGCGTTCTAATGCTTTATATCTCTGTCACATTTTTCTTGGACACCAAATGAATTCGTCTTTTGCTTGACTTTTACGTGAAAATCAGGCTTCTCCTGACAACCTGCATAGGATTTTTTGAAAGTGGTCTCTGAGAAAGGAGAGAAATGTAAGAGAAAAGCGATGAAATGTACAGGTAAGTGTACATATCTTGTCAAGATTACCATGCGCGGTAACCAAGACAGAAACTTCTCATTTTAACCGGGAATAGGTAGACTTGAGGTAGATAAGTATTTACGTTGAAATGCTATGACATGAGCCATTACCGGTGTGTGAGTTAGATACTTTCATTTTTAGGTAGAAAAAACTGTATGACTACATTTTAACGTATTATTTTTATTGAAAATAAGAATTTTAATCATAGAATTTTCAAATACTTAGGATACAAAATTAAAGAAACAAGTTTACCACCCTCGTTATTTCAAGAAAACACTTATGGTGCTAAATTCACCCAGGCACAGGACAGACTTAAATTATTGAAACCTACAAAGAAAAGAACAAGGCACAGATAAAACAGTCATAATGGAATGATGGCTTTTACGACTGACGATTAAGATTTTCGGCCATTTTACGGCTCATGGTTAATTTCTTTCCGTCACAGTTAACTTTTTTGTGACCAACGGTTAATATTTGTCAATTTTCACCCCACATGGCTGAAATTTCGACGTTTTAAGGCTAACGGTTAACCCCATCGAAACCCTCATATTTAGTAAATAAACGGAGCTCAACAAAAAAAACTCCATGCCGCTTGAGTAACGACACTGTAGGCGTTAAATTTACAGTTTCAGCTGAGAAAAACCTATTATTTAGGAATGGTCTCAGTTGCACGAACGACATGCTTAATATGCAATCCAAATGCATACAGTACTCATGTTTGATCTTCATGGAATGGCGGTTGCAAAAAATGTCTTCTACTAGTGTAATAAGAGCTATTTATAGAATGTATTCAATTTATTATAATAAGCAGTGGAGATAGGTGAAGATGAATACCCATAAAAAGCGAGGATAGTTGAGACACCGCTTCGCGAATCGATTTATGTGAACTTCTTTAAACGGATTGCGGATAATGAATTTTCGTAAATACTAAAACAGTTACAGGCGTTGAAGACGCGTGCTCATTTGCTACTCAAACTCCGAAAAATCCTTTGTTGAAATATAGAGAAGTACGTTAATGTTAACTCTTATCCGCTGGATAGCGATTTATGCTTGGATATAGTGTTCGATAGTGTTATCAGCCCTTTACAAAACTGAAGTAGCGCTTTTGTGTCTACACTTCTCTCGGCTTTCTTCATACTGTCATGAAATATAGTCCTTGGTACAGATATGAGAAAATGTGATAACCGAGAACTGTGGTTTTCTGGACAAGCTTCTTCCGGGAGATATGGTGATGGCTGACCGAGGATTTACCGTTAGTGAAAGCATTGGTCTCAAGCAAGCAAGACTGGTAATCCCAGCTTTTACAAAGGGGAAATCTCAGCTGGACCCAGTGGATGTGGAGCAGACTAGAGGAATTGCAAATGTAAGGATCCATGTTGAACGTGTGATTGGATTGCTCAGACGAAAATTTACAATTCTAGAAGGTACCCTGCCAACTGACTATCTTATATCTAATCATGAAAACTCTGATCGCCACACTCCACTGGTGGATCACATGATAAGAGTTTGTGCAGCTCTTGTTAACTTCTGTCCTCCTATTGTACCATTTGATTAGGCAAACCTCCCATTTCAAATAGTTATGTGTTAATGATTGAAGATAAATTTAGAAACAAAGACACATGGAACTCTCCAGAAATGTGGATATTCCAATAAATATTCCTAATGTACTTTACCATTTGTTTAATTTGTAAACCTTGGATGTTACAGTGCAATTAAAAAAATGGTGAACAACTGAAATATGCCTGAATTGTTACTGTGAACATTGTTTATTACTTTTTCATCAAACTGTGTTCTATCCAGAATACCCCAATTAGGTTTGTGCTACTTGACTAATACCCATGACTTATTTTGGTGTTCACATTTTTTTTTAGTTGTACTGTAGATAGTGAAATAATATTGTATCTGATGATCGAGGAATTCTCCATGAGGGTGTCAACAATATACTTCAAACCCTTGATCATTCTAAAAAAAAAAATTTAAAGCCTTGGAAAGAGAAACCAAACCCCTGTTTATGTCCCCTTTTAATTAGATATTGCTTGTTGATTCCTTCCTTTGAAACCGGAGGGTTGTTTGACATTGTCTTTATGTGGTTGTGCCATTGTCGAAATGAGAGGAAAAGAAATGAAACATTGATTTGACATAATGTTGGCATGCAGATTGGATGAAGAATGCATCCAGCCCTGTCATCTTTAATTTATAATTATGTTAAAACAGTAGATATTTTAGCATTCAATTACCATTGGCTGTTGTGTGTCTTAGTAGGGAAAGCAAAGAATACCATGAAAATTACAACTGAGGTACAAACAACTTTGACTGGCAAGTGTGATTAAAAAAATTGCCCTGCAAAACTTAGTTTTCTTTTATGAACAAAGTAAATGATCTTCTCATGCATGTAATGTACATAGATTGAGAACTGAAATTGATTAAAAACAAAATTACATGGATTTTATCCTTCACTTCAGACTGTATGCATAATCAGTGTACTTAGAATGTAGGGAATAAAGTAAACTTGCCATAACTTAGATATGATGCTAAGTGAGTTCTCATACTTTGAGCATCAAAATTTATGAATGTGGGATCTTCTCCAAAGACCAGGCAGGTGGAAAATGCAATAGCAAAAACCCCACAGTCACTTCCATTTGTTTGCTGCTGCACTGGCATAGGGTTAAGAGCAACCAAACAGCCCCTTAACAAGTCATTTGTTTGTTCTTCAACCTCTTGGGTTAGAACAGAGTCATGATACAGGCTGTCATAAAGATTGACATGTCCCAGCTCACATCCAATTGAGCTGACACACACCCAGTGACTGTGACAAGTGTGCAAAATTTGTATGAATTCACCGCTGACAACATCAAAATTTCTAACTGGGCCAAGAGTTGGTCGCTGAAAGCCTTCTATGCTTGAATTCTCACCACGCAGCAAAACTTGAGCTTGGTGAATAATGTCACAGTCTAGCCATCCAGTGGGACTAAGAATTAAATCAAAATGGGAGTCAGTTAGGTTTCCCAGAGGACTAGAATTGTCACTGCTGCCATGAGTGACTTTAATGATAGAAATATCACTTTCCCCTTCACCACTTGAGGAATCTGATGAAAAACAATACTTGGTAAGGGTGGTGGCTGAATGGACATTGGCAACTTTATTGCATTCAGAACATTTCCAGGTTGTTTGATAATTGTTGGGCATTCTGTTTAAAAAGAGGCAGGAAAGGTGGAAAAATTTTCCATTTTTACAGTTGTCTCCATGGCATTCTACAACCTTCTCTGTTGTACTAGGCTTAGCCTTGCAGATGCAGATGTTGTCCAATTTTATAGCTGCCTGAATAGATGCTGTAGGGGGTTGTGCTGATGTCCTGGTACTACCTCTTCTCTTGAACTGGGGAAGTCAAGAGCAGTGAGGGCAATACCAAGTCTTTGGCTTTCTCATGGCAGTGAGTGAAAGACAGGAAGGGTGAAACCTTTTGTAAGGGCAATTTTTGTTACTGCATGAAATGGTTTCCTCATGTCTGATTTTCCTGCAAAAAAAAATACCATCCTTATCTGGTAATTTAGGAGGCACTGTGCATCTTCTGGTATACCATCACCCTAGAATTTCTGGAAGAATACATATTCTCCAAAATGTTTCCAATTTGGGCAGTACAGAGTTCCAATGCTGCACATCTGGATATATGCACAGCACTATTAAATTCATGCTCTTTTTCTCATCAATGGCACAAACCACAAACTCACAATACTTGATTCCAGGCACAGAGAAAAGCTGCTGCTGCACCTGATAGTAGTAGCTGTGATTTTTTCTAAGCTGTAAATGTCCATTCACTTTTTCTAAGCAGGAATTCTTCTGCTGTGCAAAGTTCTCAAAGTTGCCATCTTTGATTATAATCAGGCACTTCACTTCACCGCATCCAGTGCCACAACAGTCACATGAAACTAAGAAATCAGGAGTGGCATGGAGAAATTCATGTTCTTTGTTAATAAACAAGCCACACTTCTTAACAGTTAAGTTCACGCAGTTCATGCCTCTTACCATGCCTGGTAGCTTTAGTGTTAACTATGTAGAGGCTTGGGTAACAAATGGTTTTAATCAGAGACTGAGAGGGCTGTGCAATGTTTGTGTGAAATGCTGCGTGACTTTCAGACGCACCAATTCTGCCAGCACGATGTCTAAAAAATCCCGACCCACTGGCTTGATCTCTTGTGTTGAGTTCCACTTTGTTTACGAGCTCATCAGAAATATCCAATGTCACTTCAACACATTTTCTTAGTAGTTCTGGATAAGCAATATCAACATTTCCCGTTTCAAATAGGTCGGGAATAATCGGCAGGGAGCGGCTCTCATCGATAAACTGGTCAGCATAGGGATCGATGAAGCTGAGAACAGCAGCTTTAATTTTGCAAGCATTTAGCTTCGCATACACAGCCTGCATTTCTTCTCCTAATAGAGACGCGATGGGCGAACTTAGATCGTCCTTCTCCGCTGAGTTTTTCTGTTGTTCCCCGAAATTTGGGTGCAGGGAGTCGATTCTTTGGTCCAGCGTCTTTTTAAGCTTTTTCGCGGCCGAAAAGTCGATATCCCGCACCTTCGAGTACGACACTTCTCTAACATACGTTGGCAGAATCCACGTGCACTTAGTTTGAGTACATGCGAGTTTCCCTTGGATTCTTGTCACTGCTTCGATATAGAAAAGGACACTTGCTACGTGCGAGCAGGATTCAGCAAGGCCTGCCTTGCATCCTAAGCAATGAGCTGAAAGAATGGTACCATCACTTTCTGCGATGATCCAAATATCTATCAGAGGATCGTTCATCCGTTGCGAATGTTTCACCTTCGCCACAACAACAATCTTGTTGAGAATCTCTGCTCCTTGAACCGAGTTTACGAAGCCAGACACCACTTGCTTGTACGCTTCAAGACTTTTGAAAGCTTTAAACTGCTTATTTGTATAATAACTTGTCTCGAGAACTAAATAGGAAAGAAGGTCCGAGACTTCAATCGGGGGCAAACATTCTGAGTGGAACTGCTCCTTTGGAATGGCTGCTGGATCGACACCGACCACAGAAATTTTCTTTAAATATCGCTCTCGAACATGGCTTTCTAGGCCCTCCTCATAGCTCGAAAGCACGGGTATCCTGAAAAGAATATTCTCTTGCGATTCTGGATTTTTTTTCGCTTGAAGTATCCATAGAACAAAGTATTTGAAAGAGGGCACTGTAGAGATGGCACTATATTTGCATGAAATTTCACACCTGAGATGAGCACCAACATGGCGGACGATTAATTTGCATAAATGTATGACGTCAGCTGCAAACCAGCAATTGATCTAATGTCTATCGACGTGATGTCTGATGTCGTCCTATTGAAGGCAAAGTCTTACTTATGATATCAATTATGTGTACGTGGTGCGACAGCTACCAACCCACACGTTACACATTCTTAAGATATTACCAAGTCATCATAAAAAGTGGTAATAATTTTTGGGTGAAAACTTTGCTCTATCATTTTGTCACGCCCAATTTTTACACGTGCGAAACTTGATCACTCCGAAACAGCTGAAACAATTTTCAATTCGTCATTTTTTTTTAATAAAATCTACACGAAGGACTTGTTTTTATGATACTTTTTCGAAAGTTCATCTCTGAACATGGGGCGAACTAACTTTTGCTGAACTCATGCATTTATCAGTGACTCGAAATCACCAGGTAAGCAAGTGTTACACAACAGTAACACTATGTAACGCAATACGTTATCTAAGTGACGCGGATGTTTTTTTCACTTACATGACGTCAGGAAAGTGACATTGAAACCAAAAATATCACAGCTGGAGAATAAAAAGCTTAAGAAGGATCGAACAAGGAAATTGAGAACTATTTGCACTGGAGCTTTCGATTTGTCAGCGAACAGTTCGAGTATGGCTGGAAGATTTGGCCTTGTGCAAAAAGAGAATGGTTCGAGAGTTCCTTTGGAGAGCATCAAGATTAAAGTCGACTTGCAGGGTTTTACAGCACACGTGTTGGCAACGATGAAATACTCGAACAAGGAGAGCAATCCCATTGAGGCAATTTTTATTTTTCCTCTGGATGAACGGGCAGCTGTGTGTGGATTCCAAGCGACAATCGACGGTCGAACCATCGTGGCTGAGGTACAAGAGAAGCAAGAAGCTCAAGATACCTATGACGATGCCATTAGCAGCGGTCACAGCGCGTTTCTGCTGGAAGAGAGCGACGAAAGCTCGGACATTTTTCAGATTAGCGTTGGAAACTTACCGCCGGAGAAGGAGGCTGTCGTCGAGCTGCGGTTCGTGACAGAGCTTGCCGTCGAAGCCGAAGGTCGAGTCGTGTTCGTGCTGCCAACAGTGTTAAATCCCAGGTACACTCCTCAAGACACTGCCCCCAGTCTGAGCGCACAAGTTCCACGAGTAGCCGCCGTTTCATCGCCATACGGGTTTGAGTTTGAGATGAAAGTGAAAGCTATTTCCTCTATCAGTGAGGTTACTTCTTCGTCTAACACTTTGAAGGTCGAGATAAACGAGAGCGATGCAACGCAAGCCAATATAACGCTCGCAGAAGCGCACACGTTTGACAAAGACGTAGAGGTACACATTTTGACGAGCGAGCCTTTCAAGCCGCAAGCAATCGTAGAGAGAGGAGTGAAAACAGAAGGAACGGAAGACGAGGAAGGATTCATGGCAAGTCCTGTCGTCATGCTGAATTTTTTTCCAGAATTTAAAACCTCAGAGTCGTCGGAAAAGGGCGAATTTGTGTTTGTGGTTGATTGCAGTGGAAGCATGAGAGGAAGTAAGAATAACAGCGCTCGGGAAACACTCCTTCTATTCCTTAAGAGTCTGCCGGACGGTTGTTATTTCAATGTTGTTGGTTTTGGAAGCAGCTACAAGACACTGTTCGATAAAAGTGTACTGTACAATGACGAGAATTTAAAGAAAGCCACCGATCTTGCTGGGAGCATGAAAGCTGATCTCGGAGGAACCGAAATCCTTTCCCCTTTGCAGTGGGTGTTTTCTCAACCCCTGGTTAAAGGTCACCCAAGACAGCTGTTTCTCCTGACCGATGGTGAGGTTGGAAATACTCAGCAGGTTATAAGTTTGGTCCAAAAGCACTCCAACAGCGCCAGGTATGCATTTTTGTTCTTTTTTATTTGAAATGTTCCTGTGTTTGCTTCTTTGGAAATGTTTTATCGCCATATTTCACAATATTAATTTGTAGTGATTCTATGTAGAATTTTGATTGTTTCTAATTTTTCAGTGCATTAAAATAAGCAGCAGAGTGGGGGGGGGGAGGTGGGATGGGATACAGGGAGACTACAGCCCCTTAAGTGCAAAAAGAGCAGTTCTGCCCCCCTCTCCACACACATTTTAAGTGCCAATGATATTACCAGAGCAGCATAATATTAGTTTGACAAACATTCAGTCTTGTTGTCTTTTCAAATCATTTCATCAGGATCATGCTTGGCAAAATTATATGTGGTTGGACTTTTTTATTTGAATGAAAAGCTCTGGCTTGTGTGCAAGAAGCAAAAACAATCAGGGGAGGAAAAATAATAGGCAGAGTATACACTTGGTTTAGTACACAGGATGCACCCTGCTCCCCTCCCCTTTCCCCCCCCCCCCCCCACATACCTCAGCGCACTTTGCAATGTGTTTTAATCTTTAATTGCGACTTTTAGGCCAACAGTATAATCTGTACCTTACCTGGAAAACATGGGAATTAGTACATGTAGGTCTGTTAGGGATTTTATGCAGTATTAGGCATTTAAGATCTTTTTTCCCATCATGAGTCCTAACCCTTTAACTCCCAAGATCTCATTATTGATTCTCCTTAGTGTCTCCCATACAATTCATATGATGTTAGTTTGGAGAATTTGAAATTGGATTGACAAATAATCCACTAATTGATGTTTTTCTTTATTCTCATTATTGGTCTGCTTAATATTGTACAAATAGTGTAAGGAGAAATTCTTTCTAGGTCACTAGTGGGACTTAAAGGGTTTCAATTACATCATCCTGCATGAATTCTTGGTATTTGGTTTAAAGACTTTTGTTATTACAGGTGTATTGATATCTCATAGTGAAAAAAAATTGGTTTTATCAGTACCTCTCTATATCAATGATTTTTCCCAGCTAGAGGGTCGTAGGGATAATCTGCTACACTCCTGCAGAATGACCTTCTGGTTCCTGTCAGAGGGCATAGTCTCTCACTTTTTTGGCAATCAGTTGTAAAGAAATAAACTGTGAGAGTGTTGAAAATTTTAATGAAAATTTGTGGGGAATACCGGAAAATAAACACATTTTGGACTTGTAATATAAGGCCTACCCTTTTCCCAACAAATTTTCCTCTTGACTTGATTCTGAAGAAGAGTATTTTCTCATGATTCAATTGTGTTCAATTTTTGTAGGTGTTTTACATTTGGCATTGGGGCTGGTGCATCAACTGCACTTGTCAAAGGAGTTGCCAGAGTGGGGAAGGGGACTGCAGAGTTTGTCACAGCCAGGGAAGACCGGTTGCAGGCCAAGGTATGAAATTATTTTATTTGAAATCTGTTTTGTCATAGTCAAACCTCCATGATCAGTAGATAATTTTAAAGACAACTTGAGTGAGAACCAGAACCATTGAACTGTCTTTTGAACCTTACACCTCCTGGGTTAGAGAATTTGATATTTTATTTACAGACACTTATAATCACCAACATGATTAAGTTCATTATGCTCATCATTTGTGTAAATTAACAAAGCATTAGATACTGAAGATAGAAGACACATGCTGACTACTTCTGTACTGAGCAAAGGGAAGGAGAAGTGTCTTTTCGTGGGAGGCTATACAGCTGTAGTTAAAAGTTTGTATCTTTTTGGCACGTCAGTAGACTTCTATGTAAGCTTACTGAAGGCTTACAGTGTATGTTGGCACTGTTTTTTTTCTTAAAGTGATTGTTGCAGTAGTTGTCTTTCTGAAAGCTATGTACTTTAAAGGTTACTTACACATGACAATCTCATGAAAATATTTGACACATACTCTGTTTGGTCTCTTTGACAAGGACTTTCAATAGCCATTCTCCATTAAAACCTTGGAGGAGTTTTGTGTCATCACTTTCTACTTTCTTTTTTTGCTGTTGTTACTGTTCTCTGCACTCTAGAATGCCTTATTGGGTGACAGTACTCTGTTGTTACTGTTCTTTGCACTCTAGAATGCCCTATTGCATGACAGGACTCTGTTGTTGCTGTGCTCTGCACTCTAGAATGCCTTATTGTATGACAAGACTCTGTTGTTGCTGTTCTCTGCACTCTAGAATGCCTTATTGTATGACAAGACTCTGTTGTTGCTGTTCTCTGCACTCTAGAATGCCTTATGGCATGACAGGATTATTTGAGTACAAGTGATACTGCATGATCTACTTGTCTGAATGCCAAGTTTTACATCTTTCAAAACAACATATTTTTAAATATTCCCAGTTGTGAATTATATCAAATGAAAACTTTTATATTTTGTAACATTAATACTAAAAATGTGGTATAAGTTTTATATTTTGTTGCAAAGTGTAAGGGTGTGTTGTGTCGTCTAGACTCGGTCAAGTTACTCCTTTCATTGCTATTGCTCAACTGAATTTTATTAAAGAATCAACAAGCTATATTCACAAAACAATACTAGGAATCAGTAATACTACTTTTACATAGGAATGTACTTTTACAATCATGTACCGATTGTGTCTTACAGGATATAGCGTGACTATTGTAACGCTTAGGTAACGCAATACACTACAGGGTGCATTAAATTAATATTTATATGTTTATTGTTAAGTGTTTTACAGGATTGTTTAAAATAGAAAAGGGCATGACATGCATTACTTGGTAGTCTTGTGTAACGTTTTATATAAGCCTTCTCACCCTAACATCAGTATGTGTACTCTCCATACTGTTCTCTGTATATTTCGTAAGGTACTAGCAAGAGGAATTTGTTTAAGAATCAAGAGGCTCTTTAGTTCGTGATCATTTCCTGTCTTCTCTTGATCTTCATGTTTGATTCCATTTTGCTATTGTAAGGAGAAACTAGATGCCAGTCACTCTAATGGGTTGAAGGGTCAAGCATAATTGATGAATCCATTTCCTTCAATCATATCAGTCAAAGAATTGGCAGAAAGGATTTTGTTACACAAAAGTAGGAAAATCTGGTGCTCTGTTCAAGGAGAATTGTACATGTATTTTTGTACTTTGGTGTAATTTTGTCCTTTTTTTGCAGAAGAGACTTTCAGATTTCACACTCTTCACAAATTTAGATATGAATTTTATGAATTTTTTTTTCTGCTGTACATTTGCTTGTTTTTAAGAATTGTAATCTAAATATTCACTGACTCACCTCAAGGCTGGCCAAAGTTTGTTATCTTGCAAAGAATGGTGTTGGATACACAGTAATTATGAAAATGACTTACTGGTCCAAGGAAGATCACCACAACTGACATTGCTGGTGTAGATTTGAATTCAGACATGCAGTAGCTTAATCGTTACCAAACTACACAGCTAGGAACTTACTCAAAGACCTTCTTGAAGCTGTTGAATTTATCATGATTACGCACTTAACCTCCTAAAATGAAGTGACACAGTAATGCAAAGGTATGAACCACATTTTAAATGAACAACTGTACAGATTTGATAAAATTATTACTTCACTTAACTCTAATCATATTATATCATCTCAATTTATTGTGATATTTTATGTTACTGGAATATATTCACTGCTCTTGTCTGAAAGTAATATGGTAATTAGTATACTGTATGTAAATGTGTTTCTTGGTAATTGTAAATCCCAAATTTTGTCATTTTTATTACTATTTAATTTTTTAATTTTACAAGCTTGAAAAAGAAGAAATGTTGTGCTATATGTGTCATCAAGAAAGCTTTGTTATGGGCTTCCATGCAGTGTTAGTAACAGGATGCCAAAATACAGTAAAACCAAATTTTTGTAATTTAATTTCGTTTAGCAAAGAATGACTCTGGTATATTTAACTTAAATATTAAAATTATCGGTATACACGGTGTATGTGAAACTGTTTTTAACAGGAGTTCAAACGAAATAAAGTAGACGACGTGCATAAAAATGTATATTTAGGTTGCATTCTCTTTGCAATTGAACGCACCAGGAGAGCTCCTGGGTGAAATTTGAGAAAGATTGTGAGCAGATATGATTCGATCAAAGGGTGTCCAGGAGAGATTGCAGTTGTAGCAGCTGAAGGAAAGCTGTTGTGGGCCACCACCCTGGCTCTGGTGCTGCTGATGGGAAAATACTCGGATCAGAAAGATGAATGGGAAATGGGAAGAATCTTCCTTCAACTGTCACTGTCGCTATAATACTGGAGACTGCAGCAGCTACAGTTGGAGTTGAAATTAACTCTGGTCTTTGAATGGCTCAGACACGCCTTGAGAAGGATCGGCTTTAAGAGCCACCGTGACACATTCGGCTGCGAATAAGATTGTTAGTGCGCGTAAATCCCTCGGGAGAAATGAAAAAAGTTGACATTTTGGGAGGCGGAAGTGCATTCGGAGTACCTCCCCATCTTCCTTCTGGAGAGATGTCCGCTCATTCAAAAGGATTCTTCTCTTCGCTGTTTGGGGGCTCAGTGAAGAAAGGAAAAGGAGATAAAGCAGCATGTTCTTATCCAGCTCTAAAATCAGTAGGTCTAGCGGCACCTGAAACTGTTGTCGATGGGGAAGGTGACAGTGAAAGTGATGACAAGTCATTTGGGGTCATCCAATCAAACTGCTACATGGCCTTTAATGTTTATGCAGAAAGGCTTCTGAAGCTCCTGAAGCTCCTGTTCCTGAAGTTTCCGCCAACAACCAGAAAAAGAAAGGTGCTCGGTCTGCCTTGTCAGTTATTTCATTTCAGAAAGCGTCAGGACCTCGGGACCTCACAGATCAGCTGGTGTCCTTGTGCGATGCAAGTAGAAGTGATTTGATCAAAGGATGTCCAAAAGAGATTGCAGCTGACACACCTGAAGGAGAGCTGATGTGGGCCACCGCCCTAGCTCTGGTACTGCTGATTGGAAATTACTCGGATCAGATAGATGAATGGGAAATGATCGCTGAAAAAGGCACAAAATGTCTGGTAAAGAATCTTCTGGGAAGTTTAACACTGGATCAAGTGGTAGAGAGTGCAGCAGCTGTAGTGGAAGTTCCGGTTCTTTCTGGACTGTGACTGGCTGGCCAAATATTTCCATTATTTCAATATGTCACAATTACCTCAGTGTCGTTTGCACAAATTTGATGTAAAACATTGCTCAATTAACTACTGAAGACGCTAACCTTAAGCCGGCCGGTAGACCGAGTGTGCTTGGTGCTGATTCATATTTTGCATCAGGAAAAGGACAATTAGGGTTAATGATTAAATTTTTCTTGTTCGTAGACCTGTCCGACCGACCTGTTTGGAATTAGTGGTAAGATTCTCAATTAAATTAGTTTTCAGTATGAGGCGTACAAGTGCTCTTTCCTAACCCGAGAATTCAGATGACTTTTTTACCAAATTGTTTTGAAAAGATCTAAAGCAAAACGGCAAACATTGGTATAACGCTTGTTCGTTGCTTGTTTTGTCGTGTAGCAAGTTCCTTCCTCAACTAGCTCGAGGCTATCTATGGCCTGTACCAGGTAACCAGTTTATGGTAATTTGCAAAAAAGCGAAGCAGGCTACAGAGAAGAAAGAAGGGCACTAGGATTACTGAGGGGTGATGATCTTTGCAAATTTTATCTCACCCGCTCAATCTTTCATCTCGACCAGCTAAAAGTTTCACATAGGCTCTGAGATGTTGTTGCTGCTGTTGTTGTTGTTTTTTTTTCACACCTCAGGAAGCTTTTGCGAGTGCTTTTAACATCAGTGATTATTTACAGACGCCGTTGGACAACTTCAACCACTGAGATGGAAATCTAACACATTTGAAAGTGAAATATTTAGGAGGCATAATAATTTATTCGAATTAATTGCGAAGGCTTTGTTGTGTCTTTGTAAATTGTAGGATTCTTCCCCGTAAGTGTTGAAAAAGCTCAGCAAATATACAGCGGTTGATGTGTAAAGTAATTCTAACGTGTTACATAGTCTAACGTAGTTAAGCGAACAATTTTCTCAATTTAATGAGAAAAATTTATTAGAGATGTTATAAACGCATGTAACGTTCCTATAAATAAATTGAAAGTGAAGAAGCACATTTTGGAAACGAGAAAAGTGTGCGAAACTTACATTTGTTCAGGCTCTGACTCAGGTTTCTTCCTTAGTGCTAATTAAAACCTGCACCTACGATTTCTTTACTAGATTCGCAAACTATGAGTCTAATTCGAGTGTCATTGTTTTGCGAAGGACGTTGATTTTCAGCCGACCACACAGTAGGAAGTTCACTGTTTCTTTTTTTTTGTAATTTCTCCTCAAGGCCTCGTTGGCTAAGTTTGTTTCTTCAAAATTTCCAGATTGGTGTGGATGGGGTTCGTGATGTTCTTTTTTTTTGCCGTTGATTTATTCGTTAAGACCTTTTTGGTGTTGAATCGTGGAGAGCTACTGCGTATTCACCTAGATTAATTAGTACTATTGCACACGACAATAAAAACGCTGGGAAATGATAGGTGCTTTAAGACTGAGGCAGTTTTCATTTTTAAATTAACAGGTAATCAAGACACTAAAGCGAGCCCGGCAACCTGTCATCACAGATGTGAGCATAACCTGGAAACTAGAAAAAGACTGGACTGTGCAGCAGATCCCCTCGTCTCTTCCTCCGCTTTTCAGTGGAGACAGGCTTGTTGTTTATGGCGTTCTGAAGGCGTCTGAAAACAAAAAAAGCGGTAGCGGAGTGAATGAAGTGAAACTCGAAGGTAACGCAGAAAATGATGCTCAAGTGGATCATATCATTCAGTTTGCATCCCCCGCCACAGAAGACAGCTGGGATACAGATGCAAGAACCGAAGGAAAAATCCTTCTTCACCGGCTAGCAGCCAAGAATTCTATTCAAGAAAAACAAGGTGACGTCAATGAATTGGGCGACAGTGGGCCAAGGGTTGAGAAAGCTAAGAGCTATGTTATCAGCATCAGCAAGTCGGCCAATGTTGTATCAAAGTTAACGTCGTTTGTGGCTGTTGACAAAGACAGCCGTGAGCCTGTATCTGGACCACTTCGAAAACGAGTGGCCAACTTTGCCTCAATGATTACGTCTGCGGCTGGTAGGAAACAAGCCTACTATATAAGCACGGCAACACAGTCTGCCAACATTCCGTGGGCAGCCGGAGTTTCATCTGGAGCTCTTCCACCTCTTCGAAAACATGTGGCACCGAGACGTATAAGGAAAAGGAAAAGCTGCCTTGATGCTCCTCTCGTTTCCACTCATAACCAGAATAAGAAAGGTCCTCTGTCTGCCTTGTCAGTTATTTCATTACAGAAAGCGTCAGGGTCGTGGGACCTCACAGATCAGCTGGCGTCCTTGTGCGATGTAAGTAGAAGTGATTTGATCAAAGGATGTTCAAAAGAGATTGCAGCTGACACAGCTGAAGGAAAGCTGATATGGGCCACCGCCCTGGCTCTGGTGCTGCTGATGGGGGAGTACTCGGATCAGAAAGATGAATGGGAAATGATCGCTGAGAAAGGCAAAAAATATCTGAAAAAGAATCTCCCGGGGAGTTTAACACTGGATCAAGTGCTAGAGAGTGCAGCAACCGCAGTGGGAGTTCAGGTCAATACTGGACTGTGACCAGATAAATAATTACCACTATTTTACACCTTTTTCACAATTACCTTAGTGACATGAATTTGATGTAAAACGCAAAACCTAACTCGCGTCATTACTTTAGTAGCTAAACGTAGGTTACCCGTTAATCCAGGTTTGTCGTGGTGCTGACTCAAATCCCATCAGAATAGAATGAAAGAAAAAATAGACTATGTTTGATCTGGCCGGATAGGGACGGAATTTTTCTTGTTAGTAGGCCGATCCGGCCGATCAATTTTGGATCAGAGGCAAGATTCCCAGTTAGTTTATCATTAGTATGATGATTTACGTATACCAATGTTTAGTGCGAACTCGGTGATTCTGATGATTTTTTTACCAACTTGTTTTCAAATTATCTAAAGAAACAAAAAGAAAAATCGGTACCATGCTTGTTTCCTGCTCGTTTCGTCGTTAAGTAGTGCTTATTTTCAACCAGCTTAAGGCTATTTCATGGCCTGTGCGAGGGAGCCAGTCTGTGGTAACTTGCACAGAAGCGACATAACGAAAGGGACTAAGATTACCAAGGGGCCAAGAAACCCACTGGTTTTCTCTCAGTCGTTCAGTCTTTAGTCTCGCACCTTTGACAAAGAATAATTCAGCAGGCGTTATAATGTAGTGAGAATACTTTGTCGTGTTTTTGTGAATTGTGGGAATTTTTACTCTCGAGTGTCAAAAGAGTTCCGCAAATATACCGCAGTTGGCGTGTAAAGTTACTTTAACGTAATGCTTAGGCAAACGAATTATGGACGAAAATTTTCACAATTTTAAATCAAATTAATTGAGTAGCTCTGTCATACATGTTATACTTGTAGTGTCCCTCTAAATAAATAGGAAGTTAACTAGTGTTAAGTCTTGAAATAAAGATTGAAAAGTGAATAATGTGCGAAACTTGTATGCGTTCAATTATTGAAAGATTTTACCCTTTCACTCAAACGAGTGACTGACTTCTAATTTCTTCTTTCAGTATCTCTCTTGAATTGAATTTAATGGTCATGAGAATATTGGAAATGATCAGTAATTCTTTTCATAACCATAGAAAATGTAAAGAGAACAGTATGGAGAATATGAATTTTAATGTTAGAATGTAAAGGGTTAATTACCATTCCTAATCGTTACCTCTGAAGCGAGAAAGTGATGACCGGCTGGAGCCTGGGAACAGTCACCAGTAATTTTTGATATTTCCTCTAATGGTGGATTAAGAAAAGAGCATTTGATAGGCTCTTTTATACGCGATAATTGAAATCTTACGAAATAGCATTTAATTTCTCCCTACAATATCACCCCTGAATCGCACATTAAGGTCATGAGAATAAAGGAATTGATCACCAACTAAAGAAGCTCTTAACTGTTAAACAAATTTTCCCGATTAACATCTTAGCAAATACTTAAATAACAGTACCGGAATATGCATACTGATATCAGGGTTTAAAGTTAAGATTGACTCTTTTATTACGCAGCTTTCATTTTTCATTTTCTTTGTTTGTTATTTGGCTTGTTTTTTAAGCCAGCCAATGACCAAATAGAGAGTGAAAACTAATCTCGCACTCATCCTACCGTGAAACCACTTGGGCGTGGGAGTCTGGGCACGAGACTAAGTGAGGACAGTAAAGCAATACACTCGTCTGATAGGTCCCAGTCCTTCAACCTACATGCGTAAGAAAGCACCGGCTAAATGACCAATGGTTTAAACTCAACTTTTTTTTTAACAGATTCCCAATCAGTTGAACGTCATCGATCAATAATCCAGTAGAGCTCAGCACACGATATCTATTTGCCCTACGCGAATCTATTTTTTTAGTTCTACCTGCTGAATAGTTTTAATCTTTTGTATTATGTATGTGTCAGTGGCTTCACTGTAAAATTTTAGGCAAACTGAACACTATCGTACTTTGAACTTTTAGGTTATCAAGACTTTAAAGCGAGCCCTTCAGCCTGTCATCGTAGATGTGGGCGTGGCCTGGGAGCTAGAAAGCGGCTACACTGTGCACCAGATCCCCTCATCTCTCCCACCGCTATTCAGTGGAGATAGGCTCGTGGTGTATGGTGTTCTAAAGGTGTCTGAGAACGCAAATGATAGCAACAGTATAAACGTAGTCAGGCTTCAAGGAGCTATACGAAAACGGTGGTCAACTGGATCATAAGATTGCGTTCACAACCTCGGCAGTGGATGACAGCTTGAATACTGATAACAATGAAGCTGACGTAAATGTAAATCATCTTCATCTTTTAGCCGCCAAAACTACCATCCAGGAAAAACAAGACGAGTTTAACGAGTCCAGGGACTACGGGCAAGTGTCTGAGGAAGCAAAGAGCTACATAATCAGCATTAGCAAGTTGGCCAATGTTGTGTCACAGCTCACCTCCATTGTAGCCGTTGACAAAGACAGTCGCGAACCTGTTTCTGGACCACTACATTACCATGAGTTACACGAGGTTTCACAGTATTGCGGCTTTGATTCCGCAATGGTTGAATATTCAAAACGATCTTATAGGGGCAAAAGAAAAGGGGGTTTTGGTTGTTTTAGCTTTAAGAGCAAAAATTGTCCAAATAAAGCTAGTAAGGGAAAGTCCAAGGTAAAGTCAAAAGGATTTTTGTCAGCGCTATTTGGAAGTTTACGAAAGAAATCGAAGGGAACAGTAGCATCAGCGGAACCTTCATCAAAAGGCGCAACATCAGCTGAACCTTCATTAAAAGGCGCAGCATCATTGGAACCATCATCAAAAGGCGCAACATCAACTGAACCTGTGGTCTCTGATGTTGAAGAACGATCCGAAGACGATGACAATTTATCTCTCGGCAGGGAATCGCGTCGCCCGAATTCTAAAGATCCTTCTACAAGTATGTGGAAGAGCTCCCCATCCCCTCAAAAGAGTCATCGATCTGCCTTGACCATTATCGGATTACAGAAAGCGTCAGGGCCTTGGGACCTCACAGAGCAGCTGGTGTCCCTGTGTGGTATGAGTAGAGATGATTTGATCAAAGGGAGTCCAGAAGAGATTGCAGCTGACACAGCTGAAGGAAAGCTGTTGTGGGCTACCGCCCTGGCTCTGGTGCTGCTGATGGGAAAATACTCGAATCAGAAAGATGAGTGGGAAATGATCGCTGAAAAAGGCAAAAAATGGCTGAAGAAAAATCTTCCATCAACTGACACATTCACTAAAGTGCTAAACATTGCAGCAGCTGTGGTTAGGGTTCAAGATATTCCTGAACTGTGATAAGGAATTGGAGAGCTATGTTTCTTGCATATCGAAAGTGGTTCAAAGTTGATGGAGAGAATTCTGGATAAAATTATTGTGAATGACTGACAGTGTCTCCGGTGCTACTTGAATGAAAATTAGTCTGAATTTAGGAGATCATTCAACATACACAAAAGCTGTAGCACGGTTATTGAATTTCGTGTCAGCATCAGTTTGCCAGAAGGTATTAGGCAGGCGTAAAATACATGACAAGAAGCCCTTTGTGGCCCGTTCAACCAAAACATTTCGGTGTTCCTGCTACAATCACCTTGCGCGGGGTGATTATCGTGGGAATTGACGCGATCTTCGACCAATCAGAAGGCGAGAATCTTTATAATCAGGTCAGAACGCTACGCTAGAAGCAAGAGTATTATTTGTTAAACGTTTCGTTGGCCTACAGAATCGGAGGAAAAAAGAATAACTGAAAAGAAAGCTATTATTTTTTATTAAAATTTTTATGAAAAAAAGAATTGAAACATTTCAATTTATTAAAATTTTTATGAAAGGTGGTGTGATGCTGTTGTTTTGTTTATATAAGAAATAGTTTCTCTTACTGCGAAATAATTTCCTAATGTGAAAATAAGGAGTCTTCCTTTTTGAATAATAAATAATTTCAAAAATACTTATGGGTTTCACTCTAAATATCAAAAATTTTGGGTTTCCTTGGTAAAATTTGCTATTTCTTGGTAACCGGGCTATTTCATTCTCATGTATAAAGAGCTGTTGAGGAAAGAGCTTAAAACAGAGTCAGTTTGATTGAACGGGTTTAATAGGAGATACTTTAAAAAGTTTACTGTTTCTCCTCGCCTGACGCACCAAAGAAGCAACAAGGTGGGAGAAAGCTAGAGTAGTTTGGTCGCTCGCTCGGCAGAGAGAGGCACCGTGTGATCCAGTAGAACCGGTTTAGTGTCCTAAGAACACAATACAATAAACATTGTCGAGTATCGAACCCGATCACGTGGTTTGGAGTTGGTCGTCACTTTCAAATTTATCATATATAAAAAAGAACTCAGAGTTTAGCAGAGTGGAATGAGGTTTGGTGCAAATTTGTTCTACTGTGCTTTGGAGGAGGTTTCATTATCGGGGATTTTTCCTAATTTCGGCTACCTGTTTTGCAGGTAAACCTGCTGAAAATACCAGCTTGTTAGTTTAAAACGTCGTGTTGAAACAGTTATCAAACCGTACCATACGAATTAACGTCGCGCGACTCTAAATCGCTTGTATGTTATGCCTTTGCTTTTCTTTCACAGGAAAGCGTGTTAGTAAAACACCTTCTTTGCAAAAATATAAATTCACTGATAGAAATCAAATACAATTGAAAAGAATGGTTCAGTTCAACAACAAACAAAAAAACTACTAGTGAGTGACAAATGATGAAAAATTTGCATTCTAAAAAGTACTTTCGCGAAAGTTAGCAAGCTTAATGTTTGATCTACAAGTTCTCTCTCTTGCCTAAACGTTCGTGGTCCTACCCCTCCCTCTCCCCCATTCCTCCCTGGCCTTACCCTTCTACCGGAACAAAGGAACAGAAATGACTGAAATGATGATTTGAAACAAATGATCCGTAAAACACAATCGCCACATGCCCGAGTTCCCCGAAGTTCTCGTTTTACTCCGATCAATAATTAATTATTTGTTTCTCTTCGTTTCGCTGATTTCTCATCGAAGAAAGTGGCTTCACGCGAAGACGCAATGTTTACGTCGGTTTGTGGCGTGTAGAGTTTGATATTTAATCAAATTAGCCATTAGTAATTGTGGGAAAAAGTTAAAAGCGATTTTTTTCATCGTATTTGGTAAGTACAACCATTAATGGTCCTCTTGCTTCATTGGTCCAAAGAAACCTTTAACTTGTTCTGGCGTAGATCAAAACATTTTAAAGCCGCTTTGAAACACCTAGTGAACTTAAATCTAAATTGGAAACAGCGCAATGGCTTATTAAAGGAAAAAACTGTTTTTCTTAGACGCATCAAAACTGTTGACAATTAGAGATAGGTACAAAATTAGGACAAATCAAAGGAAATATGCGACGTAGTTTGACGTTCGCGGTGATGGTCCAAAGCCAAAGTCTATCAGGTGTTTAATCTTTAATTTGCGCTCGCAAACAATGACTTTAATTGAAGGACTACCCTTTGAATTTGAAAGAACTAACGCTTTTTTGATTATCTGTAGTTTTTTCAACCCACTTTCCACCGCAGGAAATAACCAGTGATTCACGTGGCTTCCTACAATAGCTGTCAATTTCGATACTATACATAGTGTTAGATATAGCATCTTTCAAAAATTAGTAAATTAAATAAGTGATTAAAACAAGAATAGAATCTTGGTGGTAAATACAACTGGGCAGAAACGAGTCGGTATTAGATTGCGTCTTACGACAATAAAATAGTGCACTGAAAAACAGACAATGAGTAAATAGAGTGATGGACCAGAAGTATGTTTCTCTGTGAGATTAGTCAACTGTTTTCCTTACTCTCAGAAGTGGTTCAATATGTCATTGGTGCTAGCATTTGATATTTGTAACCAAGATAAATAACGGAACGTTGTCTTCTCTTGCTGTAACTAATCTATCCTTATTTTTCTTTATCAAAGGTCCAGGACGGAACGGAATAATGTGAACTCAGATGAAGAAATGGCGAAAAGATTTCGAAGCAATCTCGACCAAATTCTAACACCAGGCTCTTGCGCGTGATGAGCAATGATAGCTGTCTTTCATCAAAAAGTGCTCAAAGGGAAAAACAAAGATGAGCAAAGGAAAAGGTTTGTAGGAAGTTTATGCTAACACAGTTATCACATGAACTAATACACGGTCAACTTAAGTAATTTTTCCGATTCTGTGAAATTATATCCAAGAGGTAAAAACGCCCCAGAGGCTCTATATTCCAAGGAGTAACCTAACCGTATGAGTGGTGCATTAAAATGTGCTAAAGATTCAACTTTAGACGCAGTCACTTTGGAAATAAACTTTTAGAATAACTTGGCCGTAAATACAAAGCCAGAACTGAATGGGCAGTCCGCAAAGAGCGTGTGCTCTTGACTGTTGAAGAGAATCACCTTGGCATGGGAGAAAGAGGAACGAAAGCCTATTACGTCACAAACATATGACCAGGCTGCTACGCAGGATCCAAGATGGTTTCGCCCATAGCTACATTATGGGCGCGTTTGGAGACAATTCTTTGTCGAAGGGTTTGGTTTTTTGTGAAATTCCACAACCTGCACATCGTTTCTGAGGCATAATTCTCCGTTAAATCACTGCATCAGACAACGGAGAAGGCAAATGAATATCGTAGTCCAAATAATACGGCTAACTGCTTATGTCCTCCTTTGTGTTGATATCTGAGCTCTCTACCATCTACCTTTGCTTCATGAATTTGCTCCAAATATACAACTCTGATAAAAAAAGGAATGTGTACAATTCATTCCCGCAAACGACCTCTTGTATTACGAAATGCACCTCTAGCCATACTTGCCTTTTGAATCTATGGGGATTTCTCGTTTTTTTTTCTATCAGAAGCAGGAAAAATTCAAGTGTACGTCCGCGTGCGTCCATTCACGGAGAGAGAGAAGGACAAACGAGAAGTGAATGCCATTGAAATTCATCAAGAACACTCGCTGGTAAGCAAAGCGAATCGTAAAATAGGACTGCAGCGTGTACATGTAGATACTTCCGCTTTCAGAGTTGTCATCTGCCGCTACAATGACCTTTTCTGAGTGTGATACGATTTAAGTCAGTGGTAATTACGTGGCTTTTCCCATTACAAGACTATTAGCTTACATTTGTGCTTAAATGCGACTTTTTCCTGGACACACGTCTCCAAACTTCATAACCCCTGAGTACCCATATGTGGCTGCCATGGGTGACTAACTCTCAGCAAATCGGTCGGACAGTTTTAACGCGACTTTGCAATATATTTAATCTCAACAATTGCTTATACAAGTTGGTATTAATCAGATCGGTTAAAACTGCATGTAAAATAGCGAGCGAAAACTTATTACAATGTAAATCAAGTTAAATACGCCTAAAAATAAATATGCTCAGGGAAACTACAACGAAAATAACGATGAAAATTACGTGATACAAACTTACATTTGTTGCGATGCTGTAGAATTACTGCCTAACGGCGAAGAAGCTGCAAGACGTGCCATACAATGAAATATAACTTCTGCTTCGCCAGCGGACTTACTGAGTAAACTGAACAAATTGTGATGAACAATACGGTCTAAACACATGCCACGTCACGTAACGTTATGAAATGTTACGTAGCATAGTGCACACAAATTTGAACTGTAACTAGTGTTGTTTGTGCAAGAACAATAAATGATAAAAAAAGAACAGGGTGTTTGTGATCTACACCACCAGTCTCTCAGTTCATACATAATACCATTTGTTTATTGTGTTGACAGATACGTGTACTGGATCCACGAAGCCGAACGAATTATTTTTTTGATGGCGTATTTAGCCCAGAAGCATCCAACCAAGAGGTTAGTGTATTACATTTAATCCTGTTCGAAATACCATATTTATTTGACGCTGCCCTCGAATAATAGACTCAAAAGGTACACAGCGATCATTGCTTCGATGGCAGTTAGAAATTTTGAGTAAAACAGACACAGATCCTTTTAAATGTACTAATTCTTATGTCGAGAAAGCATATCAGACATTAGATCTTTATTCACTTTGTGTATTGCAGTGGTATTAACATGCAAATAGTGAAACTGACAACAATATAAAAAAATGATCTTTTAGACAAGCACTAAGACATATTTCTTTTTTTTTTTAATTAAAGTGGTCAGTCACCATACTATTGTTTGGATTTTAAATTAATGCCGCTTTTTTACAAACGCCGCCCTCGAATCAACACCGCACTCGAATCACGACAAATTTAATAAACGCCGCGGTGTTTAATCGAATAAGTGCGGTTGTCATGTCGAGGAGGGCACTATCATCATTATCATCGCAAAATGACGTGTAAATAACATAAATTTGACCAACACGTTACTACATGTTTTATAATCACTTAAACGGTCAGTTTTGCTTTCAATCCTTAAGGTGACAAACATTGCACACAAGTCGGTTCTGTCTCTAAAATTTCTTTCAGCTGGCAAAATGTCAGATATTTTTATCTAAAGTGTTAGAAAAAGAAAAGTCTTCTCCCGTAAGGAGGAGCTAGGCCATATAATAGAATTGTATAAAGGAAATGCCTGATATTTTATGGTTTAAATTGCTTAAAGGTATATCTCAAGGTTGGAAAACCTCTCGTCTACGCTGCATTGAATGGCTATAAAGGAACACTTCTAACATACGGACAGACCGGTACAGGTAAGGAAAATGAATATTTTAAGCTAAACACAAGAGGGAAAGGGAGAACAGCTCTAAATCTTACATCCTGTGTCTCTTTGGTTGGTTGCGCAGTCTTTCATAAACTACTCAACAATTAAAGATAATCTATTATGAAAATTTTTTCAGGCAAAACCTTCACACTTCTGTCAGATGATGGTGTTACCACGCGAGTTGTCCAACACTGTTTTGAAAAAATCGCCAACGATGAAATTCACAACTACAAGGTGAGGACCAAACATATTTAACATTTTGGTTTCTCTTACCAATCTCAGCTCTTATCGATGTGTATTTCTCATGAAAAGAAGGATGATGAAGAATTAAAGGCTGTCATACGGGCGTACTTGTCAGCGAAAATCGTAACGGTGTGCTCTTCGAACATGTGCAAGGAGATAATTTTGAAATTTTTCTTGATGGATAATATGACCTAACTTGATTGCAAATATCCAGGGTAACATTTGCAAAAGAAATATAAACTCTGATTAAAAAATGCCTCTCCATGATGGCGGCGGGGGGTTCAGAATACAAGTTGTATTCGCATTGGATTTTTTCTTTATGTACGATTTAAGTCTATCATAAGATTACATGCTTTAAGAACACTTTTGTTAAGACACGACCATGGATGCACGTAATCCGAGAGAAACAGATGACATTTGATGTTGTTCGTTCTCAGGTCATGTGTTCATTTTTGCAAGTCTACCAAGAGAAGGTCTACGATCTTTTGAATCCGCGGTTTACAGTAGATTTACCAGTCAGAGAGCATCCAAAGAAAGGTAAGCGCGTTCAAGTGCCCTAATTCAATCAGAATGCCAAAACAAGATCGTAAATGATCATCGATCAGATAATTTCATACAGCAACATTGAAAATTTCTGAGTAAAAGCGGCTTTTATTCTGTAGTTTTCAAAGAACTTAAACTCGCAAATCTTGGAGAAAGATGTTTTTCGTCTTGTCACGAGCGTGGGACAAAGAAAAAATTCTGAGTCCCCAAGAGAAATCGAACCTCAGACCTTCGGATTCCGCGTTTCGATATTTTACCACTGAGCCACAAAGACTCTATGGTGAGCAAGGCCCAATAGGATCTTTCTCATTCTATTTACTAAACATGACGCTATCGACATTGCTGATCCTTGCAGTATGTAGGACGCGTGTCATATATGAACTTCGTACCGGGCCTTGCTCACCTTAGATTCCGAAGGGCTGAGGTTCGATTCCTCATGGGGGCTTTGAATTTTTTCTTTGTACCATGCTCGTAACAAGACGAAAAACATCCTTCTCGTTTTCTTTACCGAGCTCAAAACTTACCATCTGTCTCATTCCACTCACAAACCTTGTCTGATTAGTGTAATGACCCTGAGTGGATTGTGATTTCGAAGGTCTCGCCGGTTCGATTTGTAGTCTACGCTCACAAATGGCTGACAGCAAAGTCCCAGTCAGTCGGAGTTTTGAACTCTTAATACATTTAAGTATTTTTCTCACCGAAGCCTGCTTCGCGTGAGCCGTTGAGACATGAACACCACGTTGCCTGTCGAGGTTTAAAACTTGCCACTCAATCACTGATACTTTGAATCACCGCGCGCTAACCTAATATAATGCGATAACATATGTTCATCACTTTCCCTTTTCAGGAGTATACGTAGCAAACTTGACCCAACACGAAGTAAAAAGTGCTGGAGATGTATTTGCACTCTTAGAGATAGGAAAACAACATCTCGTTATCGCGGAGACCAAGATGGTCCGGCATTCCAGCAGGTAATGGCTTCAAAAACTTTCTATCACTTCAGTTTTTTGTAGTTATTTGTCGTAACAATTCGATTTGTTCAACAGATCCCACTCAATCATGCAGCTTATTATAGAAAGAAGACTGAAGGCACACATTGCTAATGGTAAGGAGAAAAAACATTTCTTACGTCCAACGAAGCTATCTTTGCACTGGTAATTCGTAGCTGACACAAATTAACAAAAACCTTTCTTTACTCGACAACTGCGCCAAAAATCTTTCATCTTCCTTCCCCTTCGTCCATACCTGATCCAAAGACTTTTATCCCTTGTGTTTCAAATCAATTTATATCTTGATTTTGATGTAAACGCGACAAACAAAAGACAAAACTCTTCAGAGCTGGCAACTACCCACACTTTCAAGAAAAGTGCTCCTGGCTGGGACTCAAATTCTCGCACAAGACTCTCTTTCTTTGTCGCTCACTCGAAATAAGAATTAAACGTCTTCCATCAAAACTTTTCACTTCAGAAAAACCCCCGAGCAAGGGTGAAACTACGGTATCCCATGAGGCAGTTCAAGAGTCTATCATGGCAGTCGACGAAACTATTAACAATCTCATTAAGGAACTGAAACAAGAAAGAAAAAGTCATCACAAGGTAAGGGACTAAGTTCGAATATCTGCGCAACCTCTGAGTAGACACCTGTATACTACTGAAGGTAGAACAATATTCAATATGACTTTAGTTCAAACCAAGAGAGGTTGAATCCTCTCCTGGTTCAGACTAAGAGTCCACAGTTTGGTAGAAAATGCATGAACTTTACCAAAAAAAACTGTGTAATCAATCACTGTCATTTGAAAATCTTGTGTTGTGTACACACTTTTCTGTATCGACTCTGTCAATATGTACTTCAGCACAAAGCTTTTGAATTATTTGAAGTGTTGTCTCATTGTAAGACCGTTTGGAAGGTTGCTCGGCAAACTTCTAACTCCTATTCTTATTTCCTCTTTCAACATCAGCGTGAACGAGAATGTTTGAAAGAGTTAATGGAGAAGGAGGTAAGATTTTGATAATAAAGCTTTATTGGGTTAATCCATAGGATCAAATCCACATGTCAACCTCGACTTGGAAACGAGTCAAAGATTTTTGCCTCCTCTGTCATTCACCTCCTTATAATGCGAAATGAACTGCTTCAGCAGATGCCATGAAAGAGAATGGTACAAATAATTGAATTAAAAAACCCTCATTCCGATAGGATTCCCATATCAAGCGCACGTTATGCATGAAGCCCCTATCTTAAAAGTCCCCTCAAGCCCCTATCTTTGAAGTCCCTTTTTTAAGGCAATAGAGCTTACATCAAGCACTCACCTCTACAAAGCGGCCACCAGAGAGAATACTGAAGGTTTCCTCTGAAACAGGCTCAAAATACTATACATTTATCAACCAATCGCAACTTACGAACTTTGCTTACTTACACAGCTCAACAACGGGAACAATTTTGAGGGCGATCTCATTGTGAAAGGAAAAATCAATTTGTAAGTAGGAAATCACATCAAAATACCATCCAAGAACCTTTTTCAATCATCCTCATTCTGCCAAACCTCCCAGCTCAAGTAGCTCTATAATTTAAGCACGAAAGGTAAGTGAGCTTATACAGCCTGAAGAATGAAACTTGCGTTTTCACCGTTTATTATCAATGCCATTCTGCTAGTCTCGTACTCAGACCTGATAGGACCTGGGTACGAGATTAACCTTTTACCACTGACACGTAAGATCAATGTATTTCCGGCATTTTCGTAGGTGTGATTTAGCAGGAAGTGAAAGGCTAACCAAAACCAAGGCGGAAGGAGTACGATTAACTGAGGCGAAATATTTAAACACTTCACTATTGGAGCTTGGGTAGGTGGAGATGAACTTTATAGCATATTCATGCTTAAGGTTCAAGATGATAGATAACCTCAAATGTCGCTTGAATCCGTAATCCTCGGAACAAAAAAATCTTCGAGGAGATTCTCATTTAGGAAATCAAATTTTTTTACATATTTTCCTTTCCACATCAAACTACTTGACCCTTTAGCCTGCTTGCAACCAAATGTCCGCTTCAAATCGATTTTTAACTCTGACTCCTCAGGAATGTGATCCACGCCCTTGCACGTGGACACAAGCGTCACGTGCCATACAGGAATTCTACTCTCACCAGACTCCTACAGGATTGCCTTGGTGACAATGGAAAAACAAATTTTATCGTAAGCAGCAAATTTACTTTCTTTGATTTAGGCTATGCCCCTTAAGATGTTTTCTCGCTCTTTTTCTGTCTATTTTCATTACAGCAGTTACACGGTCTTTACCATCCTAATTCAATTTATCTCAGTGTTGCTATTTTTCCCACAGATTTGCATAGCACCTTCCCTCGGCGAAGTAAACGAGACCAAGTGCAGTTTAAACTTCGGTCTTCGAGCCATGAGAATAACCAATGTGGCCCGCCTTAATGTTGAGGTGAATACATGAACTACCACGAGTGTTTGCTAACAAATTCAAATGGATTAAAGTAATGATTTCTTGAAAGGAGAGACTTAGTCTGGAGACTTTCGAGTTGACAGAGATATGAAAATAAATGGACGAGATGAGGGAATTTTACTGTCCTTCCCTACTTGGTAGTTTTCGGTTAATGTGCCGAGAAGTCTTTCCTACGAGCACAAGGGAGAAATTGTGTCATAGTTGTTTTCAGTCGTCATCAAGATGTTGTAGGAGTGCAATGAAATTAAAATTTCTGCTTAAAAATTGCGTGATGAGATGATGATAGATGATCCACTCTATGAGGGGAAATTTTTAATCAAACATTTGCAGTTTTTATTATCATGTGTCAAAGCAATTTATTCCCATTTCTACGATGGCATTTTCACAGGTGGACTATAAAGTATTGGCTGAAAGACTGGCGAAAAAACTCGAGGATCAAGGTACGAGAAGGTTGAATTCTGTTTTGATTACTGAGCACAGTCCTGCTTTAATTTCAGTTGCTTACTAAGACTCAAAGTAAATGCTGGGGTTGAAATTTAATTTGTGTGCAGCCTATTCACCTCTCGCTTCCCATTTTCTATATTTTAAATAAACGAAGTAAGTAAAAAGAGCAACTAGTTCTAGTCCGGCAAGTAGATGAGGAACGACCTCCGCTAATCTGTGGCAAAAGAACTAATCATCCTGCAACATTAGTTAATTGCAGGCTAATTGGATATGCACTCTGAGGTAGAAATGAAAAAGCAACACTCATTTTCAGAACTCAGCTGTTTCTTTTGAAAGTCGCTCTGGCAAGGTGATAGTTCACTGAGCCAAACATTTATTAAAGTACAATAAAGCTTTAACTGACGGTGTGATTTTGTTTTGTTTAGAAATTAAATACAAGTTCGAGAAGCTGGAGTACCTCAGAGAAATACAGCGGCTGAAATCTGCAATAAGCTGTTACCAGGAGAGCGAGAATTTCGCAGGAAAAGATGTAAGATTGAATAGCTATTTTTCTAGTCCTTCACCAACATGGATGAAAAAGCGATCGCCAACTAAACCTAGAGTCAAACGAAACCTTAAATTTAATAATAACTAAAATGAACGCAGTTAATATGAAAATAAGAGAAAATCTTTCACAGTGAAGTTGACGTTGTTTTTTACTGATTTTTAAATTGTATGCATTTCGCCTTTTTGTAGGAGTTAACTTCTATCATATGCCCACCGAGAGCATGCACAGCCATGGGTTTCAAGAGATCGGGTTTTTTTTAAGTCGCTCTTTTTTATTTCCTTTTTTCACAGCACGAGAAGTTAGTCACAGTAATTGCTAATCTTTCCAAAAGTGTCCAACGAGAGAAAGAGGAGAAGAATAATCTTCAAACAGAGCTGGTGTGCCTGAAGAAACAAGTGTCTCAACCAATAGGAACAAGTGCTCCTGATGTCGAGGCTGTCTTACTTGCCGAGCTTATGTCCATGGAACTGTTGGCAAACTTACAAAACCCGGATGCAGCTAAGGGAATCCTTTTAGATGACTCACTTCCAGCCAAAGTTAAAAGTCATCTGGCATTGGCTGACACCCAAGAAACACTTTTGAACAATGCTGGGTGTTTCTTGCAGTTGTTAGACCTCCATCTTGACACTGAACTGGATGCAAACGAAAGAAAGCGGGCAGCTTCCGATGCAAAGGAATATTTGCAGTTTAATTTATCTAAGGCGGGCTCGGTGGAATTGTTCTCCAAAGACTGCTCCATCAAAATTTCTCCTAGGGGTGTCCCTAAAGAACCCTGTCTCAGCCTACCCATGTACAATAGCAGTTCCGATGAAAATTCCTCTGGACTGGCGGGTGGAGTGCGCAGAATGTTGGGTAAACTCATGGGTCGAGAGAGCAAGGACAGGACGTCAGTTTCGCCTGGCACACATCCCAGCGGCCAAGCATGCTCTGTTCCTAGTGGTGACGTTACCCAACGTGGGCATGATCAGGAAGACCCCATGATTAAAACCAAGGCATTATTAACACGCCTGACCAGCTCTAAGGAGAAGGTGGAGCAGCAAGTTCTCAGTTTATTGTCGACGTTGTTTGACGAACAAATCACCAAAAATGAAGGTCAGTAAAAGCCAGCTTCTTAGCACAACTCCCTCCTTGTCGTTACCTCATAGATTTTACTAATAGGCTAACTAAGGACTATAGGTTTGTCAGTTATTTAACGGTGAGGTACAAAGGTTGAGTGACGTAACCGGGGAAGCCTTGGTTCACAACTTTTCACAACAGTGGTCAAATGTGGGGCATGCGGAGCAAGTCAGCTTTGACCAGCTGTGCGCACGCACTTCTTTGGAAAATGTTACAAACAACTTGTGTCACAAATCTTACAAAAAGTCTGTAAAAGGAGATCGAAGAAAGGGAAACTAGAAAAGGATCAACTTTTAGATCACTCGTTTGCTTTGAACTTTACAACGCCGTGATTTACAGTCATGTTTGTATCTCCTGTACGACACCTTTGCTCTGGCAGTCTGAAAACGCGATGTTAGGCAGCCTCTTGGTCATTTCAACGTTTGACCACTGTGTTCTATCTAAGTCACTGGCAGGTTTTAACTTATATTTCCTTAAATCTTAGGACAATGTCCGCAATGGAACGAGCTGGGAAATAAACTGACTAAGCTGATCATGTTTCGACGCAATAACATGCCTGGTAGGTCGCAAATATCATATTGTTCCAATCTCGCTAGCCTTTCCCTATACTAATAAATAAGTAAATACACAAACAATAACAGAAAAGTTATTCTGGTCAATACAACACAGCTGGTTTGTTATTTCAAGAACTACGTCAAGCTTATGCTTATTTTCCTAGGGAAAAGTTGGGTGTAACAATGGAATAACATGCCCTTCATATCTAAATTTGGGAGAATGGTATAAATTGCTTGAGTCACTTACATCTTGATTTTAAAATTCTATTTTAGGTTTAAGCGAGGCAGATATGTGGGCTAACTCTGAAGACTTGAACGCAATCTTGGAGAATTGTCTTCGCTTTGTCATTATTGATAAAGCGCTGCTGGCATGTCTCCTGGTGATTGAGTTGCTGGACCTGAGACAGGTATGTGGAACACTGGAGGATAAGAGAAAGCTAGCTAATCACAATGCTTCAGGAGAGAGCACCGCTACGAACTCTTCGCCTCAAAGCACCCCTCCAGTAAAGACCACTGGTGGTAAGAAGAGCTCTTCTAACAGCAAAGAGATTGGGTCAATTTCGCCAACAGCATCCGTTTCACCGAGACGAGAGAAACTGAAATCTTTGAAACACACCAAAACAGAACTGGAAAAGGAAATAACTGAGATGCACGAAGACACGACATTTCTTGAAACAGAACTATTTTCGACCATGGAAGAGAGAACGAAGGTCGAAGAAGAACTTTATGGTATCAAGAGCCACGTGACAAAACTTCGATCGGAATTGTTTCATCTAAAGCTTGAAAAATCTAACTTGGAAAGTGACGTCAAAAAATCAAAAAGCCAAGAAAATTTAGAGCAAAGTGGGAATTTTGATGGAGCAAAGTCAACCTTTGAGTCACCAAAGGAACCTGTGCCCCGAGGATATCCTGAACTCTCGGACGTCATGGAAGCTTCGCATGAGAGTAACGACAGTGAAAACAGTTCTCAGATGTCCGATGGAAATGAAACTAGGGAAGCCTTCTTGAAAACGTGTATGGAAAATATCTCAAAGATTTATACGCTTATGCCGGAACAAGCCGAAGAAATAGCGAGTGAGGATGAGATTTCCGACGAGCAAGAACCAACACTTTCCGATGCAAACATTGACGACAGTGATGAGGAAATCATTATCACAAAACTTGCCCGTAGCCTACGCTCACCTTGCGCAAGTCCCAGTAAAGAAAAAACGTTTGATGCGTCGTCGCCGCACAAGAGTGGACAGAAGCAACCGATTGTCGGTGACGGCCAAAAAGGTAAAAGCAACATTGGAAATGAAGTAAATGAGGACTTAGGGGGCAAATCGAGAGAGGCATTAATTAAACAAATACAAGAACTCAAAAGGAAATTGCACAAAGCTGAAAATGAGTTAACTGAAGCCAGAGAAGCAAACGAAGATTTGGAGGAGGAACTGGATCACAAAAAAGGCCAGCTAGCGGAAGCACAAGTGACCATAACAAACCTGGAAAACCAGATCGTCGATGAAAAAGAAACCTGTGAAGAAGTGCGACAACAGTACTTTAACGTCAAAACACAGAACGAAATACTCGATGGAAAGCTGAAGGCTTTACGATCGGAAACGGAGAGGCTTTTAAGAGATAGCAATAGCAGCAACGCTGTTTTCAGATCGCCGGAAAGTTTACGCAGAGATAATCCACTATCACCACTCAAAACAAAGGCAAAGTCTCCTCTCAGGTCACCTACGAAAGCAAAGGTTCCTAAAATTGATCTACGAACTCCTCCGCAGAAGCAGCTTGTCTCAAATGAGATTGAATTCATTTCTCTGGTAGAAGAAAATGCAGAGCTTAAAGTCAAGTTAGGGAACGCAACACAAGAAAAAGTTCGTTTGGAAAAATCACTTAAAATTGTTGAAGAAAAGTCCTTCAAGATGAAAACTGTCATTCAAACAAATGAGGATGCCTGCAGTCGGTTCAAAGAGGAAGTCTCAGAGATCACCAAGGAAAAGGTTAGGCTCTCCGGTGAGATAACAGATTTACGAAATACAAATTCGAGCATGGCAGAAGAGCTTCAGAGATACCGGGAAAAATCAACACGTCTCGAGAAAGACATCGAAGCGATCGCTTACATGAGCACGCGACTCGAAAAAAACAACAAAATACTCGAAATGGAAATATCGAAAATGGAATCTGAGCTGTGCTCTTGGAAAGCCAAGCACGAATTGCTGTCTCAGGAATGTCAAAGACTTGATCAAGAAAACCAAATAGCAAGGAAAGATCGAGAAAAAGCTCTTCTTGAGCTGGGAGCTATCAAAAAAGAGAAAAGTCATTTGTTAGAACAACAGTTTTCAATTACCGAGGAAACGGTAAGAAGAGAGAAGCAACTTAAGGACAACGAGGAACGATTCTTTGAGTTGGAGGCTGAAGTGACCGAACAGAAACGGCTTAATGCCAACCTCCAAAAGGAGCTAGCAGGTATGGCCGAGTATCAGGAAGCGTTAGAAATTGAATACTCCAAAGCAAAGAACGAGGAAGACAAGTTGAAGCAAGAACTGGCAATAATTAGCTCCCGGGTTATAGAATTTGAGACAGAACTTGCCTCGGCTACACAAAATACCCAGGACCATGGGTTGAGTACCGAACAAAAGTCTAGCAGTTTGAGCCTTCGAGCCACTCTTACAGACGAGCCAAGCCACAGAGGAAAATCATTCAGCGGAACACCAAGTAAGAAGTTTTATACCATTACTCATACAAGTGAAGACGAAATTGCCGACACATCTTCTTCCATAGCGGAATCACCCGCAGATGAAGGCAAGATTGTGGAACACGAAAATCAACTTTTGAAACTCGAAAATGGTTATTTACAACAACAGTTGGCGGAGAGTGAGCGTGTCTTAGCTCTGTACAGGCAAGATCTGGAGAGCGCTCATGATCTCATCGACAAACTTCAAGCAGAGGTGAAGACATATGCCAATGAAACAAAGAATGAAGCTACCGAAGACGAATGTAAAACTCCGTCAGACAAGGATGACACTGTCCAAGAGATTGAAGGTTGCTCAGAAAGTACAAACGACGAATACAAGTTACTTGAAGAAAAGCACGCTGAACTGACGAGAGAATACGAGATTCTTCGACGGCAATATCAAGAGGCAGTTACTGAGAAGGAAAAAGGAATCAACAAAGAGTCAATTTCAAATGCAGCTTTGAAGAAAGTCACATTCGTTGGTGAAAAAGCTAGCAAGAAAATCACGACATCCCAACGAGATGTTGTACATCAGCAGAACACCCTGCAAGATCGAATAACAGAGTTGGAAAGTGAAAATATGAAGCTGAAAGTAGCTGAGGAAAATTTAGTAGTGGGTCTGAACACAAACAGACAGCTAGAAAGGTCACTGGAAGATGCAAAACGGGTGCAAACGACTCTGGAAGAAAGAATAGCCATGTATGAAAGTGAAAAGAAAGATAACAAATTGAAGCAAACATACATGGAAGAGCAAGTAGCCCGTCTGCAGGAGGAGAACGAGAAGTCAAGAGCCGAATTACTTGAGCGAACTAGAAGTACCAGTCACCCATTAAACTTTCAGCAAATTGTAGGTGATGTTCAACTTGGCAAAAGAGCTGTTGACAACGAACCCAAAGTGCGTAAACTTGAAGAAGATCTTCTGAAAGTTACCAGCGATAAGCTAAAACTTGAATTTGAGTTAAGAAGTGCCAACGCCGATTGTGAACGACTTAAGAGTGACCTTCATCAAAGCGAGTCCGAAAGGAACTTGTTAACCACCCAACTTAATGACAACATAGAGCGAGCAGCAAACCTTGAAATACGACTGATGGAGATGCGGTGTTCATGCGAGACAATCAAAGATGAAATTAACACGCTTAAAAACCAGAAAAGACAAGAGAGTTTTCACCTTCATGAGGCAAGCGTCTGTAAAGAGATATTGGAAAAGCGGTTGGAAGATGCACTCAAAGAAAATAACTCTTTCCATCACGAACTCGAAGCTATACGTGAAGAACGAGAGGAAACCATGAAGAAGATTGCTAAGCTAGAAATAGCAAAAGAAGAACTGATTAAAGAAATCGACGAGGTAAGAAAACAGAGAGAAGTTAAGCAGAAAGTACCTGAAAGGACAACGCATGAAAGCAAAAAGGCAAATGGGCCGATGAATAAGGAAGCCTCTGAAGAATCGAACGAGTACAGAAAGCTACATAGAGAAGACCAAGAACAAGTCACAATCCTCCAAGATGAGCTAAGAAAAATTACCGAAGATCACAGTCAGTTAAAAATGGAATTACAGGAGATAAAAAGTGTAAAGGAACTTCTCGAAAAGCAGATTGAACATATTAAGGCTCAGGGATTAATGGCAAATGAGGACGACCCATTTGCCTCGAGTTTTAAGCCACAAACTGCTAAAGAGGAGGAGCAAGAAATGAGCACAAATGATGAGAAGGAAATTGAGGAAAAGACCAAGTTGCTTGAAAAAGAGAAAGGACTTTTGGAAAAAGAGCTAACCAGGGTTCAAGACGAATGTAACAAGCTCAAGCAAAAACTCTCAGATATTAAACTTGCATCCGAACCGGGACAAGAGGATCACAGAAATGAGAATGAAGAAAGGCAAGAACACTTGGAGATAGAGCTTGAGAGGCTACGCGACCTGAACAAAAAACTCGAAAACGAGTGTGAAGATTCTAATAAATTAATACAGGAGCTGGAGGTAAAGACCAAGGCATTGGAAAGCTTGGAAAAAGAGCTTCACTGCTTCCATGAGGAAAACGATCGACTAACTCAGGAGGTGGACATAATTCAACACACAAGCAAAGCCATAACAGATCACCAATCTACCAAGGAATCATTGGAAGCGGAAAAATCTCTTTTGAAGAAAGAACTTGAAAGTATTCATGACTGCAACAGAAAACTTCAAGCAAGGATAGATGGCATGGGTAAAGAGCTTGAGATAGTTACCGAGCAAAGAGAGAAAGTAAGTTCAATAGAGAAGATGAACGCTTCCTTGAACAATGAGATTGACAAGTTACAGACGATGCATCAACATCTTGAGAGCGAATTGGCAACAACACATGGAAAGATAAAAGAAATGGAGATCACTAACGATGCTTTGAAGAAAGAAAACAAAGCTTTGAAGGGAAGGATAAATAATGAGGTGCACCGGCGGAAGGATGATCACAAGAGGGTACCGAGTGTAGGGAACAAATTGAAGGACACGTTAAAGCAAGAACAAAGTGTCGCAAAGGAAGACAGAGCAAGTTATAAATCGGAGGGCGAAAATGGTGAAGACAGTGAAAATGATTCGCGACAGATGATTGAACAGCATGCAAGTGAAAACACTACATTGAAAGATGAACTAGACAGTGTTACGAAAAACACTCACGACAGCCACGTTCCTGACCAGGATTCTCAGAGTGTCACTGTTTTAAAAAAAACAACCGAACCTCAGCCAGAAAATGAAGATTTCGACGAGTCGAAGAACAACAAACTGACCAGCAGTCGCGACCAAGAAACGAACACTGAGTCCGGAAATGAGAAGGTCAGCGCTCCCTTTTCAGAGAACGTTAAAGCTGGGCTTTCGTTAATGGCAAAAGAAAATCTGTTATTGGAGAAGAAAGCATCGTACTTCGTCAGAGCACAGGTGCAGCTAGAACAGTCTCTTTCAAAAGCAATGAAAGAAAACACTTATTTAAAGAACAAAGTCAGCGAAACAGAAAACGTCCTAAACATACTTCGCGAACGTGTCCATGAGCTGGAGAAAAATTCAGGTGCCTTGCCGTTGACTGACTTGAAAAAAAGTGTCATGTTGTCCAGCGACAGTGAGAGCGACTGTGATGCAAATGAACTACCAAACAGTGATGACAAGACAGAAGGCCAGCGTATGGACAACGAGTTTGCAGGTTTGCTAGAAAACACAGAGGAGGGGAGCAAGATGGGATCTTCCCATGAGGACGGTGAATTGCTCCCAGTCCCATCTGACGTTGATAAATTACAACGTGAACTGGAGGAGGTAACGAAAGAACTAGAAAATCTGAAAAGCCAAAGGGAGATGCAAAAGATTAACTCGATAGAAAAAAAAGATTTTGGGATCCAAAGTGAAGAAGACGAAACTCTTCTTAGACAAGAACAGGAAAACATACTTCTGAAACAAGAAAGGGAAAGTTTACTCGAAGAGCTTGAAGCGGCGACAAATCAAAATAAAGCCGTAGAAAATGATCTGAGGCAAAATAAAGAGTCTTGTATAAAGCAGGAGCAAGAAATAAAGCTGTTGCTGTCGTCGTACAGCCAAGAAAAAGAAAGTTTGTTGAAAGAACTTGAAAGTACAAGGCTAGACTGTCGTAAGGCAAAAGAGAAACTTCGAGAGTTACAACAAATCGATTCTGAATTTGCGGATATTCAAAAGAAAAGTACAGAGGCGGAAAAACTGGTGACTGAGCTCGAAAAAGAGTTACTTTGCCAGACTGAAATGAAAAACGAATTAAGGAGAGAACTTCAGAATTGTCAAAAGAAGCTGCAGGAAATAGAACAACTGGAAACACAGTTGCGAACTTGTCGGAGGGAAATCGAAGATCTACACGACATAAACAATCAGCTGAAGGAAGAAATGGAAAAAAGGAAAGACGAGAATAATAATTTAATCGATGAATTAAAAACCGTCAAGGTTAAATTACGATCATTGGAGAAACAGAAAAAGCAAACAATGAATCGGGATGCTAACATAAAAAATCGCCAAGATCAAAGCGTCCAAACTTACTCCACCGTTGATATTTTTGTCCACCGAGATGAAAAAGGTCCTAAAGATATAGCTGCAGCAACCGATGTAGAGGAATCCGAGAACGCCGTGGCTTGTCAACAATATCACGACATCAATAGTCACAGGGTCTTTCCACAGTCCAGCGAAGTACGTAGTGAGAGTAATAAATCAAACAAGGCTGGAGACAACGAGGCACAGGAACTTAACTCATCCGAGATCAGTAAAATTCTAATGGATAACAATCGCTTTCAGGGACTTCCAATTCCAATAATTATAATAACCCAAGAAGACAATACTGCCACAATCAACAACGAAAGTAGTACAGGACTAAAACTGTATTTAGAGGACTTTGAGAAAGATTCGCCAAATGATCAAAGTACTCCTGATGAAGAAAACCAACAAAACACTTCTCCCATGACGACGAAAGACGATGTCGAGCCTTCAGTGTATGAGCAGATTATTGCTATGGAAACATCATCATATCAAGAGCAAAGCGCTGTAAAAAGCGAAGTTCAAACGACGAAAGAAAATTTGAAAACCAAGAGTGACTCAGATGGAGATGGTGAGCAAACTCTAAGGAATGGTGAACAAAACCAAGAAATAATTAGTGAGCCTGAAGATGGTTCTAAAAAAGATGAGTTGACCATGAGTCCTCCTCAGAAAGATGTACAACGGGATGAAGATCTTCCCGAAGGTGGAGAGGAGGAGTCCTTGAGTTTAAGATCAAGACGTGAATTGGAGTGGACAATCTCCAACCTAAAGTCGGAGTTGCAACAACGTTCTGAAGACCATGAGAAGAATCAACAAGAAATTGGCTCACTTGAAGAACAACAGCTGTCCATGAAAAGAGAAATCGTCTCGTTGTTGAGTGAATGTGAATCACTCAGAGCAAAGGTAGCTATATTACAAACGCAGAATGAAGCCGTCTTGAAGGGACAGATTCTAAACGATGAGGAAAACGAAGAGCTCCAGCAAAATATGCAAGACCTCCTTGAAGAAAAGAATTCAATCGAGGAAGCTAAGAAAAAACTTGAAAGTGAGAAAGCAAGACTGGAGATCGAGTTGTCTGATGCAATTGAAACAAGAGAGGCAGTGGAAGGTGAGTTACTTCGCTCCAGAGCCGAAAATGCAAGTGTATCAAAACACACAACGGAAGGACAGTGGTATGATATTAGTGAAAGATATGCCAAATTGGAAACAGTACTTTCATGTGTTCTTGATGAGAACTCAAAAATGACTGCAGAGCTTTCAGCTCTCAAAGCCGAAAACAGCATGCTTAAGAGCTTCAAGATTATGGAAATAACAGACAACTGTACGCAATTTTCACCGAGAACGACAGAAGATGAAAGCGATGGAGGTAGGACACATTCTTCAAGGAAGTCTACATCGTCTATTACACAACATTCACGGCTTGGTGAAGATCTTGCAAATCAATTGCATTTAGCTAGTCCAAAATCCACAGAAGCAAATCAGTTTAAAGGCGATGAAGAAGGAACAACAACTGATGAGTTTCCAGTCACTCCTACTCCTACTGTCGAAGTCAATCTTAAATCTGAAACATTTGGAAACAGATTTGGTGATGAGCAACGTCAAATGGAGAAAAATGAAGTTCCCACTTTGATAAAAGGTAACAATGGAAGAGAACACCGCGCCGCAGTGAGCGCCGAATCATCATCGCTGCTACCTCTTGCTAAAAGAAATATCGTGGAAAGTACTGAGCTGGAGGCGATCTCATTGGGAAAAAGTTTGCGCAAAAAACACCAAAGAAAAGCCTTAAAGGAAACTTCCTCTTTGCATAAAAAGCATTACAAAGCTGACGGAGCTGAAAAAGTGGAGTCGGATGACCATGATTCGAGTATGGAGGTCCATACTAGCAGCTCTCTCGTTTCGATCACAGATCTCGACGTAAGCATCTCTTCTGATCAAATCTCGTCAGAGGATAGCTCCATAGTGGGTTCAGAAATACGGGTCCTTCAAAGGATGCAAAAGGAGCTCGCAGAGACGAAATGCAGCAATGTTCTTGTTAAAAATGAGTTGGCCATTATAAGAAAGCACAACGCAGATCTCCAGAGTCAAGTGCAAAAGCTACTCAGCAGAAACAACCACCTGAAAACGAAAATGTGCGACAAGGCTTTATCTGTGAAACGGATGGAGAAGGAGGTTTCGAACATCAAAGAGGAGAATAACAAGCTGCAACAACAGGCGATGATTCTCCAAGATGAGATGGCAAGAGTGGAGAAAGAAAAGGCCAAATTTGAACGCAACATGTCTGCAACAAAATCTGAGAACAAGCGACTAAAATCCGATCTATCAAACATTAAAGCTGAGAGCTACAGAACCATGAAAGAGCTGGTAAACTTGCAAAGTGAGAATAGGAAATTGCAGTTGGACATTGAGAGGCTTAGGGAAGACTCAAGGAGACTAAATGGACCTTGTAGTGACGACTCCGCGTCGCATGAACCGCCATTCTGGGGATCTGTGTCTCACGGTGACAGGAGCACATCGCGCAGGAGTTTACAGGAAAAACAAGTCAAACAAAACACGACTCATCTACACGATAGAGTGATTAGCGATCTTACTTTCTGCCAGCGGCAAACGTCAAAAGAAGATTCGCAAGGTCCGGTATGTGAGAAAACGTCTCCTCTACGTTTCAAAAATATGTTATTTGCCATTGAATAAATTTAATCATAATAACATGTTTCAAAACAAACACAACAAGAGGCGCATCTCTAATTCGTGAAAATGAAGACGTTGTATAGTATTTTTGATGACACCATCTCAGGATTATTAGATGCCATGTCACTTTGGAAGCTTCTAAGATGATAAAAGCAGACTTTCCATTGTTTTTCTTGATCAATCCTCTGAATGTTTTTGTTAACTTTCACGTAGGAATTATCGCCACTGAATCTTTCCGAAGAGCTCCAGAAACAAGACACTGATGACGACCAATATGGCAAAACACTTATTGGATCCGGTAAGTTATGTATGGTCGTTTTAATTGGTCTACCTAAGAAGATAGTACTCGAGGTAAAGCTAAAGTAACAAAGAGTTCTTGGAATTTCTCTTTTGTGGTAGACAACGACCTAATAGAAATCACTAGTCTGTTTGTACACTCTTAAAGACTTTCACAAACAGCAGGAAACTATGGGAAAAATGTCACAGCCACCTAGAGATCACTTTATATCACAGAAGAAGTAACAAGTAACAGGATACCATTATCCAGCAGAAACTAAGCATTTATTTCTCTCGTTAGTTTAAATGTCTTGTAAGTATGAAATGTCATTGCTTTATAAATAGGAGACTCGATCAGCAGCGAAGACAGATCTAGATATTCTGAACCTGTGTCACGACGAGGAAGTCAGCTCTCCTTCACCAGTGAAGCAAGTCACCCTGGTGAGGGCAGTGATCCAAACGAAATTGAACACCACGAAAAAACTGAAGACGAACACGAAGACGAGCTAGGGGGCAAAAGCAAAAGCAAAAGCAAGAAAAAGATCAAAAAGATTCTACGGAAATTCCAGCACGGCAAAAAAACCAAGTCTTCGAAGTAATTTGTCTTTTGAACGAGTCATTATGTAAGGTTTCCGTCAAGTGTTCAGACGTATAAACACGATTCCTTTCTTGTAGATTTGTAAATAAGAAAGAGAACAAATGTACTGGGTTTCATTGTTCAGTTCTTGGTAAGAATTACCTTGACTGAGTATTTACGTTAAACACACAGGTAAAACATAAGGCTGTTGCTATCGTAAATGTCCACTTTCCAACTTAAGTGTAACAGAATTTCAAACCATTTCATAGAAAAAGGCCAAATGCAACATGTGTCAATGGTAGTCGACTCGAATGAAGATAAATCGCAGAAACCCCCTTAAATCAATGATAAAACTGAAACAGGTGTTTCTGATTTTGTGCTATATTTCAAGATATTTTCACTGAAAAGAGAAGATTAATTTTTTATGTAACAATATATTTAAACATTATGCAATACGTTGGCCAGCTTCTAAGGTGAGGCTAAATTCTCTTGGTAATTATTTTCCTTCTGTCTTTATACTGAATACAGTAGCAAAATTATAAAAAAATTATACTGCACGAGTACACTGGTATATTGGTTTTTCAAACGTCTGACGGTACTGAAAGCGCATGAGTGAGTACGATAGGTTAAAAGCACCATAACATTTATTTCAGTATTTATAAACATAAAAAATAAGTTAGCACTTTTTTCTTAAAATGGCAATGCTGTATCAAAACGAGTAACATATCAATGCTTAAGTAAGGGCATTTGTCAGTGCCTTTGAGACACTGTCAGTGAATAAATACAAGAAAATAAATATCGATCAAAAACAAGTTCAGTTTCTTTTAAGACTATTGCGAGATAACTAGAACGACAAAAAAATTGACCAGCGGCCCACTTACACACACCAAACACTTGCAATCGAGAAAGTGCTACTGACATCTCTTGACTGCAACCACTGTTCAGTGCCATGTACATCGAAGGAAAATACATTTAACCCAACGCACGAGTCAATGTGCTCTAGTTTCACGATTGAGGAGTATAAGTCTTTAAAGCGGATGGCCAGCCTCACATACGTTTACTATGTACCTATGCTCAACTCTCGAAATACAACTGTAAAACTGTCAAAATACGATTCTCTACCGGAGCAATGTTATGACATAGAGGGCCTAGAGGTATTCTTATTTGGCAATCGCATTCTCAAACCCAACATTTAAACTTGAAAAACTGCTGCAAATCCGGATCATCGACGCTTTTACTATGAACTCCAGCATACACCTGCTTAAGCAGTTTACTATACTTGAAAGTCTTGTCGAGTGTTTCAACGTACTTCTCCAAGACAGTCAGACCCATTACTTTACCAAGCGAGATCATACTTGGACCCAGTCTGGGATCGTCGTATTTCTGATTCTTCATCAACAAACGAACCATCTCACCGTAGATGTATGCATCATCAAACGTCAGCGGCTCCTTAAACGGGTACTTGCTGTAAGTATCAACAGCCTTCATAGGGTCAGACTTGATCAGAGAGTCCGCTAATTCAATGTAAGCATCGTGAACTGATGGTGCCATTGAGATTACTTCTTCATAAAACTTGTGAGCTTCACTGATGCTGTCACTTCCCTTACGCATAAGCACGCGGGCCAATCCCAAACGAGCGTTGTAGCAAGGTTTGTTGGGTGGTCCGCTGGGCTTCTGTTCAGTCGTGGGGTTGGTCGTGGCAGGTTTGACCGGCGTGGATGGTGTTGTTGGGCTCTGTGCGACTGGCTTTGTTTGTGATGACTGTTTGGACAAGGCTAGTGGCTTGGTTGGTGAGCATGTCCCTGATTTATGAGCTGGAAGTAAAGACGTGGACAGCTTAATGAATCAAAGTATTAAAAAATACGAGAGTGATGCAACATATGTAAAAATAAGTTAAACGTGGGTACAGCTGTACAATAAGTGATGGCTAAAAATCCGGAAAACGTTGAGAAGCTGAAAATTCCAAGATTATTTGTAACACGTTGAATGTTCGTACGGCTGAAGAGCAGTAACTGAAAACCACTAAAATCTGGTAAATAATTCAATGCTCAATCCTGGATAGAAAGCTCGAAACCAGTCTCAAATACAGTCTTTAAATTCGGAACGACGGTGCAAGGGCTCGAGAAGTCTTTGGTTTTGAGACGTAATGTAATGTAAAATACCTGATGGTTTGTTGGTAGTTAGAGTGCTCCCTCCTCTGGCAGCACCCCTCCCTCCTGTGGCAGCACCCCTCCCTCCTGTGGCAGCACCCCTCCCTCCTGTGGTAGCACCCCTCACTGCGGTACTAGCAGGTTTAGTCGGAGATGTCTTACCGCGGGTTCCACCAGCTGGTGCTTTTGCTGCAGCAGTTCCACCTCGAGTGGACGGTGAGCTACCTCGTCCTCCCACGGCAGGTTTACCACGTGCTGGTAAATAAAGTGTAAAACGTAAGAAAAAAAAAACTGAAAGCATTTTACTTCGGCAAGTTTAATTTATGGTCGAAATCTGCGGAACCTTCCTGTGTAGTACGCAGCTTTTAATAAGAGGGGCACATGTCTTGATGTGTGTGTCTAAGAGCAAGGGAAAATCTTTAGGGCTTTTGAAAAAGTCGTATGGCAGGATCTGTTGAGAATCACTGCGTCTCATATAGGTTTACATGCCCAGTAATTTTCATCCTCTAAAAGGTATTTTCTTGTATTTTCAAGGTATCCTCATGCTATTCCTCCAAGCGTTACTTCATCAGCCATTCAAAATCGCCTAGTATTGATCTCCTCGATAGGAAGCTTAATTTGCTTAATTTGCCAGTGGAAATGACATGAACAGCTCTTGGGGCAGGGGCAACTCAGGGTGGCTTCCACAACTTCTTAAATTTAAGGGAAACGCAAGTCTTACAAACGCTACTGTAATGAAAAACTTAAGTCACTCACTTGGTGTGGATGAACCTCTTCCCGCTTGGTTGCCACCTCGCCCAGCAGGGGATGCAGCCTTACCAGCTTGCGATGAAGCTGTCTTCTGAGGAGTTCCTCCTGCTGCAGCTGTTTTCTTTTCTGCCTCTTTCTTCGCTTCCTGTTCTTTAAACCACCGTTGTTCAGTGATCTTTACCGGCGCCTCTCCACCTATGGAAGAGGAGCCCTCTAGCTCAATGCTCGCTCGATAGCTCAGCTCAGCATCCTTGAGAGTTTGCTTAGCATTAGCAGAGGTAGGGTCATCATTGTCGTAGAGGCTCAGCTGGGCATCACCCAAGCGATATAGAGCACGGCTGTTACATGACTGAAGTAGCACAGCTTGCTGGCAGGTCTGAAAATGAACAAGTCATATTAATATTTTCAGTACATGAAAATTATGAAGCCTTAAGAAACTGGAGATGGAAATCAAAAAGAGAGAGCTGCCCATGGTAAATTAATATTTAGAAAAATTATTTTAATCAGAGCATCAACTGGACAAATACTAGAGATGGAAATCAAACAACAACGGCTACCCATTGAAAATAAATTTGCAGAAGCATTCATTTAATCAAAGCAACAATTGGACACGTTTGATTAAACAGAGAGTCACGAGAGGACTCTACTATTCTCACCTTTTCTTTCAGTTCAAGAACTTGCTTTCCAGGTGGAATGACCGAGCAGTTTAGTAAAGCAGACAAATTCTCGCAAAAAGAAGAAATCTCGCCACTCTTTTGATTCCCTACGGCCTTGGCATCATCCAGCTTCATCTGAAGGAGAGCAAAATGAGTCTCGTATAACACCCACTCAGCTTGATGATAGGTGTCACCTCTGGCTACAAGGTGTGACAAAACGTAAGATGCAAGCATGGCAGCAGCATGAAGGACGTTCACTCTGGACATAACACCTGATGGTGGTTTTGTCATTTGCTTGCACACATTGCTAAGGAGACCACATCCCTGCAGCCACTGTATGTTATCAGGTCTCGCCAAGTTGTTGGACGACAGGTTTATTTGTTGCCATCTTTCATTTTCCTTGCCTGGGTCATTTGCATCAAGGGTCATTTGGTTGAGCATATGTTCAATCCCTTCTGACAGATATTTAACAGCTTCATCTTTCCTTTTGCCAGGACCATCTTTTTGTTGGCTCAAAGCCAAGCCAAGGTAAAATCTGCCAAGGACAACACACAAAAATCACAAAACATATCACACACTACATTGACCTTTGTCAATGGAATAAGACAGATGGCAAGTTTTAAGCTCAGTCAGGAAATAGACAAAGACATTTTTTCTGAGTCCCCATAAGGAACTCAGCCTCAGACCTCCGGATTCTGCACTCCAATGCTCTACCACTGAGCCACAGAGACTCTATGGTGAGCGAGGCCTGTTATGAAGTTCATATATGACATGCGTCCTACATCCTTCTGTTTTTCACACTGACCTTGCCTCAAGATTGGTGGGCTTTAATCCCACAGCCACTTGAAGACGAGACACAGCTTCTTCTGGTTTGCTTTGAAGCAGAAGCATTCTGCCAACATGCAAGTTGTACAAGTGATTATCAGCTCCATTTACCAGGGCATCTAAGTATTTTAGGTAGGCTTTGCCAAGGGATTCCTCTTCATTGCTTGCCAGCTGAGCTGTTTTGTTCTGTAGACAGGATCCCACATAAATTTACCAATGTTCACACTTGAATAATCGACAAATACCTTTTCTCTGCAACTTGTTGGGGGTGGTACTGATTGCATTACAAAAACAAACAATGTAAAGTTTGGAGAATGGGTAGCACTGAACCAAAGTAGGAATCCACAACTATGCACATTCATCTCCTATTCACATTTGGCAATCAGACAGGAATGGTGTAGTTAGTATTTTTCAATTGAAGTAGCAAAAATTTAATTCACCAACTTTTAGAAAGGTAGGACTATTTGGAAAAAGGAAAAGTACTCATGAAAATACATTACACAAAATATCTACTTTGCATCATTATAGATGCTTCAGGAGTGAAAATGTTATTGTTCCTTGACAAACTGCTGTGGGTAATACATAAGATGGACAAGGCATTAGTCCACTATTAACAGAGGTCTGACCTACATCTCTAGTTCAAGATTCCCTCACCTGTGTAGCCTGTTTTGATTTCCATGCGTACAACTTCTGAACATAGTCTGCCCTGTCAGACTGTCCTTGATCCAGCAGGTAGTGATACTCTTCATCAATGGCCTTCAACTGGAGGGCAAGGGGAGCATTCTGTCCTGCTCCACGCATCTCACAGATGGCTTGAATATCATCCTCCTTTGAGCTCTCCTTGGATTTCATGTTGAAATCCATCTCATCATCATCATCAGAAGATTTCTTGAACAAGAGAAGCAACTCATTGGTAATTTGATACTGATCATGTAGTTATAATAAACTGTACTTACTATCAGCTCTAAAAGTAGTCATAGTTTTTTAACACTTTAACTCCCAGATCAAATTTGTACTTCTCCTTTCTGTCAACCATACAGTTTTTTATGATGTTAGTTCAGAGAATTTAGTATCAGATCAACTAATTATTCCCAAACTGATATTTTCCTCTATTCTCATCACCTGCCTGCTTGATATTGTATTGATATTGTAAGGAGAAATTCTGTGTTTGTCACTCATGAGAGTTAAAAAGTTAAAGGTAATTGATAATTAGGGTTCTTAATATAGTGACTTGAAGAACAGTGGTTTCATTAGACAGCTAGGGCAATTAAAATTTGGCCAAAGAACTTGGGGAGTAGTAAAGAATTATCTGATATCTTATAGACACTTGGAAAGGGAAAAACTTTAATTTCATAATCATGAATGTCCTTTGGATCAAAAATGTTAACTTTGTAAAAGGAGAGATTGACTTGTGGCTTACTTGTAATGATATGATAAATAAAAGCATCTCAGTAAGTTTAACTCAACAGAAAGAAAAATTTTCATCATGCTTAAATTGAAAGTAATATTGTACAGTAGCTTCCAAAGACAATACTAATGAACTGCTAGAACTGCAAGGGAACCTGCCAAGTCCTTGTGTTGTCATAAATTGAAGACAAGAATATGGTCTGACAGAATGAACCACATTAAGTTGTAACAAAGGCATTAACTTACTTGAGGTTTGATGCCATAAACATCCTGTACATAATGTTCTTCCTCTAATACCTGCCCCAATTGAAAATGAAGATCTGCCTTTTTAGGTGATAACTTGATGGCTGTTGCAAACCACTCTGCTGCCTTCTCAAGATACCTCAATGGAGAAATTTCTCCATCATAATGACCTGCATTTCCTTAAAATTGTACCACAAATCCAATGATTTAAAGTTATACCTTTTAACACTAACCACTCTAGAGCATAAGTAACTGTCACCAGTTAAAGGGATGTTTAAGTCATTGTAAGAATCCAAAGTAATGATATGTGTTGCACTGAAACAAAAAAGCTCAACAACTGTGTAGAGACAGCTGTTTTCAGAGGTTTGGTATTCTCTATGACTGTAACAAGGAAAAGGTACGTTGAAAACATACACAAATGCTTAGCTCAGAAATTAAGATCATACTTAATCCTTTAACTCCCAAGAGTGATTAACATGTAACTTCTCCCTGTAATATCTAGACATTATCTAGCAAACAGGTCATGAGAATACTCAAACTTATCAGGTAGAAGTTTTTATCTTGATCTAACACAAAATTCTTGTTACTTATTTACAAGGAAATGTGTTGCAGCTAGAGGGGAGAATTGACAATCAGATCTTGGGAGTTAAAGGGTTAAGGAATGATTCAGTTGATAAAAAAATTGTTTATTGACACAAGTTCCTCACCGAAAAATTGAATGCTTATACCAACATACTGATTCTATCTTCATTGATCACTTTTTAAGAATCCAATGAACCTTTTTAATTAGCAATAACAGCACACTATTGAAGAGCCAAGCTGCGATAATTTTTTTTATTGTCATTGGATTAAATTACTTTAAAATCTACTATCATTCAAAAGTAACCCAGTCAAAAAATATTGGCAGGATTTTCCTCAAGTTTCAGGGTTTTATACCATTGAAGTAGCTTGTAGAGCCTGAAGAGTTTCCAGTGAAGTTTGATTACATGCACAGTATTTGACAAATATTAATAGTACACTTGATTGCTGCAAACATAGGGCTTGATTTTGACAGAATCATTGGGATTGCAATTCAGTAAGTTTGAAAAGGTTACACTGCAAATGTTCATCATTAATGTATGTGCACTTTGTCTAATTATTAGAATTTAAGCATTGCACCAATTTTGGCAGAAGAGGCAACTTGCTTCAATAAGATGTACTCACCATGCCTTGGTAAAACCTTGAAGCATTCTTTAATTTGTTCTTCAGCAGTTTTAACCAACTTATCTGCAGATTTTTCACTTGTTTCCATCTGAAGCTTCTTCTCCCATGTTCTAATTTCAGACTTGTGCTTCACACCTGTGTTGGTATGTTTACTAGTACACATGTAAGTCTTGTGTTCCTCCAGCTCGGAACTACGCACTGGTCGGTTACAGTCAGGGCAACCTTTAGAAGCCTCCTACATGTGCAAGAAATGTGGAGGCATATCAGTGTTCTTTGAAATATTTCAATTTCACAATTTTCTCTCATCTTCTCTCTTTCTTTTTCTCTTGTTCAGACCTTGTTCTTTATCCCAGTCTATTTACCTTGAATTTAAGATTCACTATTGCAACAATGATGTGAGTACTTAACTGTTACTAAATCATAAGTGTTGGATTGAGTCGTGAACAAAATTCAAATGTTCTGACTTTTCTGTCTACAGTTCCATTGAGCTTATGATGTAACCCTGCTTAAAAAAAATTAGTTTTCATTTTCATGAGATAGACAATCCTCTTATTCTGCCTTCATCCTTCATCACTAATGAAAACTGGCCCCAATAAGACAGATGAAACATGGTTGTACAGCAATTAGACAGAGTGGTACAAGAGAGCAGATCAGTTGTTGAAGTTATTGGACAGTACACTGTATGTGTCAACTGCCATGGTGTTGTTTGGAATTCTTAAGTAACCAGATGGAGGCTGTTTTTGTTTTTTGAGTTTTTTTGTTTGTATTTTCATGAAGACAGTGATTATTTATTTAATTTCACGATTCATGTGCCATCTTAGTTACCGCTGATAATAACAGGTCAAATAACAGATCTTAGTCCAACAGTGATTACAGGAATTGGTAATTGCACTAAACACTAACAAAAGATGGATAATTTGGTACGAATCAACCACAAGAACAACAAAAACTTATGTTTACAGCTCTCTCCTGCTTTGGTAAACATCCAGTTCTTAAACAATCTTACCTTTGACTTTTCCTCTAAATCCTTAGCTGGGACGAGCTCGCCAGATTTCTCCACTTCGACAGGTCTAAAATCACACTTCTGCAGGTGAGACCCCAGATCACAAAGCTCGACTTCCGCATTACAACCCCAGTGCTTGTAAACACAGAACACCTGTTGGGAAGATAACTCCTTGTCTAGCTCAAATTCATCCATACGCCATACATCAGCCAAAGGAGAGCCGTCTAACGGGTCTACCTTTGAGGTTCGAGTCAATTCATCGATGCAGCGCTTACAGAAGACATGCTTGGGGTCACTACCTTTAATGGACTTTGGACGATAAAGAATTCCCAGACAAACGGGACACTGAAACCTCAGTTTTTGCCTCTCGTCTGAAAATGTAATCGGTCTTGGGAGCCTCAATCTTGAGATCACCACCACGTACGTTTTCTTATTGCTGACGTCCGGTGAGGTTACCTCAACTTCAACAACTGTGTCGCCATATTTCAAAGCTGTTGGTTTTTTCGATTCTGTTCCATTAACTTTAACTGCAGTTTTCTTATCAGCTACGGCGGGAGTTACCTCAACAGAAGAGCAAGAAAACGGAACAAAAGCAGAATAATTTGTGATGTTGGAAGCAAAATTTGGAGAAAGAAGGCCAACGGAAAGTTTGAGTTCGGAGAGAGACGCATCACTTGCAGACAACCGCGTAACGTGAATGAAATAATTTTTGATTGTGCTTCCATCTTCTGCAGTTACTTCTATTTTAACGGGAGTAACTTCTCCTTCTTTGAGAGGTACCGTCTTTCCACCACCACTTCCCTGTAAACACAAAAATAGATTGCAAGATGCCTATTAATATCGAGCTTTCATGCACGAACAATAATTCTTTGGCGCGAACAATAATCCTCACCGAAATGGAGTACGATGCGCCGGAATCACTTGTAAGTGGATCGACTTTGATCTGACCAACATCACTTCCAAGAGTAACTGCATATTCAGTCGTGTTATGATGGAATTTCGGCGTTAGTTTTCCCGGAGAAATGGAGAGCTTTTCCAAGTCAGCGTTGTCCATGTTGCCAGGAACACGAACCTTCAAGGGTCCTAGGTAACCAGGTCACGCAACAGACGCCCTGGATAATTGCGTGACCAAAGTAATTTAGCCGTGTATTATTTTCGTGCTATTACATTGCAACAGCTATTAAAAGACCTGTAATAGGCCCCTAACATCATGCTTTCACATAAGGGGGAGTGTGTGGGGGAGGGGCCTCTTAAAAACTCATTGATGATAGCAAACGTCTTTCTTGAGACTGTTGCCTAGCTGTAATGAATACTGTGTACAGTGCGAGAGTAGAATCATAAATCACAAAGCAGCTCAACCAGAAGGAAGCACGAATTTTCGTGTTTAAAACTTTGAAAAAGAAAAAAGAATGTGAATGAAGCATAAATTATTGGGCTAAAAGTAAATGTGAATAATGACGAATCTCGATGGTCAAATGATTCCATTTGCACCCCTGAAAAAGGATGGAGAACTTACAACATAGTTGAAAAACAAAAGTAACAGAGGTTTCACAAAACAGTTTTCTTTGGTGCTTTCTACAGGAAATAAATAGCTGTTGCCCAGCTGTAATGAATACTGTGTACAGTGCGAGAGTGGAATCATAAATCACAAATCACAGCAGCTCAACCAGAAGGAAGCACGAATTTTCGTGTTTAAAACTTTGAAAAAGAAAAAAAAATGTGAATGAAGCATAAATTATTGGGCTAAAAGTAAATGTGAATAATGACGAATCTCGATGATCAAATGATTCCATTTGCACCCCTGAAAAAGGATGGAGAACTTACAACATAGTTGAAAAACAAAAGTAACAGAGGTTTCACAAAACAGTTTTCTTTGGTGCTTTCTACAGGAAATTAATAACAATCGTACGGAATAAGTATTATCCTAGCATCGTCACTGATATTGTTATTTTTGTGACTTAAGGTTAGGGGAACGGGGAAAACGGAGGCACATAAGCGGGGGACTGATCACCGAGGGGGGCCCTGTAAGGGTATTTCGTCAAGTTTGTTATCAACTACTAATGGAGGTAAGACAGAGTCTCAGAGAGTGAAATAAAGTTATTTATTCCTTTTCCTATTCCTAGGAGCGTTCTGATATCGAAGCGGTGAAATGAAAAAATTACATGAGGATATCACCTCAGTAATGTGCGATCACAGCTTTGAGAATAATCTCAATTTGGAACATAATGCATGTGGCAATTAACCCTCTAACTCCCAAGATCTGACAGTCAATTCTCCCCTCCAGTTACTACATACTTCCTTTTAAATTAGTTACAAGAATTTGGTGTTAGATTAAGACAACAATTTCTACTTGATATGTTTGAATATTCTCATTACCTGTTCCCACGAAAATGTCTGGATATTGCAGGGAGAAGTCGGATGTTAATCACTTCTGGGGGTTAAAGGGTTAAAGGGTTAAATGAACCAAAAAGAGGGGTAAAAACCAGCGATAAGTTTCGCTTTAAATCAAAACTACAATAACACAATCACAAAATACGTTGTAGCTTACCAACGTACGCGGGTCTTGATTACTTTATCGAGGATTTCGGTCTAAACTTGTCTTCTACTCCAAAAACAATCATGATTACCCGAGGTCTTATCCTGAACTGAAACGCGAACTATAATTTTGTGTCTACTCACTACACGCACTACTCACGGTGGCGTCAATATTACCAGAAGAAAAAGTGCAGGTTCTTTCGGAAGCGGAAACATTAAGCTTTAATTGAAGCAGTAATAATCATTATTATCATCATTTTCACTCAGAAATTACAACCCAGGGCCATAATCAGGAATTATTTTTTTTGATCAGGTTTCGTTTCAGTAGTATGCTGAAAGCTCGCTCGTAGATGCCGTGAATACGAGAGTGCTGTTGGCATAGACAATCTGGAAACGGGGGAAAAACCATTCATAGACCTTCCATGGCTGGATGGATTTGTGATAAAACGATTCCTTTTCACCCTTTCTTTCTCAGGTTGTACTCTGTCGTCTGCCGAACTCTGAGTCCTGTTCGACCGTGAACCCTGGAAACCGGGCGGCGGGATTTCTCTGCTTTCGACGGCTGAATTATGCGATAGAGAACTCTCTGCCCTCGGGGAATTTTGACCCATGAAGAAAGGTATCACTTTGTTCGCGTTACTGTTCTTTAATCTGCGCCTGGATAACAAACAATCTTGTGGAAAGATGGGACTGTTTTCAGCCTTTTGTAGTTTGCTTAACCCCTTGTGTCTCTGGTGTAAGACAGGTGGCTTTTTCTCTTTAGGAGTTGCACGTTGCAAGGGTGGGTGGGGGAGGTGCATATTACTCTCGGTACCATTTGTGGCCTTTGACACTTCCTTGGAGTTTGGTTCCTCCTGGACTGAAGGCCATTGGAAAACGAAGGGAAAATGTTGCACGGGAGCGGAACGAGGTCCTCTGTCGGGAGAAACAGTCCATGGGGATATCCTGGCTGGTGATCGTGCTGGAAGAGGAGCAGAGATCGTATGACCGTATGGTAGTTTCTTTCCTTGCCTTGAAGTTATCTGAGACACATTGTCAATTGAAATTAATTCTCTCCGACGCCTTGAGGTAGTTTGCACTCTGTACTCGTTGACATGCTCGTTTGAGGAAGGCGCCATCATTATCTGTCGTGTTTCTTCAAGATGATTTGTTCCACCAGCAAGAGATCGTAAAGGATTTTTTGTCTTCTCTTTTGAAATGGCCCCTTGGGAGGACTGTAAGGGAAAGATCTTTTCCTCAACTAAAAACCATTCGTCCTTTTTTGGCGGCATTTCTCGTTTGCTTTCGTTTTCCATCGCAGCAACTATGGTTAAACTCCATAAACGGCAGTTTACCATGACCTGTCAAGCCCAGAGAGGGCTGTTATATAACTGACAGAGAAGACCAACAAGGAAAGTTTTCCTTTAGATTTTACCGCTAGCCAACCGCAGTTCAGATTGTAACTCGCCAGTATTTCATAATCGTTGGGTAATCAGTGGAGAACTTAAAATAGCTGATTTAACTGACACTTTCATTGGAAAATTCATTAAAGCAAACATCAATTGAAGAAAACTCTGAATTTCGCAAGTTGAGTCCAGCAAAACCTCGTGTACGCGAGCTATTACGAAATACGATCCCTAATTTAACGTAATCAGCGGCAATTTCAAATTCAAAACGCCTTTTCACGGAATAGCGGCGTTCTTTTGATCTCTCGAGGCAGGAACTTTGAGGAAAGGAGTGTCTGTTAATTTAAATAATCTAACAGCAGTCGGCACGTTTCAGAGACACGCCCTTCTAAACCTACTTCCGTGCCATCTTCAAATTAAGGAAAATTAGTTAGGAAACTTTGAACACACCCATTGTTTTTTTTTTCTTTAATTATTGCTTCGTAATCAACCATTTGTTAAATGAATTATCGTTTCTTGAATTTTCGAAATTAAAAACCATGCAAACGATATTTGGTGCCTTCCTTAATGTTCCTTGAATTAAAAAATAATTTCCTTGAACGACAACCGATTCCAGCTTGAAATATCTGAGTCGTTGTCCCATCAGTTTTCTATTTCATCAAATATTCAGAATGAATCAAATTAAGATCTCGATTCAAATCACTCAAACTTACCACCGCTACAATTCAAGACAAGAACGGAGCGCTTACAATTGTTTCTAAAAAAAAGTTTTCGATGAAACAGCAGCTAAAGGATCAAGATGATGATCTGTAATAGGAAAGTAGGAAATAGACCTTGTGAGTATTACTAGCCAGTGTTAGACTGCTAACAATCCCTCCTCTACGGCGAAATCCGTCGTACGAGTCAAAAAAATCAACGAAGAAAAAAAATTGTTCTTGCGCCACGTGGAACTCTGAGAGTGAGGCTCTTAGAAAGTGTGCCTCACTCCTAGAGCTCCGTGCGGCGCGCCAGAGGCCTGTCATTTTTGTCTAATCAGCATTAAGTTGTAATGATGATTGTTTCTTCTCTTTCTGTCTTAAAAGAGTTGGTACCATATTGAGAAACAGTCTCGATCCTAGCCTCGTATCCAGTTTCATTGCAAGACTGTTTCAGTGATAGTAATACGGTAGGATCAAAGTACGAGATTGTCTTCATCCTTTGAACCATACAAAGCACGAATTGCGAAATTTCAAGCAGTTGAGACAGGTGGGCGCGGTTAAAGATACGTCAACTGATTAATTTCCTCAATTTGAGACACAGGTAAAATGTCCGTTAATTAAGGTGCGACTTGGAAAAATGCCGACTGCGCATACTTCAAATAGATAAGTTTCCACACTACTTCCATAATAAGATTTTCACCTGCTTCACCTTCACCTTCATTCAGCAGGTTGCGCAATTCAGATTTCTTCAATCAATCTTTGGTTTAATTGTTACAAGGAACCCATCACATGTCACTTTCACTGATCCTCATTTTCCGATTGGCTTTTTATTATTATTTTTTTTATGAATAAAATGCTCACACGTTACCTACCAAATAAGTGTTGGTTGGTGAAAAATTGAAAATGGAATTCTGCGCTCATGGTCATTTGCCTTCATTCACTTGGGATTAAAACCCCGTGTTGCGTCTAAACATGCTTCAGAAGCAATGGATAGACGCTGCGTGCGCGCTCCGCTATGAAATAAGGACTCATTAGTTCCCTTAAGATAAAACAAACTAGGGGCAGCGTTTGACAGAAGTGTTTTGAACTGAGCCGATGGAACCCTCGACCTCATGCCTGTTAAAATTAGGGATCCGTGGAGGACTGAACGTCAACCGTATCAAAATACAGTTGGCATTAAGTAACTCAAACTCGAAATTCAAACCAACATTTACTAATCCTTAATTTGCTTCATTCATTTTCAGCCACTTCACCCTAAATAACTCAAACTCTCAATACCTCGAAAATGCCGTTAACCAAAGTGATCTTTTCTCCCTTTTTGGGACCATTTTCTTCAAAATCTTGACCAAACCCAAATCGAAAACAGCATTCGCAAGGTAATTAAAAATGTTTAGTGATGTCAGTTTCTTCTTCCCATTCTGCGGTTACTCGAATTTCGATCACATTTCTCTAAGCAGTTCAAGCTCAAGAGAGTCAACTGTAGCACGAGGCCGTTCATTTGTGATGAGCTGTTCTAAGAACACACACCAGATCATGTAGATGTTCCTTTTTTCGTTTATTAATTTTCTTCCAGTACAGTAACACTATATCAATTTTTGTCTCAATCTGCAAAATACATCTTAAGCTATTTTATGTACGAAGTAAACCTCTTTCCGCCCATAGAGGTACTTGACACTTTACAAAAGTTACATCTAGAGTACAGCGTCGTAAAACCCATCGGAAAATCAACGCAACAGAAGGCCTCATAAATACTCGTACAATACAAGATTCTTTAAAATGCTTTAGTATACAAAATGTTTGATTATTAGCAAAGCAGAACTCGCAACCTGGATTTCCTCAAAGATACAACTCAGTAACCTCTGGACTCATAAGAAACACAAAAGTCAAAATATACATTTTAATATTAACTTTTCCTGTACAAGCTCACAAAAATATTACATGGTTGTTGGCCCAGGTCAAACAAGACCGTGTGCAAGATGAATGCAACACGTGACGATAACGGCGTATATCAAAGGAAAAACTGCGAATAATTATCACACAAAACACATGTCTAGTGTATCACAACAGGTCACATGACCGGTCATGTGGTGGATAACTTGTTAAAAGTAAGTGTGATTCAGAAACACGTTTTGTACTCTCTACCTGAAGTAGCACGACTTTGAAAATCGTTTCTTCCTTCTTACCGTAAATATGTAGTAAAACCGTTTACTTGAGTTTTATTTTGATGGCATTTTTAACAACTGGTATTTGGCCAGCAGGCGGAGGTCCTTCGTCGGTGAGTTCCTTTTCAAGATCCTGCAATGGTTAAAAAGAGGGTCACAAATTTCTTTGCTAAGCTAGTTGTGATGCACCTTTTAGTGGATTAAATACTTCTCGATCGAGGATCGAGACGCTCGAGAATAGCGATCCCCAGTTTCGAGAAGACATTCTATTCTCGCACGCAAAACAGCTTGACACGCAGCTTCAAGACACTGTCATAAAATTGACTAATGAAAAATAAATTTTAAAGAGGTTAACCTCGTTAGCAGATTTGAGTTTCTTCTCCGAGTGTTTTTCCTCGTTGGTAGGAGATATCGATCGTTTAACCGCCGCCGACACTCCATCCTTCGATTCCACTGGGTTGTTACTCTGAAATGATAAAAGCTTGAAATTTTCAAGGATTCTCTTAAAGAACATGTATATGTCGCTACTGGTAGGTCTTCCCACAGTCACACGAGAAGTTCCAAAAATAACTGACGAATCACTAACGAGGACCCAGGCATTTGTGACGAAATTTCACCATTTATTAAATCTAGTATGAAAGTGTCCGAAATTTCTACCAACTTAAGATGTTCCTTCTCATAATGTGTACAGCCACGCCGAACTCAAAGAAATATCAGATCCTTCCTACTTACATCGGTCAGATTTTCAGGTTTGTTGTCTCCTGTTTTAGCACAGTTTTCAGTCTTCGTTGATCCCTTCACGTCACCTTCCCTCATCTGTGTATTCGCATTAACCTGGAGGTGAAGTCAAGAGAAGTTAACACTTCCATTCCTAAGCAAAAATTATTATCAATTGTTAATATGTTTATCAACGTAGGCAGAAGATATCGTAGAAGTTTGGTAAGAAGCGTATCACATCAGGGACTAATATCTTGTTTTTTTTCCTGCTTCTTGCTAAGATTGCTCCTTCTAGACGTCCCATAAACTGAATTCAGTGCTGCAACAGATGTATGATCACAGCTCTTCTACCCTGACGTGCTGTGTTTGCCCATCAATCTACTATTTCGTTCAGGTCTAGTCAAACACAGAGAAAGTTTAGATGCTTCTACAAGCCTAAATAGCATATCAGGCTGCAGATTATCCATGTAACATAAAGGGAATTAAGGGTATTACCCACAAATCGGATCGGATGCCTACAGAGTCCTAACACCTCAACGTAATAATATCAATAATAAAATACTCTCCTTTTATTTCATTCAAGCGACAACTTCCCAGTCTCTTAAACATCAAGATGATCATTTGCGGCACTTTTTTCTTATAAAACTAACCCTGATAAATAATGTTTATTGTCTAGCCAACTACATTAACTCACGCTGTCAAGATCCGCACCATCTTTCTTCTTCTCCTGTGGACTTTCACCGTCGATAAGGTTAGAATTTGGCCGTTTCCTCCCGTCATTGCCGTTGAGTGAATTCACGGAACTGGTCGTCTTCAGAGAACGAATACAATCTTAAATAAGTAAGGATTGACAACACTGTCTACAAAGCGCAACGCAACAAAAAATCATACGACAACTTCAGAGGCATCGAAGAAAGACTTTATAACAAACCGTGATTTCGGCATCATCCACTCGTCGTTTCTTGCTGCCCTTTTCGTCTTCTGAAGGAGATCCAGCACGCTTTAAACCAGCAGGCTGAGGAAAATGCACATCAATGTTACGGAAAAGACGTGTTATGTTAGATCAATGACGTTTGACTTTCGAGCTCCCCTCCCCGAGCGACCCCTCCCCTAACCCAACAGCAGTCAACTGATAACAATTCAGGGTTATAGCTAGATTAGGGGAGGGGTAGGTTTGTAGTTGCTTTGATACTTCCATTAATTCACAAATTTTATTTTAAAGACGTAATTGTACAGGGATCCATTTGGTGCTTAAGATCGGTGGTTTCATGCACTGCTAGATAAAAACCGAGAATTAAGCTTATTACAGACACTGAGCGGATCTTTGTACGGCTCTATGTCATTAAAATTGATACTATGAGTCCAGTCGCTGACGAACAGTCATCTGCGAATGTCACAGATTTGCCACGAAAAAACCGGCAAAAGAGAGGTTCTTCGCTGTATTATTGCCAACTACTACTTCGCAGCCAATTTTAACACGTTTTCAAGGATGAAACTGCGGTAATAAAAAATATACATTTGAACCCTGTTACGAGACGATAGATAAGGAAAGTTGTAACAAAATTTGTTAATAACGCCATAACTAAAAACGAAAACTACGCCAAAATACTGCCATTTAACTCGAGTGTTGTTTTGATTCGCCAGCGTAAGTTGGCGAATCAAATGTCTCTCGCTTTGGCGAGACACAACTCTGTCTCAAAGATGTCAAAATGCGGCTCAGTTATTTAAGGGCCGCGCATACCTTGTCTGGTGAAGCCGCCGATGGCTGACTAGTGACAGAAGTTGTATCTGATGACGTCACTTCACCAACAGTGGAGACAGAGGAAACCGTGGAGTCTGGGTTCACCTTTTTGTCGTCTGAGCTACTGACCGTGGCTACACCTGCAAATAATAAGAGAAAGAAACAATAATATTTTTAAGATTCCAACAAACTACGAAACAAAAGTGTTTCTCCCTACTTACGGTCACTAAGCCGGAATACTTTTAAGCGAGATACACACATCAGCAGTTTGACCGCCTATCCTTGATGGATCAAGTGGTAAATTGTTGTTTTCTGGAAAGGAGTATCATGGCCTACTTTTATTTTCTCTTCTGTCGAGTGAGTGAAAGCTTTCTTTCAGAGAGCACTCGGCGCTGAATACGAAAACGTTGTTAGAAAAGTGAATTTGATATAAATCTCGGTGCAAGGATCTTAGGAGGAGGAAAAACCTAACAGGACACGAAAACACATGTCTGATAGCCAGTCAGTGTAATCAGTCTGAAATGTAGTCTAAATATATACAAATCGACTCACTTGCTTCTTCGCTGTTTTCACTGCTTCCCGTCAACTCCACACTATCATTGCTGGGCTCTGAAGTGATCTCCAAACTCGCATCACTGGCATTAAGTGTCGAATCTAGAGACACGTCACCTTTAGCTGACTTCCCCCCAGAAGTCGCTGAACCCTGAAGACAAAACAAGAGTCATTCGTTTCTGTTGTTTCTCGACAATCTGACATAAGATGCAGAGCATTATCGAAAAATTAAGGGGGGCTGCATCTACAGTTCAGTTTTTTTAAACTTGAATATTGATGAGCTGATTACTTTTTTAAAAAAAAAATAAGCGTCATCGAACTCGTTCCTGAGTTACAAGCGCATGAAACTGCATGAAGCGGTGTTCGTTGCAGGCCTAAGTATTGCTATGTGAACCTTGTCGATGGATGATGGGGCAATTTTTTCTTTTCACTCCACTTTCAAGGGGAAAAAATTAAGAAAGTGTGCCAGCAACGAAAAATCGAATTAACATTTAAAAAATAATGAAAATAATACTAAAGAAAACCAGATAGGGAACATGCTCTGTCAATAATTGTACACAAATTTCACATCACACTCACTCATCCAATTGATCACAATCTCTGGTCGCAACAGATAAATTAGGAAGAGAACGAGCAATACATAGTACCAAAGAAAAACTGGAGTCAAATACAACCAATACTATTGCCTCTCCTAGCGACAAAAACTGGTCAGAGAAGCTTCCCTAACTTGTGGCAAATGGCCTTCGAAATAAATGTCCACATGTAATTTCTAGTAAAATACCAAAATACAAGTCTTTTCATGACTTACTGGTTGTACTATGGAGCTTTTTTTCTTCTGTTTAAGCACACTTGGTGGTAAATATTTACTGAGTTGCTTCCTGCAATCACGAAGAATCTTATAATCAATCACTGATCCGGCTGATAAATTTCCTTACTACCGGCATTTGTCTCGTTAGGGGTGTGACTACAGTCTTCCATTAGAGGTAGAAACTTATTGATCATTTTTTTTTTCCATTTAGACTTAGTGACGTTAAGCCAAAGCCAAAATAATAAAACGACTAATCAGCAAAAAAAGGAATATCTAGAGCCAATGAGAACTCAAAAGTAAAATCATGTAGCCGGCCTCGCGCGAGAAGATACGGCGAGAAAATGATAGTGGCCAAGTAGTAGCTGGTTTTGGTTTTGCACTTGACTAGTCAAGGAAGTATTCAATTTGGTTTCGCTTAACTCCGCTCTGTGATTGGTCCAGAAACTCGCGCCACCCTCTCAACCAATCAAATGGAAACTCAAAGCAATCACAACTTGGTCTGTTGCATCAGTTGCGTCTAACTGTGCTCTGTGATTGGTCTATAAAACTCGCCCCACGCTCTTAGTCAATCAGAAGGAAACTGACACAAGTATCACTTGGTCGGTTGCGTCTTTCCGCGCTTCAGTGGGTTTGCTTTTTCTGAGTTCTTATTGGCTCATTTTGCCTTTGCTGTGATTGGAGTCGTCACTCAATCAAAAAATCGTGGTGCTTGGTGCTTTTTTTTCCCATCAATTCTCGGCTGAAACTACTCTTGGAGGTACATGTAATATAGAAATGGAATCCAACTAAGTTGACTCACTTTTTGACGTGTATAGCCTCTATTCTCATACCCTCTTTGAACATTTTGGCTGTCACTGCCTGGGTGTGGACTGAAGAGGTTAAAAAATGGCTCATTTTATTCAACGATAGCAAGTCAAGAGACACTGTATCAACTCATTTACTTCACCCAAATCTACACGCATTTTTGCTAATTCTCCTTCTTCTTGCTGATAAAAAGTCATAGATGAAGTCATCACTAGCAGTTTTTTGTCTATTAAATTAGTAGATTCCATTCTCCTGATGTCTGTTAAGTTTTAAATAAGATATCGAAATTGGTAAGAACATTAGTTTAACGCTTGTCTTATGGTTTTGTGACACTTTTCTGTTAAAAATTTATGTACCAGTAACACCCACAGTGACGTGAAGCCTATGGCTGAATGGATGGACAGTGATGAACTGGCAGACACAGATATTGACACAACATATTCACGAAAACAGGAGTTCAAATAAAGCCATTAAACATCACATTCACTCTCAATAAGACTTAGAGATGTGGTACTAGAAGATTCACTATCGCGTGAAGGCCTATGTTTCAGAAATCTGAAATGGTTAGCTCTTGAACGCTTTCATTCAAGTAACGTTTATCCAGGTCACCTATGGTAGAAAGCAAGTAACCGTGACACACGAGCTCTGCTAAAGCACAGCCATGACTTACTGAGCTCAAAAAGCAAAACATATGAATAAATTTAAAAGCATAATCATACGATTTACATACCAGTATTTGTAAACATCTGAATTGCTCCTGTCAAATCTACATTTACATTTTCTGTCAACACAACAAAGTAGCAATGAGGTTAAATTTCCATTTAGTGAAGGACGTTTTGGTGATTTTTTTTCACAGCTCTATTACAGTTGAAAGTAAATAAAAGATAACACACTCTGATGAACAAGTAATACTTACCCTTTTTTTCAAACTGTAATCCTATAAACCACCTGTTGGTGGGAGACGCTCTGTAATTCAAACAACAAAACGGTGTCAAATCTGTAGCGTTCAACAGACAAACTCCATGTAGGTGGAAAGTCATTTCTCCTAAATCCTGCTGCCTAAGAGGTGAATCTTTTATTACGGCTTTCATAGGCAAACAAGTCACAACTGGGATCTGTGGGCAAATCCTTTTACAGCTGCAACTTATGACTGCACCTTTCCTTGTTTGCTGTTTATGAGAATTTGAAGTTATATCATGATAATTAATAATTTTGTTAGTTCTCATAAACTGTAGCCTCCTCCTTTATCTCCCTTTTGGTTAAGGTAGAGTTGCTGAGGTTGAAAAAGCAGTTGCAAGTTACCTTTTACACAAAAACAAAAGAAGCTTACTTGTCTGGTTCCAGTGGGGCAAATGATTTGGGCTTCACATGAGCAAGTGTCACAAACTGGGTATTTTCCAGGTTGGACACAAGTATTCTGACCTTGGACTCTACTAAGCCAATCCTGAAAGAGAGAAAAATAGAAAAGTAAATTACAAATTGAGATAGATGGTGAATTTTGAGCTTGGTCTGAGAAAAAGGAGACAATATTAATCATCTTGTAACCAGCATGAAAAAAGAAAATGGATTTATTGTGACTAAATAAAAAAGTTACTGCCAAAAGCTTGGTGGCATCCTTGATCAGCAGTCATTTCCTTTCGCATGTGGGCAGAAAAACGAATGAAATGAAAAAAAACTCACCATTCTAAGTGATCCTCTTCAGAGTTGGATATGGCACTTAACACAATATAATGTCTGAAACGTGGAGAATAGAATTCACCAGCAATAAATTACGCTGGGTGGGACACAGTCTGCTTCTTGTCAATGCAGTCCATAAATCAAATAATATTGCAATTGAAAGATGGCACACCTCACAACAGTTTTAAAACCACTGAATTAAAAATTCAAAAGAGGTAGCAATACATGCAAAAGAAATGGTTGATCATTTTAAATTGCATATTCTGCCATTTATAATCACTGAGAATAGAGAAAACTGTGACATGCCTATTGACATTGACTGTCACTAAATTCTATAGAGAAAACTGAGGGATTGAAGAAAAGAAAATCCAGTAAAAAAATGAGTCAAGACTGCCATAATAAGGCTACCTTCTTAAATGTTTTTGAGCAACACTTGAACACTCTAACAAGAAACACTCTTCAGTGGAATATCATCCACAAATTAAATGTTTAATAATTCTGTTCTGTTTTATCCATTTGGAAGTAAATTTTTTTGGTCATTTTGAATGCACATAACAAATAAGTAAAATTTCATTGTCTTGAAACTGAATCACAAGAAAAGTTCTTCCTTTTTATATCTGTACTGAAGAATTGCCATAAGGCATTATCGGCAAGAACAGGTAAATAATCAAACAGCACACTTGAACACTCCACTTTTATTGCATCAGTTCTAAGATGTACATTAAGATTATACAAACCAGTGCGACAGATGCTTAGCTTTACAAAGAGACACAAGAAACAGCAAGAGATCAAGTACTTGTATTTGCTAAAGAAGTTGGGTGGTTGAAACAGTGCATCCCATGTAGACTTGCCAATTAAAACATCACTTGTGATTGTAAGGCCTGGAACCAAAAAAGGTAAGTCTAAGACTACCGTATTCAATGAGTATGGGACATGCTTGCTTTGAAAGAAGCTATATATAAAGGTACTTGTGGGCCAGAATCATAATAATACTCTTTGACTAGTTTCTGTAGCATGAAGCAACTTGGAGTGTTGCCTCAACCAGTGGATGGAATGACAGTCCATCACACAGTCAGAAAACAAGCTAAGCAGTCAAAACCAAGAAAGCTTAATCCATGATTAGGAGTATCGCCACTCTGTAAACAGGACACTGCATGAGATCAAAGCAGGTAGCCCCAAATATTTCATTAGGGGAGGGGGGGGGTAAGGGGGGTTAGGAGGTAATGCCCCTTGTATATTCATGCTACAGAGACCAGATAAGATTGGGCGTTATGGGTCACTGAACTGGAAAGAACATAACAGGCAAAAATGCACAGTATCCATTAATATACCATTAGACTTTGCTGGCATACCAGTGAACAAAGTCTAACTCACCAATTTCAAATTCTTCATTCATGATGGATCTTGTTGACATTGAGACATTAAAAGTGGAATTCTGCTGTGGAAAAGCTGGAGTTATGATAGGCATAAGGTGATATCGATCAGCTGGATTGTACTGTAAAAAAAAAAAGATTGAGATCCAAGTAAGCTTGGAGATGCAATGGACTGAAGCTACAGTGTGTAAGAGTAAAAGGGTAATTTAGTATTATCAAGTGAGTTGATAATGTAAATTGGTCACTGTAAAGAGTTTAAAAGCTGATGTTTTGAGTGTTAGCCCTTTCAGAGCAATTGGAGGAACTGTGAGTTGTGTGTGTGTGTCTTTATATACAGAGTAACAGTTCATCAAGTGATCAAGCAGCTGGCAATGAAAACTACTTTTAAAGACAGTGACTAACATTTTGACAGGCTGGTTGGAAGAATTTTTGGTTAGTCAAGCCTTGTGAGTCTTAAAGCAAGGAAACTGACTAGCAGTTCCATGATGATATTTGATTGAAGTTTTTCCAGCAAGTTTTGATTGAGAAATTAATGTGAGCAATCAGTATCCAAACACAAGACTTACAACATTAATTTTCCAAAGACAGACAACCCTTCATTAGAATCTAACATCACCTTCTGTTTTATGTTGTCACTGTCTCCATTACTGAGCAAGAGCATAGACCAATTCAACAAAAACTTCATTCACTTACCCTTGGATCCCAAACAGGAAAATTTAAGCCTAGTTTTTCAGCAGGCTGAGTGATATTCTTTAACAAAACTGGATTTGGCCAGTCCCTGAAAACAACAAATCCTTTTTAGAGAATTGCATATTGCTGAGTGCAACAACAAGAAAAAAATCTTCAGTCTAAGTGGGTCAACTATCAAAATGACCTCTACACATGTACAGTGTACATGCATTGGTGTAAAATGTTATTAATGTGGTACTTAGTGATGACCTACCATTTTGAAAACACAAGAAAGAATTTTTGAAGTAGTGTTGCTGCCACAGCATTTGGATACAACTGACATGTGCGAGCAACTAACATAGCCCACGACACACCACCAAGAAAACCTAATACATTGGAGTAAATTCCACGGTCTGAAAGAGCAGAGAAATTCAGAATGTTTTTAAAAGAAATCAGTTTTAAAATTGCCAAATGCACTATTGAGGGAAAAAGCCTTTAACACTCACTTTTTGCCCACAGTTTCACCGCTCTTAAAGTAAGCCGAAAGTTTTCTATATTGGGAACTAAGTGTAGGATTTCATCTGTGACACGACAACCTGAAAAAGACCACATCAAAACTATGTTACAATGTGTTCATGTAACAGTAATAATGCTGAAGTATACACACATTCAGAAGATTCACATACTTTTCCATGAAATGATTTATACAAATAAATTACACAGACAGTTGAGCTGGTAGTGTCATTCATCTTTCATGATGATAAATGTATACATACTGAATTAAGAGATACACACACTGTGAAAGAAAGACTACCCAAAATAAAATTAACAACATGAACAAGAACTTATCTAGAACCTTACCATTTAAACTTCTGACACACTTGGGATCCAAGTTTTTCAGTAGGCTCTCATCCAGTAGACTCAGATCATCTGGCACCTCTGGCAGTGCTAATCGGGCAAACAACAGGTCCATCTACAGGTAAAGGTCAAGACCAAATGGGAAGTAAGCTTATATGCAAAATTTCACAAAGTTTGACTGAAATGAAGAAATAACCACAACATACCCTGGGCAAGACTTACCTCTATGTTACAAAACACCAACTTGATGACTGGAACAAAGGCATTTTCAACAGCCTAGAAAAAAGAGTAAAAATGATACATACTTCTGAGTTCAGGAAGTTATCACTTAGAGCCTAAACCAAAAGAAAGTCCAGAAAACAAACAGTTTAAGAGGAATAAAAGAAAATTGAAAAAGTTAAATTGGAAACAAAAGGTCCATAATTCAAATTCTTGTCAACCTATATGTAAAAACCAGTTATTTTTTGAAAATAAAATTAATTTGAGATATCTTCACGAGTTGGTTGTTTAATGTCGATAAAATTTTTATAGGTGCTAACAGAAGCATATACACCATACTACAGTTTTATGGTTTGAAATGTACTTGCAAACAGTTCAGTTTTGATAAAATGTCCAAACTATATAGTTCAAAAATAATTTGTCTCGTAGACTTACAGTACAGCAACAAAATCTTACCCTTAGTTCTTTCACATCCTCATTATTTTTGAGAATCTCATAGAATGTCCCAAAGAAGTCAGATCGGTCAATATGACGAGGAGCAACAAGGAGGGTGTCAATATCAGCACCTAGATATTTCAATTACAGCATGTCGCCTTATCATAATATTACATGAGGTCAAGTTTCATTGTGGTTGATAATTAAATGGTCTTGAAGGAGTTAAGTTACAGTTATACAGCTTGGAAACTGTAACCTAAATTCTTTGGTCATCATCTGTATCAATCTTTCCCACCTTTGGTCATTCTTATGCACTATAACTTTTGTGGTTTATTCTATATTCCTGTGGTTTGCACTCTCTTACAAAAAAGTGGATTCAAGTTTCGAGCAAAATATGATAAAGAAAGATGAAATGTGAGAGAAAACAAGATGGCCAATGGCCAACCATGCCACTCCTTCATTCCCACGAATGATAACACAACAATTAATCTTTAAATAACAATATCAACACACTGCCAAGCAGATCAGCTAAGAGAACTAAGAAAAATATAACTTCAGTATAGTTTTATTTATCACCAATTAACTTATTGAGATAAAATCATTAGGGTTTTTGCCTTCTTGTCAGACAAGGGTTCTTTCTCGAGAGAGGAGACCTTTCTTTCTCAACCCAAGACTCTTATTTCCCCAGAGGGTGGTAACCTACTTATGAACAGTGTTTTTCCCAGGTATGTGTAGGGGATGTGCGGCAATAATTACTTACCTTTTGTGTGAACACCAAGTCTGTATGAACCAAAGGTGAAGATCTTTCCTCCAACTGAATTAGCTACAGATTCTGGCATGTTCTGACAAATAGAACAATTTTGGCGGTTAAGAATATATGAAAGTCATATATTTGAACTGCAGATAAAGACGCGAATGAAAGTGATCCTCACAGTGATGTGCACTACTTAGGCAGTAGTGAAAATAAGGCCTGAAAAAAATTCAGGCTTGTACGGGATTTGAACCCATGACCTCTGCGATACTGGTGCAGTGCTCTACCAACTGAGCTAACAAGCCACCTGGGAGCTGGTCATGATGGTGGTTCTAAAAAAACCCGTGAAGTGATGAATAGACGGTTAAGAATATATGAAAGTCATATATTTGAACTGCAGATAAAGACGTGAATGAAAGTAATGATTTTGATAAACTTATTTTCAATTTTAAATTAAGCAAATTAATTTTCAAATAAACTTATTTTCAATTTTATTTCTTTTTCCATTACAATTTCCTATTGTTGCCTTTAGATTTACAGAAATTTCAGTCATCACCATCATTTTTGGCCTGTAATTATTTATACCCTGTATATGTATATCAAACAAATAGAAACACATGCAATTTATACTTTATCAATTACTCTGTTGTCAAACATGCACCTTGCACAAGGAATAATTCCCACCAACCTTGGCTAGACTAGTATCAATGATCCATTGTTTGACCAAAGTATTAAGTTTTCCAAGGACAACTATCCTGCACACCCCAAAAATAGTTGAAGGAATTTCAGTTAGAATCAGAGAAGGTGACAGAAATTTAAGAGTGAGGGGGGAAAGGAAAAGTTGCATCAAAGGTGCAACTAACAAATACAATGCAAGACAATAATTTTCTGTGGCAATTGACACACAAATTAAATGTTCCTCTACAGTTGTTACATTTTAGTTAGGAGAATCTGGATAAGGTGTGAAAAAGACATCTCATTCCTGAAAGCTTTCTCAAAAATTAACATAACAAATTTCTCTTAAATGCTTACAACCATTTACTATCACAGTGGTGATAAAGAGGAAAAGTTGACTGCTTGCATAGTTATGGCTTAAAGCTCAGCTCTTTTAAACATCACCCAATTGGAAAGGGATAGTTGAAAAAACTTATGCCCACATACACACAGAAACGCAAAAAACAAAACAGAAGAAAACAAAACAAAAACAAAGATCACATGTACTACCAGACCAACACATACAGTTTGACAAATTGGGCTAACTTTTCCTCACATGTGGTTGCTCGTATACTTCTTTCTACTTGCCATAGCAACCAAAGCAGTCTAAGTAGAGCACACTCTTCCTTAGGCTTTAAAATACTATATTCTAGTAACCTGTGTTGAAGCTCTTCCTCAGACTCAAAGACTCCATAAGGTTTGAGAGATTCTTCAAGTGCCTTAGTAAGTGTTATGTCCTGAGAAAATAATTTCAAATCATGCAACATTACTTCACTTCCCAATACTATAAAAGAATATGAAACTGCTACAAGTACTAAGAAAACTATTGGTTAGAGAGGACAAAATAAGTATGCAGTTATAGGTTCAATGACATCTGCACAAATTTTGTACAAATGTCATGCATGAATAAGCCAAAAGACCTATGGGAAATCTTTCATTCATAGTTCAATTATGGACCTAATCAAAACATGAGAGCCAAATAGATGTTCAAACGTACATTTAACACTCCAGGTATCTTTTGCATCACATAAGATGACACAAGTATTGTATAGTAAAACAGTAAGATTAGTTTCCTATCTGCAGTGATAAATTTTCCAAACTACTGTACTTTCAAAAATGTTAATCCTGTTTCAGGAACATTATTTCTCTTTTTTTAAAATATCATGGTCAGTTCTTTTGGAGTAAAAAACGGTATGGCACACGTACGGACTGCAAATGTGTCACTACTATACAGGTCAAATGAGGGTCTAAAATTACTCCTTAAACACTCAACACGCTAATCTTTCGTAACGAACTTTAACGAACTTTCCCCGTAATTAACTGGAAGACATGATCGATCATGCTTAAGTGAATTTATGATCAACTGTCCACATGTGCTTGTGGTCTAAATGTTTCACTTACCCCGGGCTTGGGTCCCGCCAAGGATATCGGGGAAGTAATCCCATAGGATTTTTGGGTCTGTCCGGATGCAGAGCTTAAATCAAACGAGAACATCAGTTTACGGCGCGAAATAGGAACAATTACGTTGAGTTGAATGTAACAACAAGAACACATGAAACCGGTTTCTTTTAGAATACAACAGACGACTTACCTGGACATGTTAAGGTTTCATAAAACCATACCATTCATTGGAGAAGCATTCTGTACGAATTCCAAGTGTCTCGACTGATTTGCGAACGCGTTTTCGAGCAAAATATGATAAAGAAAGATGAAACGTGCGAGAAAACAAGATGGCCGACGGCCAACCATGCCACGGCGCATGAGCGAGAAAGTTTTTAGATATCAGTCTCCTCGCGGTCAGTTTTAGTGAGGAAAGAATAAAGGGGTAAGTTTCTAAAGAAACTGTGGTGCTACGTCGGTGGGAGAGTATAGCAGGTAATTTAGTGTTAACAACTGGGTTGAAAACGTAAATTAGCCACCGTAAAGGGTAAAAGAGCTGACGTTTCGAGCGTTAGCCCTTCGTCAGAGCGATAGACGAAGGGCTAACGCTCGAAACGTCAGCTTTTTTACCCTTTACGGTGGCTAATTTACGTTTTCAACCCAGTTGTTAACACTAAATTACCTACAGTTCTAGTGAGGACCTACGCTGTCGTTTCGAAGGCCAAATACAATGGCTTTTGCGAACGTTTCTTTCGATGCAGCAATAACAATAACAATAATAATGATAATAATAATGATAATAATAATAATAATAATAATAATAATAATAATAATAATAATAATAAACAATTGTGGTGTGTTTTTAATCAATCCCTAGTTGGTCATTTTATGCTAAGGGCACTAGGTGTTCATTGCAGAAATTCGAAGCACTGATTATTGCCATTTAACCTTGTCAAGGCAATTGCTTTGTGGGAAAAATAGAAATGTTGGGTGAGCAAGTGCTGATTTTCTCTGGCCAGCTTATTAGTGAGACTTCAGTGATTGAGAGACTGGCACGGCTTATTTAAAATCAGAGACTTGATGTATGGAAATCTCAAGGATGGGATGGAAAACTTATTGGGCTTTGGATAGTATGCGGGTGTATGGAGGCAGAGAGTGGAGTGGAAAGGGTGGGCTGCAGAATGAGTGATGAAGTTATCATTAACAAAAATTCTCAACGCAGTTAACAGCCTTTTGGTCAAATGATCAAAACATTAAAAATGACAAATGTACTTTAAGAATTTTATAAGACAGATCTTAATGTTTAGAGTATCAACTGTCTTTACATTTTTGTCATATATCTTTTGAACAAAAAAAGATTGAAAAGGTGTAACAATCTGTAAAACATCTCTACAACAGCAATAATCATAATTTTTTTTGACAAGGAAATATATGCATTTACTGCCAATTTAGTTTGCAGTGGGAGAATTTAACTCATCCAATATCCTTGGTAAATCAAGAACAGAATCTACAGTAAAATCTGGCCCTGGATCCTCTTCACTTCGGTTACATCCCTTAAGTTTTATCCACACTGAAGCCATTAAACCAGCATTTTTACTCCCTTGTATATCATGAGCAAGACTATCTCCAATCATGACACAGTTCTGTGGATCAACAGATATCAGTGAGCAAGCAGTGTTAAAAATCTCTGGATGTGGTTTTGGATGCGGGTGATCACCACTTATCACGATAGTTTTGAACAATCTGTCAGCCCCAGATGCTTTGATCTTTTCTTGTTGGATAACTGAGTCACTATTGGTGACAATTGCAATTTTGTAGTCTCTTGACAGTTCTTGGATAAGCGATGAAATTTCATTTTCGATCACCATTTTTTCAAGCCGTGCTGATCTCCACACCTCGTACATTTCAACTGCTGAAGGTTTTGCTCAATCGCCAGACTCACTATTTAATACATTTTCCCATAATTTCACTCGCCACGCGTGCTGATCAAATTTGAAAGAGTCCGGTGCCCACGGGTTTGTCTTGGTAACGAGTGTTTGATACTTCAAAGCGATGTTCTCTGCATCTTTAGCGTCGAAAAATTCAAGAAGCTTTTCCTTTGCTTTGTGAAATGCGTACAGGTCGGCCTCCACTGTGGGCACAAGCGTGTTGTCAAAATCGAACAAAATACCTTGCACTCTTTTCGAAGAGTAAGCCGCCATTTTGAGGATCAAAAACGTCAAAATGTGTCAGGCGTTACCGACTAGAAGAGTGGGTAGAGGGTTGAGGATGTGGTGTATTGAGAGCATAACAAAAGCATTTGTGCCAATGTTAATGAAATCACTGCGGGATTACTGAATCATGTTAAATTTGGTTAATCAAGTAACATGCATGATTCTACTAGCTTATTAGATAGGTGATCGATGAATGACGACAGAATAAAGAAAGCGATTAAAGAATGAAAGTTCTCCTCTAAATGAATACACAACAGTAGAGTCCTATCTTTTCATTTCTTTTCTTAGGGATTTTTCTTGACCGAGAAACCTTTGCCACACCGTAAGTTACAATGCAAATGCATGGCTGTAAGTGGAATGCGCTCATAAATGTTCAGTGTTTTCGGTCAGTTAAGCCTAATTAGCTTCTGTTTGATCTCACATCTATTAGATGTTTTCATTTATTGCTGTTTACCAAGTCATGATCCAATTTTTCGCATTCCAAAAGGATAATCGTTTGATCTGGTTTCATATCTAGTAACTTTAGTAACCTGAAGATCTAAATCAAGGTCATTGATAGTCATAAAACTCTCTAATACAGAGAATTCATGAGATGCCCGAGCAGATAAAATAATTTTGCCTTATGCGCTTTATGTACACAAGTCACCTCGCTCAATTCAACCGTAAATTGCATCTTATTTGCATTTTTGACAAATCAGTGAAGCAGTTTACGATTTAGCCAGAGGAAAACCAGTTGTTCCGCATGATGAGTGAAAATGGAACGAGTTCTTATCTATGGTATATCTATGGTAACCTTGCCTTTTGTGTAACAACGCGCATTTAAGCCTCTCGTGGGGTCAGGATTCCAGATCATGGCAGGTATTCATCTGCCCGATATAGGAAAACTGGGAATTCGTATCGCAACAGGAATTCGTGACAAGAAGAAAGTTGCCCCGAGTAACATGGCTGAAAACGCTAGATACCAGGCGCTGTCAACGAGACTTGAGTCCGAAAAACACGAGCGAAGTAGGGTGTTGAATAAGGAAGAAAGACGGATGAAAAGGAAAAAGCATCGAATTGACAAACGCCGTCAGGATATCGAAAAAAGTAGAAGGCAAGAATTTAACAGCAATGTTGACATTAGTGACGGGAAATTATTTCTTCCTTCAATCTCTCTTCCTAAAACGGCTATTTCACATGATTACGGAGACGAGTTGTTCAACGAAGATCAGAAAGACTTCGATCAATATCCCGGTAAATCTTCAGCTATATTCCCAATTCAAGACGAGTTTAGTCGGCTGTTAGACAGTTCTAGAGGTGATAGAAGATTAAGAGAAAAGAGGAAGATTGTCCAGCTACCTTCAATTGAAACAAGCTCGGGAGACAGTAAAATCAAACACAGAAAAACGGCTACTTTGAGGAAAAACTTGAAAGCGAATAATAATCTAGTGAACAAGGATAAAAACGCGTTAGAAATTAAAGATATGAATTCAGAAATTGAAAAGGAATTAGAAGTTCGACCAAATCCTCAAATAGAAACGTTTAATGTGTCAAATAAACAAGACCAGCGAGGGGACAAGGATATTTTCTCACCGACAGGGAAAGAGGGAGTTGAAGATGAAGATCACAGACACGCTGAAATAACAGTCAGTACAGATTTCATTATTGACGAATCAATCTCCTCCGAAAACCCATTTAACTATTTGTTACTGGAAGAGCAGAGGAGGAAGGCGTTCCATCAGAATCTAGAGGACGCATTTAGAGCGATCAAAACTTGTCGCTACATCAGAACCCCTAGTCGTAGAGAAAAAGAAACTGACTTTGATGAAGAAATCTTATGAATAAACCTTTTGAGTCTATATTTTCAGACTTTACCATAAAAATTTACAAGTAAAGATTAATTGCACACGACATAGTGTAACTAGATTTCCAATAAGTTTTAGTTTTTAACCCAAACGTTTTTTACTTCCTCTGTGGCCACAGAATCGCTATTGTCCTTTCAATTAAGTCTGGTCACATTCCTGCGTTTCAGGGTTCGTAACTTATTTGGTATTTGTTACAGACTGTTTGTTTGCTATTCAGCGTTGATAAAAGATGAATTTCAATGTTGACATATTTGTCTGGTTTAAAACTCTTCTCATCGCCAAATTATACGCAACTTCTGTTCGATTTCTGAACTATCTGTGGTAAGAGGGCAGGCTTTCCTTTCTTCATTTAAAAAAGTAAAGTAATCTCTTCTGCTCTCAGTATTATTTTTTATTTTCGCGGCTTAGAGAAGTCAAATATCTTAAGACAAATTGAGTAAGATATCCAAAGAGATTTAAGATTTATGTAATAAAACTGCTGCAGAAATTCTTTAACCCGTTTATGTAGGGTAGTGATCGTGGTATTCATTCAAAGGACAGTTAAAGTCGCTGTATGATTGTATTTGTTACTGATCCAAAGTGCGCCGAAAATTCATGGCAAATTTAACAGTTCTTGAGCGATAAAGGTTAGACAATAATGATTGCAAAGATCTGTGGATCTGGGTCCCAATCGATATCAAATGAATCTAGTCACAATTTTATAATAAATTTAAATATTCCATGTTTGATGATCCACTTGTAGCAACACTTGACAAGATAGTTTCTCCAGGTCCTTCCCTCCTTTCAAAGAGACTAAGGTTCATTTAAAAATGTGAAAGTTAAAATCAAGGTAAATTTGAGCCTCTCAACTGAAGCATGATTGTTTCAGAATTGAGTGGGCCATGAAAGGTTCCCGAAGTCTACTGAGTAGATGGACTTGACAACCTTGGAGTGCTTTTAAATTGAAGAAAAGGGCACATAATTTTTTTGTGTCCAAAATTCTGTAAACTCTCACGGAGTCTTAAAGTAATTCATTAAGAATTACTGCTGCCCCCACCCTACCCCTGCTTGCACTAAATGGTTTACTTTCCGTGAACCTAGACCACAAACGGCCAACATCATTCAAATGAAGCGTTCTTTACTAAAATGTGACACCCAGGCTAAAGCAGAGAAAAATTTTATTTCATATGCAAATGAAGAGGTAGAATTTGAAATAATGAGCGATCATTAGAGAATGCGAATATTTTGCGCCTTTGAATGCAAACTTGAATTCCAACAACCTTGTTACTGTCATGCGCAGCTCTGCAAATCTGATCATTTTTGAATTGTCAACGGTGAGTGTTAGCTTTACGACACTAAAAGAGTTCGGATTCACCAAAAATCCTTCATGTTACAATTACATTTGGTGGCTGTATATGTCATTGCTCGTGGGGGAAAGCTAAAAAACATCGTGCAGTTCATAACAGCCAATATGGGACTTCGACGAGTTTTGTCAAAACGTTTATGATAAAACTCCTGCCAACTGATCACACATCGGATCCGCAGAGAACTTTGGGCTGGTTTGAATCGCTTGTAAGAAAGGGTGACTCGAGAAGAGAAAGGCTCTGGTGTGAAACAGTTCTGCAAAAAGACCTCGGGACCTCCAAGTAACAACACGGTGAGAGAAGCTATTGGTTATTAGAAAGTTGCAGCGTGATAAAATTTCACACTGAAGGAATAGCTAGGAAACAAACGTAAGACATGGATGGACAGAAAGTTACAGCACTAACGTTAAACGATTCAATTTTTGTCGTGTAATGCGTATTAATATCATTTCTCAAACAACGTTTCCTAGATTTCGATATCATTGGAAATATTACGTTAGCTAAATCTAATTTTAAACAAAATCAAATCTGCTTTATCTAGAAACAGAGCAGATGTAAATGGATGACTAAACATCATGTATATTTTCTATCACCAATGTCTTCCACGTTTCATGAAAATCTATGACTACAAGTGTGATGGATAAAAGCGAGAGAATACAGTTTACATTCTCTCGATAAAAATTAACTTAATTTACACAGTGGTTACTTTCTTCCATTTTTTTCAAGGTTGATAGAGGTGGATACACTCAGTTCTACTTGGAACAGAGCTATTGAACTTGTGCGTGATCACAAAGGCAGCCACTCTTCGTAAATAAAGAGAGCGACCGAGGTTAACGTTTTCCTGATAGTTCGGAAAAATCTTCGAGAAGTGGGTCGGTCCCCTCCTTACATTGATTTACTGCTTATTTCATCGTGGATTGTTGGGAGACAAGAAAAGCAAGAGAGAGAATGGGACTTAATGTACCTCACATGTGCTCCTGGAGAATGCCGCGGAACAGACTCCAAAGTAAGTTGTTGTAGTTGTTGTTGTTGTTGTTACTTAGAGGAGAAGCTATACCTGTAAATTTTATCTCTGCCATTGAAAATCACGCATCACATTTTTTTCTATGATTACGTTTTGACGTTCCAGCGAGTAACCTATTCGTTCTAAATTTGTCTTCAAATTAACTAGATATTCTCCTCCTAAGTTATGAAATATGGATACCTCTGAGTATACAGTGGAGATTTTATTTGAAACCACTTTTTTATTAAAACTGATGGAAAATTGTACCTTCATCAGAAGCAATCATGGAATATATAAACAGACAACACATTTCTCGAAAAAACACGAATGAACTGAGAAACTAAGCGTCAAAACCCTTTCTCAGTTGGCGCTATAATATGAGCAAAGAATAAACAAAATAAAACATTCTGATGGAATTAATCTTAGTTGCACTTTACTGAAAAAATAAAGCATCGTTTATGCGTCGATCAATTCTAAGCTTCAACATAACTCAAGGCAACACTCCGGGCATTAGAACTTTTGCAAATTGTTAATCTGTTCAATTCCCGCCCTCTGGAGCAAAATTTGTGTTCAAATGCTCCACCCAAGTTCCGGATTTGATGGTCAATTTTTTTTGTAAAAAGCAAAATCAGCGACCGTGACATTCTATTCATTTACTAAGCTTTAAAACCTAGACCTGTGGTAAACCCTTTTTCTGAGCCATTCTCTCGCTAAAGTGAACTATTTATATTTGAACAATTTCAGATTTAAAAATGTGACCCTTCTATTCCGCTGAAAGACTGAAAAGTTCAGATTTTCCACACGAGCCAGGCGAGGTTTAAATTCCCCACCCCCGGGCACAAATGCCAGTCAAATGCCCGTGGGTTGCCCGGGGAAGGATTTAGAAGCTTCGCATTGATCAGCACACTAAACTGACATTAAATTAATGTGCTAAAAAACGAGCTATGTAGCTCTCCTTTAAAACTGTCTTCTTTCTCTTTTGAATTCTTGATAAATTTATTCATATGGTTTATCTCAAGGAGCTTCGTCGTAATCTTAGGAATGTTTAGTTTATCATTATCATTAACACACACCAAAAAAAAAGAGAGAGAAAGAAAAGGAGAGGGAGAGGGAGAGGGAGACAGAGAGAGAAGGAGAGTGTTAATGAGATTTCAATTTTATGTGAAAGTTTATCACCACAGGTCATTTACTTCAAGTAATCTTCTTTTTCAGCTAGAGGATCGTGTTTCAAGAAAAAGACACTTCACAGCTGTCAAGGGACAAGTTGGATCACAGAAATCAAATGGTACCGTATATAGGATACTGAGAAAACAAATATTACAATCTGAGTCCCTTGTGAGGATTCGAACCTCACGCAGTCTGCCCAAAGAAGGCGATCCCAGCTGAGTGGAGAGTTTCGTGCACTCCACTCAGTGCTTGTTTATTTCTCGTCCCGAGGTTTTATTTTTATGTTTCATGTTTTTTTTGTTTTTGTTTTTTGATGAAACGAGAATAGTCGATACATAGGTCTCAAACCCGGAGGTCCAGACCCATTTCAGGTGTCGGCTGTAAACCACCAGAGGACTGTGTTTTTATTCAAGCAGGGATTGCAATTTCTTTTTCCTCTGGCATATTTGACATTCAAAGTCAAGAGTAATTAAAAAACTTTTGCCAGTCCTTATGAAATCAAGAATGAGACAACTTAGTCTCCCGGAACTCAATAATGGCGACTGAAGCTTGTAGAGCTTAACTTGAGAGGGACCATAATAACTAATTGCCCATGTTATGTGAGTCCAAATTCTAATCTATCTAAGTTCATACTTTTACATTTTCTTAGTGATCATTCTTATTTATTTATTTATTTAATTTTTTTGAAAATTTTTTAAATTTAATTTTTTAAATTTTTATTTTATTTATTTATTTTTAGTTTTGGTATCTATGTAGGGGTTGAATTTTTAACATTTAATTGTAAGTCTATAAATTATTATTATTATTATATAAAATCAATGATCTCTCAGAAAAGTCGCGGATCACTTTATCAGTTGAGCAGAAAAAGATAAAACAGCTGGGTCAACAACCATAAGGATTCAAACCTTAGACATTAAGGCTTCGCAATCTGCTCTACAAGCTGGACAGAGGAGGACATTTGGGTAAACGTTTCGTGAGGATTCAAACCTCATTGTATGAAACGTCGTAATAAAATGCTCTCACAGCAGAGTAGAGAGAAAAAATGGTAGTAAACTCAAGTGAGGATTCAAACCTCAAACTTTGCAACTTCGGTATGAAATGCTCTACTACCTGAGCTGAGAGAAATTGTTGGTCGACTTTTGAAAGAACTTACCCGTTAAACAAAAGTTTTTGGTCGACTTTCTTGAGGATTTATACCTCGGATCTACCGATTAGATACTCTATCTGCGGACATATAGGAAACTTGTGCAGAAAAAGTAAAAAGCTGTGCCAATGACCATAAGGATTGAAACCTTAGACCTTAAAGCTTCGCAATCTGCTCCACCAGTTGGGCAGAGGAAGAAATGTAGGTCGACTATCATGCGGATTCAAACCTCATTGTATTAAACATCGCAACAAAATGCTCTTACAGCAGAGTAGAAAGACAAAATTATTGGTAAGCTGACGTTAGGATTTAAACCTCA